TCGTCTGGTTCTTCACCCTCTCTTAACTTATCTTCAAGAATAATGAACCAATATCCAAAATCATCATGGCCAAATAGGCCCTCTCTGGCTGCATTTTCTGTAGGTGACCATCCGTTGAAATCTCCGATTATAGCACCATAACGAGCACCTGGATTTAGGATTGGTTAGTATTCTCAAGCTTCCCAGACGCAAATTACTATATCAAGTTTCAGAACATCATTCATTCTGTTGATCAGTTCTGAATCATAATGAAGCAGTTTCAAATCGAAATTTTTATATGAAGAAAAGCAAATGCAAGTAAAGAAAGTGACTAATGAAATTCTAAGATTTGGGTAAGAGACAGAACCTGGACCCCAGTCCATAAAATCAACCCGGTGTTCCATATGTCGATGCATCCCCAGTAACTCAAATCTACAACGAAAAATGGCAATTCATTAGACAAAGCATTTTGGATACACATGGGTCACTAATCCAGGATCAAACTCTTCTCTTGAAAGAAACTGGGACCAAGAGGATACATACCCTGAAGCAAGATCTCTAAAATCGAAGTGGCGTTTGAGAATCTCATCTTTAAGGTCTTTCAAAGCTTTATGCCTACAGATTTAACAAACGAACACGCTTATATACACAAATGTATTCATAATTAACAAAAATTGAACTCTTTGTTTCCATCTTTTTGTTCAAAATTGAAACTTTTTTATACCTTTCTCTGAGAAATTGAGCAAAGATTCTGTCAGCAATTCCCAGTCTGGTGAGAAACCCAACTGGGTCAACTCCAGCTTCGGCGTCGCTAGTGCTCTGGCTCTGACTCTTCTTTTTCTGTTTCTCCTGGCGTGATCTCTCGGCGGCGAAGCAAGTGATTTTCACCTTGATTTTCCTGGGAAAATTGACTCCTGAGATTCCCAGACGCCTATTCTCGGAAAGGAAAAGGTTATTGGGGTGGAAAGAGAATCTGGTTTGATTAGAGAGGGAAACCATTTTTGTTGTTGCCACAGAGAGATACTACGAAGAAGGTTTGTTCTTACTCTCACTCACACTCAGGGTTTTAGTCCTTTTTGAAGATAAGAGAGGTTTTTGAGTCGACTCGTGCGCGTGTTGAAGAACGACGAGTTCACTCGGTCTTCGGATATTTTTCTCAATATTTATTTGAACCAAACCGAACGTAATTTAAACCGGTTCAATTGATTAGTACTAATACATGGATTTGTGATCTTGAAATTGAGATTTCTCATTTTTTATTTACTTTTGTTTTGAAATTAAAGTCACCACGAGGATGAATTTCTTCTGATAATGACATAATGTATTAACATTCACATATTTACAGATTTAATTGGTTTTTGGATGCCAAATTTGGTTTTAAGCACCGGTTTTTCCCTTCTTTACTGCAATCTCCAAGTTTCTTCTTGTGATTTGAAGCTCTCTTGTGTAGTAATGCATTCTGTCTATAACCATTGCCAAGAACAAGACAGTCCCTTTTTCACACACACAAAAATAAAAAGAAATCAAGAATTAGATCAAACAAACCACAAAAAAATGATGTGTGAAATGAAACGGTGTATTGATGTTATTATTTACCCATGAGGAAAGCTTCGAGGAGGCGATTAGCAAACATGACTTGATCGGTCGAGTTAGCTACACCACCAGACTCAGAGACCCTTGTGTTGATTTGAATCGTGCTGAACATAACCGAGCCAAACAACACAAGCATTGTGGCTGCGACCGTTTTCGCAACCAGAGGTCCTCGACCTTGCTTTGATAGGTCTAGCAATTTCACCACCACTCTTCTCGCTGGAGTCCCGAACCCGAGTGTTAATATCAGGACGGCTTCGATTGACACGATTGTGAATAGAAGCTGAAACATCTCTACGAACATTTTTGTTAGATGTACATGGAAAAGTTTAGAATGGATCAAAAGCAAAATTGGGTTTAAGTTGTTATAAAAGGTGTTGATGAGTAGAAAGAATAAGAAGTTGCTTGGTGCAATGGTAACTGATAATGTAGAACTAAGTATTTGGAATGGAATACTCATATGCTTTGTGTGCTCTCATGATTCAAGGAACGGATGGTTTTACCCTCTCCTTTTATTTTTTGTAGTTTTATTATTACGAGATTTAGTTTGTTTTATCAAAAGAAATATTAATTTTGTGAAAAAAATATAACAAGGGAATAACAACCGGAACAAAATATGTGAAACTCTCTACATTTCTTGAATTTAGTATATGTGAAACTCTTGCTTTTATGTGTTTGCTTGGCGTTTGTAGCAAGCATTATCGGCAGCTTTGTTGGCTCTAATTTCATCTTTTGTAATCATTTCATCCCTTGATGGAGACTAGTAATCTATAAACTTTGTTGTCCAAAAAAAGAAAAGGATTATTTGTGAAACTCTTTAACAAAAAAAATGTGAAACTCTTGAATGTTAGAAGGGTTTATTGGTTTGTGTATTTTAAAATCGTTATTAGATCACTTAATTTAAAATCTTTGTCAAAAATTTGTGTTATTCATATAATATTTTATAAATATGAGTTGAAATCCATTTTTTATTTAATATTTGAATCATTATAATGTACATTAATGTTCAAGTATTTTCAAATTAAAAATACAAAGACTCAAATACAAAGATAAACTTTATTATTCTGAATGAATTTTTAAATAAAATTTGAAATCGACAAGTTTGATAATGAAATCATTGAATTCTAAAAAGATTTGAAATCTATATAGATATTCAAATCAATTAAAATACAAAAACTTATAAACCTTCTTTACTTTTGTTTTTTCTCCATACTCAAAACTAATAACATAAAACATTTTCTTTAGTGAATAATTAAACTAACTTTTTTTTTGTCAGAATAATTAAACTAACTGTGTTGAATGTTTCTGGCGGCATCTCATGAGTCTCTCATTCAACGATCACATCGGGAGTGACTTGATCAAAAAATACAAAATTTATAATAATGCCAATGATTTGCGTAATCTATAGCTGTATATAGATTCCATTGATAAGATACGTACGTATATGATATTGACATTTTATCTGTCTATGATGTTGATCTGGTCATCTTTATGCTGTTCAGGGATCTTATGATATATGTATGTGCATGAACATATGATTTACCAGTCATATTACACATAGTTACAAATAATAAAATTATGAGCCCATCATATACTCTATTAACAAAAACATCTTTAAAAAAAAAAATCAATTGGTTGTGATTATAACTTTCTTTTAATTATGCTTATAAAAAGATATATGATATCTACTATTAGATAAAAAAAATATTTATGATGAACCAGACACTATATATGAATCTACGTACTGTGGATTTATCAATCCAAATTCTGATCTCTAAAACTTTTAAAGAAGAAAAATATATTATGAAAAAGGAACGTGTACCATCTTTATCAGTTACATATCAAATTGCAAATTTTAGCTAAAAATAATTAATTATTTTCTTTTAAGATTCCATTCGTATTATGTGGAAACGTAATGTGTCTATATGGACTCCATGTCTAGCATTATTTCCAAATGAAATGAACTAATTATGCCATTTTTAGTCGTGTCTCCCAAATTGTCTTTCTTTTTTTATGCATCGCTTTTCCACAAATCCTACGCAAATGTTTGAGTGCAAATTTAATCAATTCAGTATTTTGTTACTAATAAATGTAAGTATAAGAGCAATCAATATTTGTTGAAGTATTCTTTTTTTTTTAACGGCAATTTGTTGAAGTATTCAAGTAAATAAATAAACAGTAAATTATAAAAATACGTATTTCATGTGGATTCATTATTTTATTTTAGTTTGGTCAACTTGGGGTCATTTTTTATTTATTTTATAATTTTTCAGATGGATATCCCAGACTAAAATTTACTGTCATTTTTTGTAAGTTTTCAACAGCTATAGAAAATTTGCAATGACAAAAAAATGATATTGCGTTCAGCAAAAGTCGATCACTGGTCAATTACTCAAACATAAAAATAACAATTAGATATATATATGTTGACAGCTTGAAAATTAATCACTAGCTAAACGTCACTTGATTCCACTTTTTATATTCGTTTATGTTACATTATTTCTACAAAACAATATCGTGTGAACGAAAAGGCATATATGAGGCTATGTATTTACATAGTCCATAGATGATCTAAGGGCATCATCAATGGGGGATCATGTGAGGGTGTTCTTATAGAGAATATAATGTTAAAATAATGTAAGATCATGTGTTTAGATCTTTTGTTTAGAAGTTGATTAGTGGGAGAACATGTGTAAGATCTTAAGACTTAATAATATAATAATCTAAATTAAATTAAGATTTTACAATTATTAAAACATTTAAAAATAACATATAAATTGCAAATGCCAAATTTATGAAAAACTGAAAATAAAAGTGAAAATACAATACTAAATATTTATGAAAAAAACATTAAAAATATAAATAACAATAAACAAACAAACATATTACTTAATAAAAGCACAAAAACATTTTATCTAATTAATACATAGTTTATTATCCAAATTTATTCCAAATATGTTGAATATTCCAACCAATGCCCAAATGCCACGTCACCCCGCAACACCCACAAGAACAGATCCAGGTCAAGAGCCCAGTTCCTGATCTTAAGCCCATTAACCCATTTTTTTGGATTTAAATAATGCTTAGATCAGGGGGGTGATCCCCCAATGCAGATGGTCTAAGAGCATCAGCAGTGGCAAAACCATGAGGATAGATGTTAATAATAGATTTATTATAAAATTTATTGAAGAGAGAGGAGGAGAATTGGCAGGTGGACAGAGAGAGAGGAGAGAGATAGGGAGAATAAATTTTTTTTCCTTTTTAAAAAGCCTCACACCCGAATGCAACTATACACTCGAGTTTTGTTGAAAAACAACTTTTTACATTATTTCTCTATTGTTTAATACTCACACCCGCCGAGTGGTTGCACCACTGCGTGTAGCCTAAGAGGCGGAGGAACAAATTATATATAACCACCATAAACATAATATAAGGCTTTGAAAAAATAGTTTAATGATACTCAAGTTTGACTAAGCGATTAGAACTTAGAAGTGGTAAATGTGATCTCAATTATAGTGATTCAAATGATAAATATAAGATTTAAGCAAATAAATAATACTAATAGCATATAAACATAAAAATAAAATTAAATACAATTTTCCCTTTTTTAATATACTTTTTTGTATACCTATTGTTTGCTTCTTTTTTATATATGCATGGTTTTCCCGTTAATAATAACATTTCATCTTTCATCTTAAGATAAACTCTAGAATAATATATAAATTAATCTGGTAACTGTTAGTTGATATAAAGTTAAAATCTATTAAACTTAATATGATATCAGAGTTTAAGTTTAACCTAAATAAGATGTATTACCGATTTTATAGTGAAAATTGGTTCAAAATATACTAAATTATAATTTTATGAAGCATGTCACGAAATATATATGTCCAAAGTGGGATAAAACTTAGAATAACATGAATTATATATTATTTTTGAATAAAAAATACATAACATCTATTTAAAATGTTTTACAGCAATTAATGATAAAAATCTGCAAATGAAAGCCGATATATATTATTCAAACAACATTGCACAATTACTATTTTATGTTCGAAAGAAGAAAGTTTCTAAACCTGTTATATGTCCAATGGCATTAAACATATTATTATATCTAAATATATTTCACTTGTACTTTGATATTGTTCTCAAAGGTATCTCCTCTCTTTTTTTTTCCAACAATTCTCAAATGTATCTATAACTATATATGTGTTGATTGCAATTGGGTTGAATTGTCATATAAATTACCAATTAAGAAAGCGGTTTATACTTGAGTGGTATGAAAAACCATTAAACCACTTAGATGAGGCAGTAAGAAACAATTGATGATATTTATCATGAACTGTTTGGGAAAAAAAAAACTAATAACCTAAAGTAATTCCAAATTGTTTGCTCAACAGTCCAACTATTTGAAATTAATTACACACAGTAAGACTTCTATCTAAAATAATTTATTACTAATTGTAACATAAATTTAAATATTTGCCTAGTATCTAAAACCTGACAAATTGGCTGTAGAAAATACCATAAATAAGAATGGTTCAAATGAAAAAGTATTAAATGTTCCATTTAAAAAAAAATCTTTTTGTTGAGACTTGCACGTCATCTCTATCGTTTCTTAATCTTTATCCCACATATAATGGAATTAGCCCCACGAAACTTAATTAGTCTCTCTCATTAATCTTTCTTTCCTTCAATCTCTCTGTTGCTCTCTGTTGCTCTCTGTCTCTCTCACACTGATCAGCCATGGGAGACGAACCACTTCTTCAGAAAGCCAGGATTCAAGAAGACATTGAATCAGATAAAGGCATTGGTGTAAATGACAGCGACGGTGACGGTCCCGTTACTTTAATTCTACTCTTCACAACCTTCACTACTCTCTGCGGTACCTTCTCCTATGGCACTGCCGTAATTTTCTTCATCTTCTCTTCTTTTGTTTGTTTCTTTGTGCTTTTTCTAGGTTAAACACAGAATCTTAGCCCATAATTAATCAGTTACCATAAAATTTTAACCGAAATTGTAAGTTATAAATAATTCGTTATTTATTTGAAAAAGGGTCCAAATCAAAGAGAATGATGTATCAATAAAAATAAGGATTATGCCGTCGCGAAAAAACAACATTTTTTTTATGATTAGTTAATAACGACATGAGTATTATAGGTTTGTTTTATATTTTTGCAGGCCGGCTTTACATCACCAGCTCAAACGGGGATCATGGCAGGACTTAACCTCTCTTTGGCTGAGGTCAGTGCTGAGTTGTTGATTTTATTTCCCTGTTTGCTGATATAATTTTATTAATTTGCTAATCGTCCTCTTAATTAACAATAAGGTGTAAGATACGTATTGTAGTGACTTAATTAGTGTAGTATAAAAAATAAATGCAAATATTGGATTTTGAAGACTAATTTACTTTTTAGATAAATGTTTACTGCCAAGTGAAGGAGCAAAACCCAAATATAAATTTTCTATTAATTATAGGTTAGATTTTCTACTTAAAAAAGTATATGATTTTTTGGTAATGGCGTAAGAGTGTACGCTAGTGTCATTGTAATACACTTTTGCAGATTTTGATAATTTTCTTATTTAAATATTATTAGTAGTATAACCACTTTAATGTGTATTAGAAGAAAAACTACTTAAGTCATTGTTCGTACATGGATGTAGTTCTCATTCTTTGGAGCTGTCTTAACAATTGGTGGACTTGTGGGAGCCGCGATGTCGGGAAAACTTGCTGATATCTTTGGTCGAAGAGGCGTAAGCTCTTTTATTTTTAACCATTTTTAAAAACTAATTTATCATCATCATGACTAAAAAATTACAATTCATTACGTAGTTTCTTTACATATATATTCCAAGAAAAAAGATAGCGTTTTGATGAATGATTATACGCAGGCTTTGGGGGTTTCAAACTCGTTTTGCATGGCCGGCTGGCTTATGATCGCCTTCTCTCAGGTTTCTAATTAAGTTCTAACGATCATTTGATATCTCTCAATATTTATTTAAATAGTGTTTAAACTTAATCGTTTGATTGTTTGTCACGTATCACGTATGATATAAACTTAATCGTTTGAATGTTTTCAAGTTTACCAAATAAAAACTCTGGTTTAATTAGAGTTCCACGACTATTATGGTAGACAAAAAAGATCTTTCAAAATCAAAAGTTTAGACGAATAGTTAATTAAGTGTTTGCTGTTTCTAAAGTTTGGTTTATTATATATAAAAGGCGACTTGGTCCCTTGATATCGGAAGACTTTTTCTCGGGGTCGCAGCTGGCGTAGTCTCTTATGTGGTACGTAATTTAATAGGTCGCCTGATAATTATGATTTATTGACTTTTACTCCAAGCAACCAATTTAAGTTTTTTTTTTTGGGTTAATTATTGACTCCAAATCTAATCTCAGGTACCAGTCTACATTGTTGAAATCGCGCCCAAAAAGGTCCGAGGCACGTTCTCTGCGATTAACTCGGTAATAAGCCGCCAAAAAAAATTTAAAACAGATTTAATTTTCTTAGCTAGAAATAATATACTTTTTTTTTTTTTTGGGTTGATAGCTCGTGATGTGTGGTAGCGTCGCCGTCACATACCTCCTTGGATCAATCATTTCATGGCAAAAATTAGCTCTCATAAGTAAATCTTGGACTCTGTCTATGAACTAATATATAAATAAATTTTTAACACCGTAAGTAATTTTTACTTTGTGTCGTTTGGAGTTTTGCAGGTACGGTTCCTTGTGTTTTTGAATTCGTCGGTTTATTCTTCATACCGGAGTCTCCTCGGTGGCTGGTAATATTAATTAATTAGTTTTGTTAGTTGTAGACAGTCTTGTTAGAATAATTAACATGTACACATAAAACATATTAAAAATAGTTATTACAAGTATATTAAACCATTTTTAACTGGTATAATCTTTTTATAGTCTAGAAACGGTCGGGTGAAAGAATCGGAAGTTGCACTCCAACGCCTACGAGGAAACAACACTGATATCACTAAAGAGGCTGCAGAAATCAAAGTAAAAACAAAAAAAAAACATTCAATAAAGTGACACATGTAAATTTGACAAAACTTTGAAGAATAGTTTGATTGTTCTTTTTTCAGAAATATATGGAAAATCTTCAAGAATTCAAAGAAGATGGTTTTTTGGATCTCTTCAATCCCCGATACTCTCGTGTCATTACTGTAAGAAATTTTTAATTGAAAATTTAATGTGTGTTTTATTCAAAAACACATATGTTACTGAACACTCTGTAATTTGTGTAGGTGGGAATTGGATTGCTAGTACTACAACAACTCGGAGGTCTCAGTGGCTATACATTTTACTTGAGCTCCATTTTCAAAAAATCAGGTATACTGAAAGTTTAAATCTCTTACTGAAAGAGAATTATTTTCTAAATAAACTAATATAATGATCAAAAACGATATTAATATACAGTTTAATTGTTTCGTAGGGTTTCCTAACAACGTAGGAGTAATGATTTCGAGCGTGGTGCAGTCCGTGACAAGCGTTTTAGGAATAGTAATCATAGATAAATATGGAAGACGATCCCTTTTAACGGTTATAACTTGTTTCAAATCTTTTTAATTAGTGAAACTGTATAATCTATAGTATATAGTGGATAATCAGAACTTAACGTCGTTTTTCTTTCTTTCTGTGAATTACTTATTTGCAGGTTGCGACTGTCATAATGTGTTTGGGGTCATTAATTACAGGACTATCGTTTTTGTTTCAGGTATGTTTTTATTTTCCGGTAATAAAATAAATATATTAGTTAACTAAAAAGTTATATAATTTAATTATGTAAATTCTGCTTCTTTTTTGGTTTTGTTTTTCTTGAAATGGGATTTATTACTTTTTATTTTTTCAATATAACTGAAGCAATCAAAACTAATATGCAGAGCTATGGTTTACTTGAACATTACACACCAATTTCAACATTCATGGGAGTGTTGGTACGTACCACGTACTACATAATGATTTCATTCTGTCCTCTCCTTGCATAAACATAATCATATATCTAATTAATCTACCTTAAGATAAATTTTACCTGACTCTTGTTGCAGATTTTTCTAACTTCAATCACAATCGGAATAGGAGGCATTCCATGGGTCATGATATCCGAGGTAATCATTTGTCTTCGATATATGATCGTAACCAAATGAATAGTTCAACAATATATCTATGTTTTGACGGATGTATAAAAAAGAAATCTATGTTTTGACAAAAATATATTGTATATAGCAAAATTCAAAAGCATAAAAACCTAGATATTTATGAATATGACTACGTTAGATGAATAATGAAACAATATAAATATGTAATATACAAAACAAAAAAAATGTAAGTATGTAACTAAGTGTTCTGTATGCAGTATGCACATAGTATAGTTATTACATCTGAGAATATTAGTCGGGTGCTAGCTAACATTTCATTTAATTTAAGATATAATCTAGATAAAAACTAATTAGTCGTTTCTAAATATTTTATTTTGTGGGATAATTAGATGACACCGATCAATATAAAAGGATCAGCAGGGACGCTATGCAATCTAACTAGCTGGTCTAGCAATTGGTTCGTCTCTTACACATTCAACTTCCTCTTCCAGTGGAGCTCTTCTGGTAATTCATTTCAATTTACAAGTCTCTAAGTAAATACATTTACTAGATTATTTTTATCAAATTTTAATCATTTGTTGATATTTAAATTATAGGTGTGTTTTTCATATATACAATTATATCGGGTGTGGGCATCCTATTTGTGATAAAGATGGTACCAGAGACTCGAGGTCGTTCGCTCGAAGAGATTCAAGCTACCATTACTCGATAACTTTGTAAAATATCAATATTTCTTTTATTTTTACTTGGTGTCAAATTCATATAATTGTATACATGGCCTCCCTCACTTATCAATTAATTCAGAATTGTTTGTCCCAGTTTAAATATGCATAATTTTCACATCAATCACCAAATTAACGATTGGTTCTTTTTTTGAAGCTTGGTTGGTTCTTGTTTTGAGTTACATGTACAAGATAAATTAAAAGTTTGAAGAAATATGTATTATTTGAGTTTAAATTTGGATGGTAACAGTAACATATCAACAATATCACTAACACAGCTACACAAGTAATTACTGCTTTTGCCATGAGTAATAAATTTTAGTGAAACAAAATTTTACCAAGTATAAACAATTTAGAGTACGAACATTAATGGACCCTAGGAATTATTGCTATATATATCCAACCATGGTTAGTTAACTAGTTAAAGATATAGTCGAATATTTGGTATTCTATGTCCTGAAAATATCTTTTACCTCAGTCAGATAATGTTATTCGTTTTGGTTAGAAAACTAGTTAAACAGATCTTTAATCCCAAAAAATCGTTTACGTCAGTGAAATAGTATTCGTGTTTACACCAAAAAAAATAGTATTCGTGTTCAATGTTCTTTCATTCTCTCATATTTAGAGGTATTCTTTTCTTGTTTTTTTTTTCTGAAAAAAATATATATTTGGGTTGTACGATATTAGTATCTCATTGAGTAAGCGGCATTTAGAGTCCAATGTAGACGGTACGTTTCCAATTCATCTATGAATCCACATAAAATTTATTTATTGATTTCAAGTTATATCAAATATTACCAGGATCATGTAGGATGCTTACCATCTTCTTATTTCGGCATGCTTTTGGAAAAGGAGCTTTAATTACGTCTTGTCTTGCATCGTCCTAACGTCGTCGTAATGTTTACATTGAATCTTTTTTTTAGGGTTATAAATGTTCGTCGTCAATGGTTCTCTTCGCGTTTACGTTGACTAATAGTCCAATCGAATTAAAATTTCAAAGAAACATTGAAGAAGGTATAGACCTAGCTATAGTCACCAAGTATAGCTCGATTATTTTTTTAATTCATTCATTTATTTCTTCAAAAGCCGACAATGACACAAAATCATGGACCGAATCACTTTAGATGAATAATATATTAATATTTTTCATAAGACTTTGGTAAGTTAACACCATTGCCATGCATTGCATTCCATGCTTTTAACGTCAAGATCTTATAGCTCTCATCAATGATGTCCACCACCGAAACCACCTCCAGCACCGGCTCCACCACCGAATCCACCACCGATACCACTTCCGCCTCCTCCTCCAAACCCACCACCACCACCAGCTCCACCTCCTCCTCCGAGTCCACCCCCAGCACCAGCTCCTCCTCCAAACCCTCCACCTACACCACCGCCTGAACCACCACCAGCACCACCGCCAAATCCTCCACCGGCACCACCACCCCCACCAAGACCACCACCGCCTCCAGCTCCTCCACCAAATCCTCCTCCAGCTCCACCACCAGCTCCTCCTCCTAAACCGCCACCGCCTCCAGCTCCTCCGCCAAGACCGCCTCCTCCACCAAGGCCGCCACCTCCACCAAGACCGCCTCCTCCACCAAGGCCGCCTCCTCCACCAAGACCGCCTCCTCCACCAAGACCACCTCCTGGATGGTGGAAGAAAGTCTTTTGGTCCTCGAGACCACTCTTTAGCTTCCTGTTAGCGACACTGGCAAATGAAGTGAAAGCAAAAGAGCCGACAAGTAAGGCAACAAGAAAGAGTGACTTGGAAGCCATGTCGATCGATCTTTGTGTTTTGTGTATGTGATGATGAGGAAACTCTATCAGCCAATAAGGTGTTTATATAGTAGACCATGTAGCATGAGCTGAAGAATCAAACAATTGAATTTTAAATTTTTAGAGTGAGTAATTATCATTAAGTCATCTGCCCATCTAATTCATGTTGGCAAATTTAATGCAATCCCTAACTACCAGTGTTGACAAACATGTTACTCATCCACATGTAGTAGACCCCTTCTTTATTCTTTGTGATAGTACTACTTCATAGTACTCATTTTCTTGCCTTTCACATTTAAATTTGCTCTAGGTTTTGATGCATCTGAGTTTTATAGATTATTCTTATGTCCGGATCGAGTTATTTAATGTTTTTGTTATTATGTTTATTACATTTTTATAATGGTGGACACTACAAAAAATCATGTTTTCGTAAAATATGAAATAAATATGTTTCACTACATTTTTTCTTTCAATTTCTTGACTTGGATAGAGGACACGAGGTTTAGATTCGGCATCTGCCTGCACTGGCACATTGTATAAAGTCTAAACCAATCTCGTTGTTTAATGTTTACGCGAGTAAAATATTTATCATGGTGACTATTTGTGATTTTTATATGAAAGAGAATACATAATACTATGCAACAAGCCGATATGTTTTCAAAACTTGGTTCTCTTCTTGGATTGAATGCTTTCTTCTTAATTACGTTCTCATCCATAATTTGAACATCTAATTAATAATAATTGTCAAGTTCTGTGGTCCCAATAGTTTAAATATGAAAATAACTTTAAACCAACTTTAAGTCAAAATTTGATCTCAATACGATTTAATTAGATAAGTCTGAAAAAAAGTTTAATGGTATCAAAAACAAAGAAAAGTCTGAAAAAGTTATCGTTTAAATGTGGGTTACACATGAAGACATGATACGTGGTACACTTACAATGACCTTGGATGGATATGTATATCATAGTTTCTCTTTAGAAAGCAAAGTTATGGAGATTTTACTGGTAATCTTAAACTTTATAATTTATTTTAACACAAACAATTACTTGCGGCAAAAAAAAAATGTCACAATTTAATATAGGGAAAGTTACTAGATTAACCCAAATAATAACTTTAATTACTAGAATGTCTCAAAAAATTTAGGGGTTAGATGGATTATTTTCATGACGATAATATCATTCTCTCTTTGTTAGGAAAAAAAAGTCAAAATTACCCTTATATCTGTTTAAAAAACGTGGGAAAAAAAACTTGGGGAAATTTTTTTATTTTTTAAAAGTCTGCTGGATTAGTAGTGATAGGTTTATTTTCCATAACAGACTTATTTGTGTTAGTCTAGTATACTAAAAAGTTAGAATGTTAATCTAGTTATTAATCGCTAGATTTGGGTCAATTTGGGTAAATTTCTGTTTAAAATAAGCTTTAGTATATATATCAAATGGTTGTTTTAAATTATCGAATGAAAAAATGATTGATTTTCGAAACATATATCAATATAGGTATGATATATTTTTCCATTCTTCAAAATATATATCAATTACATAATTTTTATTAATAATTTCATTATATATATATATATATATATATATATATATATATATATTTATTCATCTATTATAATTTTCTATGACATATTTTATTTCATTCTACATGTTATCTTATTTTTCACAATTCTTTGAATTTAGTGAATTTTCCAATCGAATGAATACGTTCTGTGAAAATGGTTGCTGATGGAATTACAAAGAAAACAAGGCCGTTTGAAAATGATTGAAAGTGTTAAGGATGTTTCATATTGGTAACAAATGATTGTAAAATCAAATTTATAGTTTTCATGATATAAGTATTTGGGCCCTAAGTATATACGACGAAAAGAAAAGAAATAAATTAGTAGAAGTCCTAATTAATGTCAACCAAAAACAAACATAAATAATAGAAATTCCAATTTATGCAATTGGACGGTGAGAAAACGCGGAAATTTGGTTCGATAATTAGATTTGTTTTCTTCCTTTTCTTAAACGCGGATATTTAGTTGATCTCAAAAAAAAAATCCCATTGAATTAATTCGAGACTTTGGATTCTCTCTTTCGCATATATAGATGTGTTAAAATTCTTAGAATACAACATAGGTATAACTATACTATTATTCTCATCAAATATTCAAAAACTAATTTTTATAAGTTCATTACTTTTTTCATTTTTTTTTTGTTTTCTTTTTACAAATAAAAACACTATGTTACAACGATAAATAATTTTTTGTCCAAATAAATTATCGTTAAATAGCTTATACTGTTATTTTGAACTTCAACACTTTTTTAAATTGGTTAAATCTATGCTACTTGATTTATTTTTTGTAAATTGATATATGACAAAATCTAATGCTCCAAGAAAATTCTAACGTAGTCCAGTCATACGCATCAATATGCCTAAGGAAACTCTTCCTGGATAGGGACAACTCTGATGGTCATGATGAAGCTCATGCCAACTTATTTATGGCGGTTCAAAAATCTGAATATAAACTATATATAATGCGCTACATCTACCAGGTTCTTTCCGTTTTTGAGATCAGTGATAAAGTTGGTGTCTTTTGTAGTATTCATGTCCCTTTTCCATGGTTAAGCATGGACCAATGACTCTAGTTTACTTTGTGAACTCATTTTACATAATTGCCACGAGTGTGTAATTTTTGTTCACATATTTTTTTTTTAATTTAGAAAAAGGATTACTTTAAAGTGTAAATGAAGCAAAGAATCCATAGATATCTTATTTACTCTATACCAGTTTGAAAAGGAAAATAAAAACCATGGTTTTGTTTTGTTTTGGTTGTGTATTAGTCAAAACAAATTGATTTTTATTCAATAGATTATTATAATAAGCTTGAGAGATGTTGTTAGCTTTACTACTAGCTAAATATGGAAGAAAGAGAGATAAGAGATGTTGATCGGTTCACTTCTTGAGATTTTGTAGTTCTTGCACTATGGGGAGGTACGCTAATGAGTGGATCTAGAAATCTCTATTCTAGAGTAAAGAAATATATATCAAATACATTTAGAAAAATATCTATAATCTTGTAGAAGTATTATTTATTTATTATAACTTAAAACAAATTATTTACAAATATTTGACTATATTCACAAATATCTGTTTTGGAAGAAAAACTCGTAAGTAATTTTGTTATTTCTATCTCTTGGCTTCTAAGCATTTTTTTTATATCTTAACTTACTAAAAAAAATTTGTCTCCATAAAGAGACAAATTCCTGTGAGATGCTTTCACCGACGAGCAACTGTGTCGAATCATTGATAGAATCGAAGATGTTACCGTTTTCGGGAGAATGCAAAATCTTGCTTTCAAGTATACCATTCAGTTTATAAGATGAAGTTTATCATGGATGTTATCATCTTTCATTGCAGTCTTCTCAACGAGGATGGTACAATGCAAAATTTCATGTACAGCATTGTGGTTGAGCATGCTCGTAAAGGATGTTTCATATTGATTACAAATGATTGTACAATCAAATTATTAATCTTCATGATATAAGTAAATAAATTCGACGAAAAGAATATAAATAAATTATTATAAGTTCCATTCCAATTAATGTCAAACAAAAACAAAATAAATAATAGAAATATCGATTTCTACAATCGTACGGTGAGAAAACGCGGAAATTATATTTGGTTTGACAATTAGATCTTTTTGCTTCTTTTTCTTAAACGCGGAAATTTAATTGATATATTAAAAAAAAGTCCCATCAAATTCGAGATTTTGGATTCTCTCTTTCGCGCCCTTCTCACTTCATCTTCCCCAACGTCTCTGCTCTTTCGCTTCTCTCTATCTCTCTCGTTCTAATCTGCGGCAATGGAGGAAATGGAAGACACAGAAACCGAACCACAGGTATCTTCGATTACATATTCTCTCAAAATTCGCCCTCTCTTCTGATTTTGCCGTTCGTCGTCACCTGAGAGAGCGATTTTATGCCGATTGTGATGGATGTGTGAAAGTTTGATATCTAGCTTCGGTAATTTAGGGATTCTCCAATCAAAACCTCGGATCTATTTTTGAATCGATGTGTATCGATCTCAATTGTACAGACATTGATAAACCCTAGTTTTTTCCACTTTTTACCTCAAATTAGATTAATGGGAAGTAGTTGTTGCGCCGATTTGATAGCAGAAACACTAATTTCTGAGGCCCTAAGAACCAATCCTTCTTTTACTCTTTTGCTGCGTATGTGAAATTGTGAATGTACCAATTTGTTTTCGATGCAATGCAGGTTTATATGGCTTGTATTCAGCATGGTCGGAGGTTAGTAATTGACTTCAACTTTTTGTTTTTGAATGAATCTGTGCACATTTTTTTAAGATACTTTAACAATTTCGCAATAACAAGTGAACAAGAGCGTATGAGTGAATGCTTATGCTCATGTCCTTCTCTTTATGTAGTTTTAGTAAGGATCAGTATCTAACAAACATTCTTTTCCCAGAGTTGGAGTTTCTTACTACGACTGTAGTGTACGCCAGCTTCATGTGCTAGAAGTTTGGGAGGAAGATTGCTCAGATTTTACCTTGATTAATATGGGTATAACTTTTCAACTTCAAACAGAATGGAATCTTTGCATGTATAGTCCTGCCATTCCTTTCTTTCTGTACCGTAATTTTAATGAAGTTTGGTAAAGCGGGTTCTTGATGTACAACTACTTTGCAGCACTTTTGTTCTGCTACACTCTCCCTACCACATTAGTTTTTTGATCGCTTCATTTGTTTTGGTTATATATCTTCAGTAAAATATCAAGCGAAACCATCAATCATTTACACAAGCACCAAAAGTGAAGAATCCTTTGTAGCTGCTCTGCAGCAAAATGGTATGGTGCTATCAATTTTGTTGAAATATGAGTCCTTAAGTTTGTGGTCTTGCATAATTTCATTGTTTCTGCAGACGGAACTGACGAGACTACCATGGTGAAGCTGGTCAAGAGCTCAACATTCAGCTACGAGCAAGCGTGGCACAGGTACAGAAAGTTTGATCAACTCCATTTTTCACCATATTTGTGTGGTTCTGTTTAGTCATATTACATGATGATTTCCCCATGAAAAATTGGTCTAGTAGGAAACTGGTTCCTGCAGTTTCAGTTTCAGTTTCTTGACTCAAATGTAATAGCTTACTTGACTTATGATATTTTTATTATACCTGCTGTTTTACACTGATTGTTATCTCAATATTGTGTAGACTGGTATATCTTCGAGTAACAGGAATGGATGATGGGTTGAACATCAAAGAAAGGATTTGTTATGTAAGTTTCAGCGAAGGAAATGTTAATCCCTTTTTACTAAGGATTTTGATCATTTGGTTACTGTACTCTGCAGTTGGAATCTCAATCATAATGTAGAATTAAGTGATATTTTCGATGTCACAATGAAATAATTTGACATTGTAGCTAACTAATTTTGTGGTCCTTAAACACATTTTCAGTAATTGGTAAAATAATCAATCTACAATTGTATGAAGTTTCTTCATTTTTCTTGTAAATTTCAGCTGAGTTCCATGATGGATGTGGGCAGTGAAGTCCAAGTTCGTGTCAGTGGGGGCCTTCTTGCTATATTAGAAAGTGAACGAATTGTAGAAACCCTGGAACAAAACGAATCTGGGAGTGCGTCAATTGCAATTGATTCAGTCATGGAAGTACCATTGTATCCTCCACTTTATCTGTTCTGTTTCTTATGTCTTGATGATAATACTTTCCTGAATTTTTGGGATGATAATGTTGCCTGCAAATCCTTAACAAAATTTATAACAGGAACAAGTTTCTTAAACTTGATGCGGCTGCTCACGAGGCTCTGCAGATATTTCAAACAGATAAACATCCAAGCCATATGGGCATTGGCCGGGCCAAAGAAGGGTAAATGACTAAATGCCTTAGTTCATCTGTGGAATCTTATATCTATTTTTCCTGCTTTGACTTGTTGATAATCTTCACTAAATATTTGAAATGAAGGTTCTCGGTGTTTGGAATGATGAATAAGGTTTGCTTTCCTTGCATTGGTTCATTCTGGTTGATCCTTCTTGTATTGATGATTTAACTTACCTGGCCTATTTCAGTGTGCCACACCAATGGGTAGACGCCTTTTAAGGTAATAAATGTGAATAATAATGTATACAAACTGTTCTGAAGCTGATGTATTCTTACGACATTGGTTTCCTTCTCTCTATTTCAGAAGCTGGTTTATGAGACCAATTTTAGATCTTGAAGTGTTAGATCGCCGTCTCAATGCTGTATCCTATTTCTTTCTTGATCTCTTGTGAAGGAGTTTGCCTTATGTCAAGCAGAATAGGAGTTAACAATCAACATGAAAGAAGAGAAACCAATAAATTAAACTTTATGTCTGCTTTCTGTAGCCTTATCAGCATAATTTTAACCGATCTTCATTTGTTCTGAATGAAAAAAAAAATAGTGCGACCATTAATTGCCTTTCACTGATGTTCTGAGAGGTTTCTTTTGACTGTATTAGATTTCCTTTTTCATTTCTTCAGTAGAGCTGATGGCATCATTGCGGGAGACACTGAAATCAGTGAAGGACATTTCGCATCTGCTCAAGGTATGTAGGTACCATTATTTTATATATAATATAGTATTAGCATGCCTATCTCTTTTAGCCATAAGAGCCTGTGGAGGAAAATTAGAATTATGAATTAATGGCACAGAGAAAAATTTCCATAAAGTTTGCGGTGAATATGTTAATTGTTAATCTGTTGGTAGAAATAGTGTTATATGAGCATATCCTGCCCAGACAGAGAACGTGGATATATTGCATGCCAAATATCTTCTTGTATGCCAATTCTGTAGATTCCATTTTTTTTTTATAACACTTTTGTTTTCTTTTCTGGATATGGCATTCTTTTGTGAAAACAAGAAATTCAACTCTCCGACGTCCCTCTGTACCAGTAACGACTGGACAGCTTTTTTGAAGGTAAATTCCATTTTATTGACTATCATCTTTCATTTGGTCTATAAAACTAGTCTCCCAATATAATGCTATCTTATTGTGTGCATTAGAGTATAAGTGCGCTCCTGCACGTGAATAAGATATTTGAAGTTGGAGTTTCAGAAAGTCTCAGAGAACATATGAGACGCTTCAACTTGGACATTATTGAGAAGGTTACTAATGCTTTATCAATTGTTGTTATTCTCCCACTCTTCAACCCACTTTCGTGGTTGTTGCTAAGTTCTCTTTTCATGTTGCAGGCCGGCTTATGTATCAGCACAGAGCTAGATTATGTCTATGAACTGGTCAGTTGATTTTACATTCTGTTTCTTCAATTCCGTTACAATCCATACTTTCCTCTACAAAAGAACAGATCTTGATGCTTTCAAAATTGAGGTCTTAACATCTCTCTATTCCTTTTCCTCCTTAGAAATTTAAAACCTTAATGGAGTGATTATATTGTTAAAAACGGGGAATGAGGCCATCCATTGCAACATTTTTTGAGTGGCTAAAGGAAGCTCAGCTAAGATTTATTCTGAATAAGTCACAATTTTAAGGCTATTCAGAAGTTGGATACCCCAACATTTGAGAAACTGGGTTAAACAAATTCAGCAGGCCTTAGTGAGAGATTATTATGACTACAGTTAGTAACAACAGACTTTAACTCCACAGGTCATTGGAGTCATTGATGTTACTAGAAGCAAAGAGAGGGGATATCAAACATTGGTGAAAGAAGGATTCTGTGCTGAGGTTATCGTAGAAGTTCATTTTGATCAGGTTGTCATACCACTAATCTTTTGTTTTTTTGCAAGTAACTCATTTCTTATTTTACCAGTTGGATGAGCTGAGGCAATTATACGAGGAGTTGCCAGAGTTTCTGCAGGAGGTTTGTTCTATGTGATAAGTTCCTTTAATTGATAAATGAGGGTAAACTGGCATCTCTCTTGAATGATTCTAATTACTGACAGGTTTCAGCGATGGAGTTAGAACACTTTCCTCATTTGCATAAGGAAAAGCTTCCTCCTTGTATCGTCTATATTCAACAAATTGGTGGGTCTGATTTTTCACGTTTTAGTTTTCACATAAGTTCTATACAGTGTGATATACTCAAAGGTTTAGCTAGGCTGAATTTTTAACATAATTACCTCTTAGAATTTCACCTCATCCCTAAGAAAGGTTAGCTGCACGAACTCATTTTTTGGATCCACCATGTCCTGGAATTATCAGCTCAACTATGGTGTCTATACTTCTTGATTGCTCAATAGCCTTTCACTTTATGATGTGTCTTTAACAAATCACGACCACGTGTATTTCTTCACACTTTGATAACAGTTATTTCGTTTTTGTAAATGAATATATAGTTTATCTGTTCTGCAGGGTATCTCATGTGTATCTTTGGAGAAAAGCTTGATGAAACTACACTTAATAGGCTTACTGAATTTGAATTTGCGGTACAGTTTGTTTGTGTTAAAAATCTTAACCACATACTTTGGGCACTATTCATATATGTCATTATGAAACAGAAGTTTTAATCTACATATCTCTCTTGTGATTAGTTTTCCGATATGGATGGAGAGACTCAGCGATTCTTTTACCATACGCCGAAGACACGAGAGTTAGACAACCTTCTTGGAGATATCTACCACAAAATTTTAGGTATGTTCTTGGTGGTTTATATTTTCCATGGTGTATTCTTCTTGAGTACAATGATGTAGTTTCTTGTTTTACAAAATTTTGCTGACAGATATGGAAAGGGCAATTATTAGGGACTTGCTATCACACACTCTTTTGTTCTCGGCTCACCTGCTGAAGGCAGTTAACTTTGTTGCAGAACTTGATTGGTAATCAATATTCAAATGCTACGAAGCCAAGCAATACTTTTTCACGTTCTTAATAACTACTTGTGAGAAATGACTAATGACTTATTCGTTCTTCTTGGCTTTTCTAGCATTTTATCGTTGGCTTGTGTAGCCCATCAGAACAACTACGTAAGGCCTGTCCTGACAATAGAATCATTGCTTGATATTCGAAATGGAAGGTGAAATTGACTCTATCAGCTGCACTTATGTCTTGTTATTGCATTTATACATAAACTCCTTACGAAAAATTATATCTGAATATCAATACTGGTGGGCAGGCATGTTTTGCAGGAAATGGCTGTGGATACTTTTATCCCAAACGACACTGAAATCAATGATAATGGTGAGCTGATTGTTGATTAAATTGTTTTGACTATATAGGCGTGCATTACAACTTAAACTTGTGAACTAGTCTTTGTTCATTACCTTATTGCAAGCTTGTCTGTCGCAGGCCGAATTCATATAATTACCGGGCCTAATTACTCAGGAAAGAGCATATATGTAAAGCAGGTCGGCTTTACTATTCTAAGTCTTATTTCTCTTCGTCCAACCAAATTGTACTTCACCATCAGGAATTGACAACTCAAGTTCTGACTTGCTATTTGTAGGTGGCTTTAATTGTTTTCCTATCCCATATTGGAAGCTTTGTACCAGCAGATGCAGCAACTGTTGGTTTAACTGACAGGTCTAACGTCTTGCATTCTTTTTGATCTTCTTACAATCGCTTTTTGTGTATATTTTCGTTACTAAGATTAGTCGTACTACAACAGGATCTTTTGTGCAATGGGAAGCAAGTTCATGACCGCGGAGCAATCTACATTCATGATAGATCTGCATCAAGTAGGAATGATGCTCAGGTATTCCAAACTGCTTCTATTTTTAACTTGATTTCAATTAGGTCCACTACTGATAGGCCTTGTGAGCCAGTCTCAATCGCTTCAGTCAGTTAGTGACTTCTAGTTCACGAGATCCATTATTTAAGTTCATGGTGACCCAAGAATGAAGATATCAATCAAAATTCAACTGTGCATTGTTCATGACTTATGATCGTGTACCTAATCATTGTGACTGATTTAAATTCTCCAGACAGGCAACTTCAAGATCTCTGTGTCTCTTAGACGAGTTTGGTAAAGGCACTCTTACTGAAGGTACAGATATCTCCGCCCTCTGCATTGCATAAATGGCATGTGTTTGCAAAAACTTCTGCCTTAACCACACTCTTATTTAAAGTACAGATGGTATTGGCTTGCTTGGTGGGACAATTAGTCACTTTGCTACATGTACTGAGCCACCAAGGGTATAGCATTCTCTTGTCTGGCTATAAACTTGTATGTTTTTTTAGAACCCTTACAGGCATTGACTATTGATGCATGCTTTCAGGTTCTAGTATGTACGCACTTGACTGAACTACTTAACGAGAGCTGCTTGCCTGTTGTATGTACTCCCATCCAATCCCAGATAACTCAGCAGATTTGAAGTAGTTCCTCGCTTCATAGCGAGAGTCTTATCTTTTTTCCTTTTCACTTTAGTCTGAGAAGATTAAATTCTATACAATGAGCGTTCTTAGGCCAGACACAGAATCTGCAAACATGGAAGAAATTGTTTTTCTTTATCGGTATGGAGTCTCAGCGACTAGCATTCTACTGAAACTGCCTACATTCTTAAGACTTTCATGTTTTAACCAATGGTTTTGTGTGCAGGTTAATTCCGGGACAAACTTTGCTGAGCTATGGTGAGCATTTTTGTGTTCGCATTAATTATTGTCTATATGAGTTTCTTGTACATACACCGAACTTCATCAAACCTATCTATGTAATGCAGGTCTTCATTGTGCACTACTCGCTGGTACATTTAGAAAAATTGATTACAATTTTAATGAAGCTATTTACTACTGCGGATTATAGAGTAACAAAAGGAATTCTCACTATTCTTGATGTAAGGTGTCCCGGAGGAAGTCGTGAAGAGAGCAGCCATCGTGTTGGACGCCTTTGAGAGTAACAACAACATCGATAAACTAAGCCTTGACAAAATATCGTCTCAAGATCAAGCTTTCAAGGTCTTTCTGCTCTCTCATTTACACAAACTTTTACCCCTTTATCTTCTGTCCTCATGGCCTTACCAAATTTTTACTGATACCAAATGAAATTCGCAGGACGCTGTTGACAAGTTTATGGAGTTTGACATCAGTAAAGGTGACATCCGTGGCTTCTTTCAAGATATCTTCACTTCCTAAACCCTTACTTAAAAGTCAAGATCACCGAATAGAAAATGTAACCAACAACAGTAGATTTTTAAAACGGAAACCAGTTTTGTATTAAAACAGAAGTACATACAAATATTGTATTGGTTGTATTTAGTTTGACTTAAAATCTTCATACAAACACACTCAGCAAAGTCAAACATCAAAAGAAAGATATGCTTACGGATTACATATTCTCCTCTCCACACTGAGCTAGAATCCCTTCTTTGGGCAATGAAAAGTTTGCTAGCACTCTCTATAGATAGAGTCCTCTTTGCGACGGATTGCTCAGATTTACTTGCTATGACTGCTAGTATCGAGGATTGGCCTACTTTTGCATCAGAGCTATCAGATTTCAAGTACTATAGATCTTTTGTATCGTTTAGTATTATGCATATCCCCCGAGAGGTCAATTTCCGTACTGATAGACTTGCGAAATGTGCAAGAGCACTTAGTTTCTGTTTTTCCCATGTAAGTCTGTCGGTTCCTGATTGGCTCTCTCTCGAAGAGAGTTACTTCCGAGTTTGAAGAAAAAAAAAAAAAACTATGGTATCACAACAAGTTTTTGAAAGAGAAAGGCAAATCAAGGATATACATATGTCTTTTTTGTCTTTTACTTTTAAAAAGTTGTGCCAAATCAAGCGAAGTAGTACAAATCTTGGCTTATTTTGAGAACAACCCCAACACTCTCCCTTCCTTTTGTTTTTACCCTTATTCTCTCTCTTTAACTCTTAACACTACTAGTCTACTACACCTATTCTTTTCCCAAACCACAAAAAAAAAATAGGGTCTTGAAAATCACTAATTAATTTATTTCATCTCTCTATCTAAAGAATTACAAATGCATGTATATCCCCTATTTTTTTATATTGATTATATAAGGATCTTAATTTAAGATTGAATTGAATTTCCTTTATGTGCTGTATAATCTCCATATTAGACAATCATAATTAAAAACAAAAATTATTGTGTTAATACTCTACATTATCAGCGTACATTCTTGTAGTATTTGCATGATCCTCACATTTGACTGATTTATGTGAAGGTATGATCTGATATGTTTCACCTTAATTTAAAGATTCTTTTTTTTCGGGTGGTTTTAACGTAAATATATTTATATATCTAATTGTTTCTCTTTGAAATTGGGGACTCGAGCTTGAACGTTTTCAATTAAAAATAAAATATTCCTATTAGAACAGAGTCAATTAATTGTCTACTCTGTAAGAAATGGTGAAACTAAAGCTTGAGAGGAGAGAAATACAATCCCAAGGAAGGATACAATGATGAGATTCTCATCTCAGACCCTCTCTCAATGTAACAAGAGCGGCGGGGTTCCGTATTTTTTCTCTCATTTTCTTACATATGTATGATAATAGATGATTGTTTTACCCTTTTGTTTTCTTTGAGCATGAAAGCTAAAATTAATGTTTATCAGATCATCGTTTTTTTGTTGCCTGAAGCTATTAGCTTTTAAAACAACCACTTTTTCCTTAATTTTTTCCCTTAATTTTTTCCCTCTTCTATAAATAGTCTAGACATATCGTATTCTTTATTCTTCATTTTGTTTTCACTTTTTTTGTCTTCTCGCCCTCTCAAGAAAATGGGTGTGATAAGGAAGATTTTTAAGTTTTGCTCCGCTTCACTAGTAAGTTTCTTTACTCCCACTTGTTGTTGTTAAGTTTTGTTAAAGTGAAATGATTTTCTGACTTTTTTAGTGAAAATGTTTATGATAAGTTTCAGTAGCAAAAGAAGGTTTTTTTTTTCTCTTGTTTTGTTGGTTGAATGTTTCTAATGGAAGAGATGTTTTGCTGAAGACATGGCAAACGAGAAAGACTCGGATGGAAGTGGGAGGGTTGCTGAAAGAAAGAAAAAATAATTCCATTTAAGAAACCAAAAAATTGTGAGTTTTGTAACTAAATGAAAAATATACAAACAAAAAGTATATTAATTCATTAATTGATTTAATTTTCTAACCTTCACCTTAAAAAATATGTCACGTGTTCATGGATCAATCCAAATGGCAACTCATTAGTTTTACGCTCATACTACGTAATTGTCATGAGAGTGTGTAATTTTTGTTCACATAAATATGTTTTAATTTTTTTTCAAAATGCTTTGTTTTTATCTCAAAGTCTCCGAACACCTAAATACAAATAAAAAGTGTTTGCATATGTGTGGTATAATCAAAAGATATGTAAGCGATATTCCAACTTGTTTCGCAATTTTGTGTGTGTGAGATAATCAAAAGGTATGTAAGAGATATCCCAACTTGTAGCAAATTTTGTGGTCCTTGGACTCACAAATAAAATTACTTATTTGTACAGTTTCCTTCAAAAATATGTTTTGTTGATTTTTACTAGTTTATTTGTTTTTTCTTAGTTTGAAGTACTTTAATTTTAAGTATCTAAACTCAAACTCGATATATTGCAAACATGGTAAAACCTGTTAGGGTTTTAAATTAATCAAGAGCGATGGAAAAATGTATTTAATGCTCCATAAGATGATGAGAATAGAGAGTTGAGGATGTTGTATATGGTGATGCATTTTTTTGTAGGTGGAGATTTTAGGACTCATCATCCAAAATCCCAAAGTTTCGGTAGTTAATAATTATATAAACTTATCAAACTATACACATATATAATATATTATATAAATATATATTATATCATCTAAGAAAATTTATTTAAAATATAATGCCTTCTAAGAATAAAATAAATACATCATCAAATTCCTAATAGTAATGAAACAATAACAAAATGCAATAAGATAATCTTAGATCTAACTGGAAACATAAAACTTAGCAGCTAGAGCTCTCATAAGTGTAGAATCAAAGTTATCCACATCAGTTATTTGCAACTCAGAGCATAGAACTAAAACTGTGTATGAGTCCAGACATTTGAGGATCTCCGGGTCTCTATCATAATCCTAATTTCCCAAAACAAAAACAAAAAAAAATGAAGTTAGATTCATGTCTCTGGACTTGAAACTTAATAACGTTTGCAAGTAACAAAACAAGAAACTTAATAACGTCTTCACCTTTTCAGTTACCACAATGATAGGCTTGGAATTAGATTTGTGCTCTAGTCCCTTCGCTCTCCTCCTCATAGTTTCGACATCCTGCAATTATCTTTATAATCTTGATCAAAGCCGTTTGATTTAGTAAAAATAATCTGTGTATATTCCATTTTTTGGCAGTGAAACAAATAGGGAATAACACATGAAAAATAGCCGTGAAAGTAGCATGTACCTGTGCTTCAAATAAATGATGATCACTGAAATCAAGTCTATCAACATAATGTGCTCCAGTCTGTCAAACATATATATCCCACTAGTCAGCATAGCAGAAACTGAATATTTGTTACAAAATCCAGTGACAATGGAACTAGGATAATAGCACGAAACAACTTACCATCTCGATGCTCTTGACAAATGCGTCAGCAGATCCAATTGCGGAAACACATAGCACAGAGGCACAGCGCAATGCCTCTAAAGCTACATGTGACCTAGCATTTTTAACATCGAACAAGTATTTGGGCACCATCTTGGAGTAGAAAATCGGGATCGACTTTTTGAATCCTTGTATCATGTTCTCAATATCTCTGAGGTTTTGTTTAGTAATCTGCATGATCCAAAACCACTAACATCAATAGTCATCATCAAAAAGAAAGGAAAAAAAAAACGAAAACAAAGTTGTAAACACACCAAGTCCACGTGGTGTACTACAGCAATATCTGCCCGCTCAAGAGCCACAAGAGGTTCTCGTAAAGGACCAAGGGGAACCAAATGACCATTTCCCCAAGGATTCAGCCCGTTAAGCATCACAATCTCGAGATCACGAGACAAACTCAAATGCTATCTACCAAACAAGAGAGCACAAGTCTTCAAAATTGCAATAAACACAAAGAAGGTGAAAATAATCTCATAAAGCTTGAATTTGTAAATATAAACTGCAGAATATACCTGCATCCCATCATCTAATATGATAGAACCAATTTTTTCAGAAATGGCTCTGGCTTCTGCTCTTTCATGAAGATCAAAGAATGTCCTTAAAGTAGAAGGATCTACACAACCATACTTTTCCAAAAACAAAGCAGCAGTAGCTGCCCGGTTTGCACCAACACCAATCTTTACCGGTCCACCACGAAGATGTCTTTCAAGCATTTTGGCTTCATCTCCACCAGCATAACCCTGCAGTTGATGGCAATATGTAGAGTCTAAATTCAATGGTAACTAGCTTTATCATCAATCAAATTCAAATTATAGTAGTCTGAAGAATGGGAATTACACGAGTGAGAATAAGAGGTGAAACTCCAGAATCAACGAGGAATTGAGAAATGTATTCCACCATTGGCGTCTTCCCATTTCCTCCCCAGCTCAGATTCCCAACGCTGATCACCGGAACTGGTAACCTTCATCCCCCAGGATCAAATTTTAATTCCAGGAATAATATTATCAAATCGGTAAAAGCATAATTCAATTGATCGAGAGAGAAAACTCACCGGTGTTTCTGTAAGAGTGAGAAGCGGTAGAGAGAGCGGCGGATTTGGAGAGCGGCGGAGTATAGAGAAGAAGCGATTGTGAGGATGGGAACGAGAGAGCGGTGAAGAGCAGGGGAATTAGTATGGACTCGCGTGTAGGCGATTTCGTTCACCACCTTCCTCAGCTTCTCCATGGACTTACTCTGCAACTACTGTACGAGACTCGAGACTTTGCGATTCGCTCATAAACCGAAATTTGTCCGTTGACCATGACGATTTAGTAAGTCCGGTTTAACCGCTTTTAGTTAAAATCCAGTCTTTCGGTTTACCAAGATTTACCCTTTTCCTCTTTTTGTTTACATTAACGTCGGATGTATATGAACATCCATCAAATCCACCCATTGGTACTGGAATTTTGCATAAAGTAAGCAAACTTTGAGATCTCATGGATTAAATTTCATGTTAACTTCGGACTAAATTAGATTAAAAAATCTGTGCTAACCCGTAAACTAAGATCTCTTTCAATATGCATTTTTACAAAATTGAAAAAAATACAAATTATCGAAAGAAAACAATTACAGAGCTTCAAGAACTAAGTAAATGTATTTAACCCTTTCCATGTTTTGGGGTCTTGGAGCTTCTTAGAACACAAACACCACCTTCGCAGGTGTAATCTCCAGATCCAGAGGAGTCCTTTGCGAAACAGCTGAAAATATTAGAGAAGAAACCCATCAGCCTCTGATTCTAGAGAAACTTTCTATTCACAGACACATGGGCTTTCCAGGTTCTTTGCATTTGTATACATTGTCTAATATATAGAGAGAAAAGACCAAGATTCATAAATCAGAGGTGGAGATTAAAATATAGGAAGGAGTCAATGATGGTGTGCTAAACAAATACAAATCGTATGTTTTTTAAAGACTGAAACTGAAACACGTTACTAATATGATCATGGACCACTAAGTCTTCCTAAAGAACACACGTTGCTAATGAAGTTGTTGGTTACAATAATGTTTAACTAAGACAAATAATAGATGTGTGAAAGAGAGCTTAAGTTCGCAGTATTCTACCTCAGTTATTACAAGGAAACAATGGCTTCCTTTCTTCAATTCTTCGCCTTCTTCTTTGGCTGTCGTTTCTTTCTAGACTTCTTAAACCCGCCTCCGTTCTCCTGTGGACAATACAGTTCAATGAATTAGTTCACAGAGAAGGTTTATGCATAACGTTATCAGATAGTACCAACCAGCTTCAGTATATGCTGACCTTTTTGTAACATCTATAAGCACTTTGACCTGAAAACTCCTGTCCGCTTTTAGAGATATATACCTACAAAGAGCAAGAAAATTCAGAGACAACAAATTTTCAGACGTCCCTGTCTCTGTGTTCTTTAACAAATAGTTCTCATGCTTAAGAAGATGTGTGTGCGTGTGTGTTTAACAGATTCATCCCAGTCACAATCACTTTTCTATGTATTTTTAGACTCGTGGAAACAGAAACCTACCTTCCTTCCTTCTGGGGATGTGAACCAATGACCTGCAGAGCCACTGTTAGCTGATACACGCCTTTTCCCAGCATCCTTTGGAGCTGCAGCTCTCGTCTTAGGATTTAACCAGCCTTCAGAAGTGTGTGCGCTCTCTTGGCCCTTTGAAACCTTTGAATTTGTTTGCCCTCTTCTGCAGCTTTTGCTGCTAGAGTCTCCAGTTTTAGAACTCCCTTTGCTACCAAATTGATTCCTACAATGGCATTCAAAAGATGTGTCAATCCACAGGAAGCAGAAGATTGTAAGTATCAAAATAGAAATAGATTAGGAGTAACCTACATATAATCAACAAGGAACACCTCTCGCTGGCTCTCCCTATCATTGACAATTCCCAGAGGCAAGAAGTTTGGTAACCGCTGTCGAGCTAGATTCCGGATCCTTGGATCACTATGCAAGAAGAAACGATGAGATGGAGGAGAAGGGTGGGAAAAATCCAAGAATTGCCCAGTTTGCTGAAAGCCAGTCAAGTTATGATTTCCGCTATTGCTACTACTTGCCACAGCACTGCTTTGTTTCTGAGCTGTGCTAGTCGTATTGATGGAGCTAAAATAGTCCTGACAAACATCATCCAAAGCTGGTGTTTGAATCTTGGAAATTGCCGGGGAAAAATCTTTCCACAAATCCTTAATACTTGGAATAGATCCAGGTTCCTTTCTCTTTGGTTTAATTGCAATAGATGGTTGATCCTTTGAGGATGAATCATGTTTTTTAGTTACTCTGCTTAAATCTCTGCTGGTAGATGGATGGTCATCTTCAGAATCTGAATCTAGTAGCTGGAACCTTCGCAGAGGACTACGAGTTGACCTCTGAAACAATGATGCAACAGAACTAATCCCAGAGGCAGCAGATGCTGGAACATCCGCCTGCTTTCTCTTTCCCCGAGAGATAGAAGGTTGATTAGATAAAACCCCAGAACCATGAAGTGGCACCCTTGAGCTGCAACGAGAAAAGTAACTTCTTGTTGAGGCAGGTGCGTCTGCATGTAGCAACACAAGTTTTATATCAAGATGAAACCAACAAAATATGGAAGACTTAAAAATATTACAAGGACTTGATAGAATAATGTTAAGCATCTCCACTAAAGAAATCCAAAAGAAACCAGTTTGAGTGGAATGAAGCTCTTAATCAATGTCCTTGTAAATAACAAATTATCAGCGTGAAGGCTCCAAACCCACTCTAGTCTACCTATTAGTGTCAACAACTGCAATCAAGTTTTCATCTTTGAGCCACAACAAACTGATCCTGATATCTAAGTAGACGAGGGTTTGCATCAGCTTTCCTAAATCCATCAGTTCTAAATTCTCTATGGTCTTTCAATATCAATGGATTTCCAATTCCAGAACACCTAAGTTTCCAGTTAGTTTCAAAGCCAATAAAAAAGCTAATGAGTGAAGAAATGCTAAGTAGCTGATTGACGTTTAATAGGAGATCTAACAATGCTCGATTCAATTCCAGCAGTTTAAGTAAGACCCATTTTCAGAAAGACAAAGCAAAAGCTCAAAATGTAATTACCCGTGGGAAAATCCTCTGGAGAAGAGAACTCTTCAATGTCATCATCCCGATCCTCTATAGCCACGCCTCTATCATCTTTCGCAGAATACTTATTGGGATTAATTCCCCGTCGCAACCGCTTGAGAACCGGGCTTCTAAAATCTGGTTCAAGCTCCCGATCGGAATCTGAGACCGTAAGTCCCGCCTCTGGCTCGTTATCGCCGTCCCCGATTAATTGGTCGCCGGTGGAGCTAGGGTTCTGATGGGAATCCGATGCAGCATCAAGATCAAACCCTAGCGAAAACGATGGTGGCTCAATTGAATCCATGAGAATGAATTTAGGGTTTGGACTAGGAGATGAAGAGTCTTCAAAGACATTGAATTGGCGCGTTGTTGTGCCAAAGAAGCTTGAAATTTCGTGAAATTTCCCCGCCTTGCGCACAATCCATGATTTAAAAAAATTTCAAGTGATTCATTTTAATTTCGTCGAAATATTTTCCGACGCAGATAAAAAAATATAAGAAAAAATCAGAATGGGCCGTGAATATTTTAAAATTGGATAGAGCCCATAATTTAATTTGGTGAACGGTTTGCTAACCACGTCCATCTACTCTAAATGTTGTTAATCGAAATCAACTAATCTTTTTTTTTTAATTCGGATTTATAATTCTGATGATGATGACATATTGACAACACTAGACTATCATTATTCGATTACAGATCCTAATTATCAATTAATTATTTACAAAATTTAAAGGAAAGTTAAATATTTTGTAATGTATAAATACATATCTATTACAATTAGTATTTTTTTTTTCATATCTATAACAATATTTTGTTTTAAGACAAAAATTGGACAGATGGAAGTTCTTTTTTTTTGGTAGGAAGACAGATGGAGGTTCTTAATCCACGATTTACCACTCATTACACTGATAATAAATTGGATTCGGTGACACGACCACGGACCCACGGTATTACTAATTTGACATATGAACACATTTATCAAAATGGTTTACACTTAAAGAGTGCTCGAACTCGAATTAACAAAGACATCATCGGCCTTAAAAAGTGTAAAATAAAAGATTTTTTAATTAAACGAATCCAATATCATCTTTTCTTTTTGTATTTTACTTTTGTTGGTCGACTTTGTCATTTATTTTTGTTTTATCTTCTTTGCTTATAAGCTAAGGCTTGTCCTCCATTTTTGTCATTTGCTCTTGTGACAGCATCTCGGGTCTCACCACCCAATTCACCGTTTTTACTTTTTCTCTAACTTTCTATTTTTATTTATATCATTTTACTTCTTCTACTTTAATTTTTGTTTGTTATACTTTCACTATTTTGAATTACTGTTTTCTTGTTGACAAAAAAAAAAGAATTATTGTTTACTTTCACACTTGGACCATCACACTGTTCAGATAATATACTTCATATTTTGCAAAAACAAAAATAAATAAAGCAAAATTCATATAAGATAAAGATATTATAAGAAATCAATCTTAAGAAAAAACAAAAACATTGGACAAGACAACAGACTGAATTACCGTTTTAACCCTCTGAAATCAAAATCAACACATTTCATAATTCATACGAGATATGGCAAGGACAATTTAGTCATTTAGACACGTGTCGTCCCCGCGTTGCAAAAGCCTATAAAGAATCCATTTTACCTTTTCTCACTGAATCTGAAAGAAAAAGCTCGCAGAGATGGAAAAATGGGGGATATTGCTGCTCGTAACATTATCTGCGTTAATCTTTGCTTCTGTGGCGGCAGATGATTACATCAGACCAAAACCTCGTGAAGCCTTGCAGTTTCCATGGAAACAAAAGTCATCTTCTTTACCCGAGCAGGTAAATTAGACTTCCTTGAGCTCCTCTGTTTTATTCTGATTAAATGATTCTTCTTACCGAAAAATCATGTTTTTATGGTCTGATCTCTATTTATTCTTGTAACTGCATGTGGGTCTCTGTTTGTTTTCTCGGAAAAATCCGATTTTTTGGGTTAATACTCACTCCAGAGAATCCCATTTGCTAATGTCCTGAAGTCCTTCTCATTACTGTCTTCAAATGGATAAATCTGATTACTTTGTAGTTTCGATCAACGCCATTAGTAATCTTTACTACTTTGGATAAAATTGCCGTTGCCTGATTGATTACTTACATCAATGGAGATGAGTTTTTATATCTGTTATTTCATTCTGAAGAAAAGATTGATGTTTGAGAGAAATTAAGCTATGGAGAGTGCATGATACAGTTGGTTCATTACCTGATTGTAGGTTCTACTATAGTTTCATTTGGTAATTGTTTCTTTACTTATACTGAGATTCATACTTGCAGGTGCATATCTCATTGGCTGGAGATAAACATATGCGGGTCACTTGGGTTACGAGTGACAAATCGTCTCCTTCGTTTGTTGAATATGGAACATCGCCAGGGAAATACTCCTATCTTGGTCAAGGAGAAAGCACCTCCTACAGCTATATAATGTATAGATCAGGGAAGATACATCATACCGTCATCGGGCCACTGGAAGCGGATACTGTTTATTATTACCGTTGTGGTGGGGAAGGGCCCGAGTTCCATTTGAAAACACCACCAGATCAGTTCCCGATTACTTTTGCAGTGGCTGGGGATCTTGGGCAAACTGGTTGGACCAAGTCGACTTTAGATCATATTGATCAATGCAAATATGCTGTGCATCTACTTCCCGGGGATCTTTCTTATGCTGACTATATGCAGCACAAGTGGGACACGTTTGGAGAGCTCGTTCAGCCTCTGGCTAGTGTAAGGCCATGGATGGTAACACAAGGAAACCATGAGAAAGAGAGTATTCCCTTTATAGTAGATGAATTTGTGTCTTTTAACTCGAGGTGGAAGATGCCGTATGAAGAAAGTGGGTCAAATTCAAATCTTTATTATTCCTTTGAAGTTGCGGGTGTCCATGCGATCATGCTTGGTTCATACACAGATTACGATCGGTACTCAGATCAATGCAGTTGGTTAAAGGTGAGAATTCATCCATCTGTTATGTGTATCTCCCTTTATTGCCACAATAGGTCTAAGTAGTTAGTAAAATAGAACTGTGTTAACAACTTATTCATTAAAACGGGTCGTTAATAGGAAGTATGGTGCTACTGATCAACTGTTTTGTCATTGTAGTTTCTAGGTTCTGCTGTTAGTGCTTTGTTGAATTAATCCTTTTTCTTTGCAGTACTATCAGCAGATTCTGCTACACTTCTTGGACTTAATTTGGTGTTATCTATGATATGTGTAGGCTGATCTCTCAAAGGTGGACCGAGAAAGAACTCCATGGCTAATAGTCCTCTTCCATGTACCATGGTATAACAGTAACAATGCCCATCAACATGAAGGTGATGAGATGATGGCTGAAATGGAGCCTTTGCTTTATGCAAGCGGTGTTGATATCGTATTTACTGGTCATGTCCATGCTTATGAACGCACGGTATGCTCAAAATTGTGTTAGCTTCTTTTATGAGTCAATCAGAAAAAAATTATTCTTGTTTCCCTATGATATTAAACTGGTTTATTGTGCTGTTCGACAGAAACGTGTCAACAATGGTAAATCAGATCCATGTGGTCCCGTACACATTACCATAGGGGATGGAGGAAACAGAGAAGGGCTGGCTCGCAAGTAATTCCTCAAACTGATTACTACTCCTCTATCAACTTTTCATTTTTCAAAAGTAAATTATGAACAAGAATCCTCTCATGTGTCCATGCCAACACTCTTTCATATTAGTGTCTAAGATTCTTGAGCTAACTCATCATAAGTGCCCTTGAGATATGATGGAAAGCAGTTGATATTTATCTTGACGGGGATCATGGTTTTTTCATTTTCAGATACAAAGATCCATCGCCAGAGTGGTCAGTCTTCAGGGAAGCAAGCTTTGGACATGGGGAGCTTCAGATGGTGAACTCAACCCATGCGCTTTGGACCTGGCATAGGAACGATGATGACGAGCCAACAAGGTCTGATGAAGTTTGGTTAAACTCTCTTGTGAACTCGGGATGCTTGAAGAAAAGGCCTCAAGAACTCAGGAAAATGCTCTTGGAACCTTAATTATATAATCCATAAAGTGAGATTTGCAGTAAAATAGTCCTTAAGTAAGTCTATATAGAAAGCTACAAGCTTGTTGTGTTAGCAATGGAACTCTTAATCACACCATTGAAGAAGAATTCCACCAACTCCATAGAAATCATAGTTCCAACTTTAAAATTTTGTAAACTTGCACTTGTTCTTTCTTTGTTTTTTCCCATTATTTAGATATACTATTTATAATCTTAATGAATGTGATTATATCAAAAAATCTAGAAGCAAAAGTCACATAGCTTAGATTTGTCAATGTAGATAGTTCAACGAATGTGACATACAAAACAATGCTGAAAAATGAAAATTCTTTACTTTTTGATTATTAGGTACAACAACTGTCATTTTCATAAATGAAATACTAAGTCTAAAACATTCTTTCATCAAATTAATATAATAAAGTTGAGATACATAATAATTAATTACAATTAGGACATAAAAATGATGGACCGTAAGTGGAGGATTAGTTGTCTGAAGACCGTTGACGAAAAAAAGGCGGACCTTTTCCACGCGCTCACCACACAACACTTTCATAAAATCAATTCATCGATCCATCGTCTCTTTCAGATCAATCCGATTACGATCGCTCTTGAACTTTCATCATCACCGGAGAAAATAATCCAAACCCAGCTCGAGAAAAATGCATGATTTTTGCTTCACTATCCCGTACGGGATGCTTCTCATCGGCGGAGGATTTATCGGGTATATGAAGAAAGGAAGTATAACATCTTTCGCCGGAGGTGCAGGCACTGGGTTATTACTCATCCTTGCTGGTTATATCAGTCTCAAAGCTTTTGAGAAGAAGAAGAATTCCTCTATTGCTATGGTTCTTCAGACAGGTTTTTTTTTTTGCAAATTTCTTTCCTTTTTAGCGATCTGGGTTTATATGTCTTTTAACAGATATTTATTTATGTTTATGAAGAATTTATTTTGCGTATGATTCCGTTAGATGTCCATAGGAAGAGTTTCAGTTACGAGATGTGAATAGCTTTTAGTGACTTATCAATTGAGGAAGGAATTGTTTGATTTTGTTTTCAATTTTATATGGTTTAATGTAGTAGGATCAAGAACTTAGCTTTAGAGTTGATAATAAGTTATGTTATATAAGGTTATGGATCTTATTGGACCACTAACGATCTGGATCTGAATAAATGATTTGTGTGATGATGCTAGACTTGCTAATCGAAGATAAAAATTCAACATTTTTTGTTGTGTTTGGATCTTCAATTGTTGCAGTATTTGAATTGGTTTTGCTAGTTTTTTCCTCTAATGTAATAGTGTCTCTCTTGAATAAGGTGCTGTGTTTACTGCAAATGAACATTCAAAATGCAAAGTTTCTTATGTCAAGAAACAAGGTTGATAACTGAAGGGCGGTGTCTTATTTGAGTTGTAAGATGTTGTAATTGAGTATATTCCTGCTTGTTATTTGTGTTCTTGCCATTGATTGACAAGAGAACCAACCTCAAAGACAAACAAGCTTGCAAAATCCATGTTCATTATCTCGGGTGACTGAATCTCATCTGAATGTTTATTTTTTCCATACAGTCATCGCAGCTGCTCTCACTCTAGTCATGGGACAGCGTTACTTGCTGACTGGAAAGATTATGCCGGCTGGTTTGGTTGCTGGGATCAGGTAAAAGTTTCCTCTTTTCTCCTTTCCTTTTGTGAACCACTGGCTAGGCTATCTATCTTTGTTTCTGTCCAAGATTTGGTATTTTGAGTTTTTTTACGCCATTCACTTAACCTAAGAACCATATCTGTATTGCAGTGCTCTCATGACCTGTTTTTACGTATACAAGATCGCGACTGGTGGCAATAAATTCCCATCAAAAGCTGAATGATGGTTATGCAACTCTGTTTTTTCGTGGATGCAGATGATACTCTCCGTTGTTGAATTTGTCGATTAGAAATCTCTTTGGTGTAGAAAATGCTGCTGTCATAACGCCTTAATAGCTTGTATTAGTCAAAGAACTGCATATGGTCTTGTGTTTTCTTGTCATCGTGTTTTTGTAACCACAAACTGTTTTGAGCAATACTACTATATATATGAGATATATCTGCCGTTTTGATACACACTTGGGATCTGAGGATGAGCACATCGTAAAACAAAATAGAAGTTGATCCTCAAAACTTCTTTGTACCTTGTCTCATCACAACAAAAATTTTTGAAGTGTGTTTGATCTCTCCTTAAAGTATATCTTGATTCATGACTGCAGTGACTAAGGCAAGACTCTTTTGCAAGAATATGGAAACCAGAGCCAAGCTGTGCCATGATTCTTTTGGAGAAGTTGGAGTTGTGCGTGCTCTCATGAAAAGGGAAACTTAAGCTAAAAGGTCCATCAATGGAGGTGACACATAGTTTTAGAAAATGTGATTTTCTCATGCTAGAAATGTTATGGAGACCCAATTGTGCTTTTTGAAAAAAATTGTCATGCTAGTAATCTTTACTTAACGAGGTGACAGCTAAGATGAGTTCTTTTTATCCCCCATTCTCAAAAGTCAAAATAGCTACTGCAAAGTCTGATTACGTTTTAAACTAAATTTTCCATTCTAAGGACGTAGTAGTTTGTGAAGATTATTGCTAAACAGCTCATAGGTTCAATAATTCACTTATTCTTCACTCCATCTTCAGCAGAAAAAAAAAAAAGTAAAAAGAAACTCTGAAAGCTCTCCACTACCATGGCATGCCCTAGAGTGATCTTTCTGATTCTGATCAAATTCTCCATGGAAAGCTTAGTTCAATAAACTTATATAACATTTGTACGCTTTACTATAGTTAAACTGTAATTATGGATGAGTTGACTGAACCTCGATTTGATTTAGTTTTTTTTTTTTTTTTTTTTTTGTAATAAAAAAACGTTTATTCCAACAAACTGTGATTAATTTTCTACACAGTTAAAAATAATCATTTATTCTCAACTCCAATCCTGTCCGGACGAGACCAATCTACATTTTTATACCAATAATATAACATTTTGGCGAATGAAGAGCTTCACGCCCTTCAGCAGATTAAATGGGTATTTTAATTGTGGTAATTAGTTTTTCTTCCATTGTATTAATTATAACTAAACTGAGGGGCTGTTTTGAAATTAATTAAAAATATGTCATCTTTCAGACAACCCACAAAAAACAAAATAGTTACTACTAGTGTTTTTTACTTTTCATCATACACGTAAACTTAAACGGGAAACTTTCCTCTCCACCATTTGAACCTTCCTCTCCACCATTTTTTTTTTTTTGGTAACATCCTCTCCTCTCCACCATTTGTCTGCATCTCTCCGATGAGCTCCTAAAACTTCTTTCACTCTCCATCACCTAAATTTTCCTCAGAACGTATATGATTGTTTGTTTATTTCGTCCCCTCCACGATTTGTCTTTGTTTCTGAGAAGTTTTTGATCGGTAAATTTCTTTCTTTTCTTCGCATTGCTTCATGAACTACGTTGTTGGGTTTCTTAATTACTCATTTTCCTGCTCCTTTGTATTAACCACATCTGACTTAAAAAGAAGTATTTTATAAAAACGTAAACACATGAGTTAGGGTTTAGGATTTTTTGAAATTTCTCAACTTTGGCAAGTTCAAAATCCTCCAATGTCATTAAAGGAACCTTCTTTGTACTTTTGTAGTGATTGTGTTTTGTTTAACCCCCAAAGGTTATACCTTTTAACATGAGTTGGAATTGGAGATTTAGGTGACTATCTCGGGTTCTATGATACTTGTGATGAATTGATAGTGCTCTAGTTGAAGATGATAGTTGGTTTATCAACTGTATGGTTCTTAATGATTCATTTTCCATCATCTTTAGAGTTTCGAGTAGCACATTTACATATTGTCTTGAGAGTGGATGAATATAGTCAATGCTTTAGTTGATGATGAGAATTGGTTTGATTGGTGCAGGTCTAAAGTTGATCACATACATCAAGTAAATGGCAGACATGTTCTCAAAGTCTTACAATCAAGTAAAAAAAGATTGGGAGAAGATTGGAAAGCTTTATGTTTCGCCAGAGGTAGTGGAAAAAGGCAACGGGTTTGACTCATGCCTAGGGTTTTATGACCCCGGGAAAAAAGTGATGGTCAAGAGGAGGAATTTATCGGTGGAGAACCTCGAGAAATCTGAAAGAGAATATAGTATTTTGGAGGACTGCGAAAAACACGAAAACATTCTCAATTGGATCACTCTCGATAAGAATGATGAATTTTCCTACATGTCGGAAGAGCGTTGGAGTTTCACGCTAGAGAAGCTCGTGAATTACTTTCGAAGCACCAAGACAACAACTAAACTACCTTGTCCAAAACCTCTTGAACAATATATCATCAATACTGGTATGAACCTAGGAAAAGATATTGATGCTCTCATGTTGAAGCTGATGGAGGACGTTGCTAAAGGCTTGAATCACTTGCATGAGATGGGTTTTTTTCATCGAGATTTGAACCCACAGAACGTAGTCATAGTGTGTGGAAGAAAATCTATGACAGCAAAGATTGCTAATTTCTGTACCACTGAACGTATTAGCATCAATCGGCGGAGATCTAAAGTTACAACAATAAGTAAGTTAACTTGTTTTAATGAATGTATAAATTAATTTGTTTTGTTAAATATGCTAACTTGTCTCTTTGTGCAGACCATTATACTACGGGTTTTCAACCTCCAGAACAGATTAAGAACAATAATTTAAGGAAAATCGATGGTGTTGGTATAACTCCGGAAACTTTAAAAGTTGATTTGTTTAGTTTTGGTTGCGTTATTTTCTACTCGTTAACTTTGGGTGAGCATCCTTTTGGAGCTCCTCATGGCTCCATACCTCAAGTATGCGAATCATATATCTGTCGGAATCAGCTCGCGCTCCACCATTGTAAAACAGAAGAAGCTAAAGTTCTTGTCGCCAAATTGCTGCACCATACACCTAGTGCACGGTAAATCTTCTCGTCTTATGATTTATTAGAATTTCTAAAGCCTTTGACACCAAATTACTCGACCTCTTGCTTTGTTACAGTATCACTATAACTTCTGCGTTACACGATCCTTTGTTTTGGAGTTTTGAGAAGAAGTTGGCATTTTTCAAGGATGTTAGTGAGATAATGGAGAAACAAGAAGCAACTGGACAAATGTTAGAAAGCTTCCTGGAAGTCGAGAGACAAAATGTTATAGGAACTGCTACGAGCTGGGGTACACTGATAGATCCCCAGTTAGTCACTTACATAACTGATCCAACCAATCCAAATAGAATCGATCCAAATAGATTGATGCATGCAAATGTTCGCCGCTTGGTACGACTAATTAGGAACCACCACAGTCACTTCATACAACTTCCTGCAAACATCCAGGTTCGCCTCATAATGAAAAAAGTCATTGAAACCATAATACACACAAGCTTCAATTGATTTATTTTCAATTTTATGATGTCTCAGGCACTTTATAGGGGAACGGTTCAAGGACTAGAGGAATATTATCGTGAGACATTTCCTAGGTTGCTCATGACAGTCTATTCAGTCGTCATCATGCATAAGAATGTGGTTGGGTCGGAATTCGGAGAGTACATTACAAAGTACTATGCATAAAATATCAGAGGAAGAGATGTGTTTAGGAGAAGAATGAGTGTGCTTTTTGCTACTACGTTTACTCAAACATTTGAGCTTATAGAGCCATGAGTAATGCATAGTGTCTAAATAAATGTCTAAACTTGTTAGTATCTATTTTCTTATAGATAATCTCTTTCATTTTGAACTCATGTGGAAAAAAAGTAAATGAGATTTGAGTCTATGCTTTTCTTTCTTCCGTCTCTTTTGGAAAAAGCTGAATGATGGTTATGCAACTATGGTTTTTCGTTGATGCAGATGATACTCTCTGTTATTGAATTTGTCGATTAAAAATCTCTTTGGTGTAGAAAATGCTGTCATAACGCCCTAATAGCTTGTATTAGTCAAAGAACTGCATATGGTCTTGTCGGTTATGAGATTAGTTTCTGGTCATCGTGTGTTTTTAACCACAAACTGTTTTGAGCCATACTACTATATATAAGATATCTGACGTTTAGCTACACACTTGGGATTTGAGGATGAGCACATCGTAAAACAAAATAGAAGTTAATCCTCAAAACTTCTTTGTCCATTGGTGTCATCACAACAAAAAATATGGAACTATGTTTGAATGTTTGAATGTGTTGTGTTTTTGGCATTTTTGAGTCTTTATATTTTGAGTCTTTTGTCGAGTTTAAGCGTCTTTTAGATGTTTTTAGAGTCCGTCGAGTCGTTTTTTAGTCATTTCAGGTGCTGCAATAAAGATAGATGAAGTTTGTAGCAAAAAGCCGCTCAAAGAGTATGGAAATACGTTCACACCAGTTGACCCGACCTATTGACCCGACCAGAGATAGGGCGAGTCAAAACATCTGCTGATCCGTCCAATCCACCCGATCTATTCACCCGACCAGAGGTAGGGCGAGTCAAAACATCTGCTGATCCGTCCAGTCCACCCGACCTATACACCCGACTAGAGGTAGGGCGAGTCAAAACATCTGCTGATCCGTTTAATCCATCGACCTATTCACCCGACCAGAGGTAGGGCGAGTTAAAACATCCGTCCAATCCACCTGACCTATCTATACTATATATGAGATATCTGACGTTATGGTACACACTTGGTATCTGAGAATGTGCACATCGTAATACGTACAAAGTAGAAGTTGATCCTCAAAACTTCTTTGTACCTTCATATCTTCTCCATAGATCAGTTTCCTGAAGAGCATGAAAAACAGTGTCAAGCGGACTATGACAAAAACTCATCTTTAAGTTTCTGAAACAAGACCACATAGAACCCTTCACCAACCAATCTTACGTCTCTCTTTCCAAGAATCTAAGTTATGGCCTGTTGATTCAGCTCTTTACCTACAACCCCACACGTCGCTTGTAACAGATGCTCCTAAAGAAGGGTTACAAGTTTTCGCCTCAGAGTTTGCCAATGATTTTGTAATTGCTTATAACTACAGCTATGATCCAACGGCTGAGTATTTATCTTTCATTGACAACGGAAACTTCTCCGTTGATGGTTTCCTATCAGACTTCCTGGTGACTCCATATCGAGCCATCAGTAAGTAAAAAAGAACTCTATTTTTCTGTCTTTTATTCGATCTTTTCATTGCATATAACTACAATTATGATTCTTTTTTGCTTTCCAAGATTGCTTCTCTCATTTGGATACCAAAAGAGCTAAGGAACAAGGTGATGCACAAGAGAAAACCATATACATATGATTTCTAAATCGTTTAGTTGCATTTTAATCGTTATGTCTTGCAGCTAAGATAACTATTATCTCGAAGAATGGAGCGAGTGGAGATTTCCTGGGCTGTACTGACTTGCGTATCAGAGAGCTGCAATCGACGGGGTTGACATTCTTGATTGCAATGTGCAGATGTCTAAAGACAAGATTTCCTATATATGAAGTAACGGACTTTGTTAGGATTTAGGAATCCAGTCAACAAGCCAAGAAGGGATCTGATCTGGATATATATTTTAGTTGGTTTAAAGATCTGGGATATATGTTAATCTTGTTTGTTGCATCAGCTGAATACTCCTCGATTGGTGTTTTAACGGTAAAAATCTCGTTAATTTTTTCTTGAACCCAATAATACTCTGTGATGTGGAACGATAAAGCACTTAGTCGATTGTTTATGGCAGCAGCTAAGTTCTTGGTTCCATCGTTCACGTTAAGCATCTCTCGAGCACAACGTAGAATAAATTAAGCCTGCAAAATTAATAATCACGACCGTTAATTACCAGTTATAAAAAAAGCAAAACCATAGCTTATAAATTCCTCGTTGGATGCCCATGAATGCCCATTCGAGTCGGGTACATGTCAAAACCATCGGCTTGAGGATCAACTTGATCCCTGTTTGAACATCGATTTTCCCTTGCAACGTGGGATATCCAGGGAGCTTGCTTTCCATAAGCTCTCAGCGATGCGATCACCACAACAAGCCTTAGCAAAAAATGTACAGCCACGGTAGAAACTTTCTCCAGGCACAACATTTACCAAACATTTGAAGTGGTTTATGTTAAAATATATATAGATTTGTAGTCTTTTTATAAGGAAGATGGGCCAACAATGTGTGAAGTGGGCCAACAATATATATACATGCGTCCGGGCCGGCACTGGGCCCATTACCACTTGGTCTATATATCTAGTGACCGGGGATCTTTCGGCACAACAAAAAAGAGATAGAGAACTCCCCTAGATCGAAAGAAAGAAGATGGCGGATACTCTGCGGCGGATGTTGGAAAGCGGAAAGTTAACGGACGAACAATGCCTCTCTTTTTTGAGGGGATTAGATTTCGATAAAGAAGCCAAAGTAGTGGGTGGATGCACATCTGAGGTATTACTTTTGTCCATGGCGATTGTAATTTGTATTTTGATCCTATGGGGTTTAGGTATTAGAAGATTTCGTTCCTATCCCAATTCAACTTTCTCACTCTCCTTGTTGTATCATCAGATCACCCCCGTCCATAGTAGGGAAAGGGAAAAGAAAGCAATTCAAGGAACAAATGAGGAAGAAGAAGCTGTCGACAACCGGAAATCTCTGCGGCAGTTGTTGGACATCCGGAAGCTATCTGGTGAAGATAGGTATTTTATTATTCGCCAATTGGATGAAGAAGGGCTGGTAGTAGACACAAGATACCTTTGCCAAATCGCAGATACTCAGGTAAACCCTTATATTACTTTTTTTTTTTAACCTCCCCCTGGATTCCTAGCGATATTGTATTATTTGGGTGCCTATAGGGTTTCGATTTCGATCCAGACGTTCCTATCCCACGTCTTAAAGGAATCTCACCATTTTATTTTGGCGAAAACGAAGAACAACCACCTGCCGAAATGGTTCTCTACGGCCGGTTGGGAGTTCATTGGTTCAACTTTGAGCAGAAAAGGAAGTTGGAGTTCATACGCATACCAAAATTGAATACCGAACATCCCTTTTCTTTTTCTTACTTTATTACTGTCGAGGTTAAAGATGTTGATGCTGCTGCTGCTGATTCTCTCACTTTGCAAACTCTGGTCAGGAGACCTTTCTTTCCCCATATGAAACTCTACATGGAACGCTGCAGAATCAAACCCACAAAAGGTTTTCTTTCTTTACATTTATTTTACCAATTGAACAAAGAAAGAAAAAGGTTTTTTTTATTACTGACGACTTTTGTTTGTTTCTCTCCTTCTTTTGTAGCGGAAAGAGATCCCGAGTTTAACATCTTCCATGCTTATGTAGTAGATGAGTTTTACCAAGGATGTATGCCTACCTTTTTGTCGGAACTACCAGAAGAAGCTGATGATGATGATGGTGTTAGATTCTACGAGGTTCAGGCCAAGGACATTGATAATAATGATTGGCTTCGTCTCTATACCGAGTTTGCACTTTTCCAAGTTTGCGAGGCTGGATCTCATTCTTTCCTGCCCAAGGAGATGAAGATAAAGAAGATACTTGTGGAAACCCTAGAAACTCATACTGAGCCGTCTCTGAAGCTAGAATCTTTGAATGCTATCTTCCACATAAGCTTCAGGGCCAACAGTTGCGACTACACATCGGTAGTAAGGAGAACTACAGATTGGATTCCAGGACATATGTTCCTCGAAGTCGAAAATTTCTCTCGAGAAGTTCCTTCATGAGAGGATCAAAGTTGGTCGTAAAGACGGTGCACTCGGTGACTCTGTTACAATCAGTCGTGAGAAGAACAAGATCACTGTCACTTCTGATGGGAAATGTCGTTTAGCTATCCTATGCTTTCTAATCCACTTAACTATATCTATGATCTTGTATTTGTGTTCTATCGTATCAAACACTTAACATTTTGTTTGTGTGTTTCTGTTGACGATTTCTATGTAACGTGATGTTGTTGTGTTTTAAATTTGTCTTTTATCATTTTCCTACACGTTGCAACTCTAATCAAACTTTGCCGTTTGTTCTCTTTTCGTTGGAATCTTTGAAACACAGAGAAGATAATCAAATCATGTTCATAACAATGCACCAGACTCTCTCTAGGAAACTTAACTACTGGTTTGGAAACCTTTTCTATATTTTCAAAGCAAATTCTTATCAGAGTACAGCTTAGATTTTAATTTTCCGGTTAGTATATGCTACAACTGTTCTCCTTGTGTTCTTTCAGCTTTGATCTATCCCGAGCTATCCACTGATCACAGCCCGAAAGTGGTAAATAGTTCAGCTGCTGCAAAAGATAGGCTAATCCATTTGCCTTTTGAGAAGAAGTCGCTGTATTGGAAGGCATGTGAGTCGATGGAAGGTTACAAATCCGTGCCACAACGACCTCACTTCAACCTACTGACGATACCCGAGAGCGGTCGGCTATTGGCATGATGGCGAGCTATTACGCGTTGCTAGACCAAGTCAGAGACGTGAAGCTCGATGACTCTACTACCAAACTCAACGAGCTGATCAGTGTCTCCTTTGCTAAACTAGAAAAGTATGTCTTTCGACACTGCAGCTCCTCAATCACGGATTGACAAATTGTTGTCTTTAAACAGACGTGCGAGCAAAGAAAGCTGAAGAACAGAAATGTTTCGAGGATAAGATTGAAGAGGCAGAGAGCGGAAGTCTCAAGTTAGAGAAAGAAAGAGCTGGGATAGAAAAAGAAAGAGCTGAGTTGTAACGTAGGTTTCTTGAGCTACAGAGACGAGATGAGGTTGCGAAAGAGACGAACGAATACTTTGATAAAAAGATTGTTGAAATGAAAGCAAGTGTAGGAGTGATTGAACAAGAGACTGAAGAAGTGACTGAAGCTCAAAGAATTTTGTCTGCTCCATGGTAATTAGCTAAAGAAGTAAACCAAACCTGTTGAGATTTATGCAATCTCTCCAGCCTCAAGCTTTCTCCCTGCAAGTCATCACCATCTATATACTGAACCAACAAGCTTCCATTCGGAGAGGATAAAGGGAAAGAAGGAGAACACAATTCATTTGTTGACCCGGTTCATGGGCCACTACATCCGGTTGGGATCTTTCGATCCCTAACTTCATTATCAAGAGATGATACATATGAGAAGAGATTCACACTCAAGAAATCACTCTTCTCTCACCAAGAAAACCAACCCGAAGCTTATATGCTTCTTACATGTTTTCTACATCTTTACTTGCCCCATTTTGTCTCACACACTCTCTCACAATGGCTGGGAGCAACAGCTCCCCTTAGGAGGCAAAACGCCTCTCACTTGTGTGCTACGGATCCGCTGGAGTTAAGGCCTCCTCTTAGTCTCTCAGATCCGCTGGAGACTTGTCTTGGAAGAGCCAAGGAACATTCTCCTCTATGTTAGCATCAATGCTTCTTGGAGCCAAGGAACATTCTCCTCCTATTGTTGAAACACTCTCTTTGACTTAGAATGCAAAAACATAATAAACTCTTCTCAAGTTAGATCATATTCCAACAATCTCCACCATGAGCTAATCTTGAAATCTCCTTGTGAATTGCCCCTTTAGAGCCTTTGACATATGGCTCTAGACTTGCCACCTTGATCCTCCTTTGAACCTGCATATGTATGAACATACACACACAACACCTTAGTGGAATAATAATAATAATCCACAACACCATCAATAACCCAACAGAACGTTTGATTTGCTCCAAACGTGTAATATACTTGTCTTCTCCTTGAGTTGCATAACCAGCCCATAAAATCCATATGACCAAGCCAACTTATCATTGATCCTCTTGTATTGAACTTACATTCAACACGCTTCCGCTGTGATACTTCACACGGTCAAACGATCCTGAGATGACTAGCAAACCATAAGTTCCACCACTTATGAACCATCCAATCACACATTCTCCACCATGGCTTCTGTAAAGACCCCAAGAACGTCTTCAGTGATTGAAGAATCATATAACCCTCTGCAAAAAACGTGATTCCCTTGCTATAGCTCCTATGATTTACTCATGTGCACTGAGATCAAAATCCTCTGAATTTCCTTGAATCAATTGCAGAAAACCGATTAATCAACTTAGCCTCGAACTTGAAGAGAATTTGCAATAAGAGCAACACAGACAAGAGATGTGATCACAAATGAGAGTACACATTTCTTCTCCATAAACACATACCTCATTGAAGAGAATTTGTGGTCATGAGACAAAAGCATGACACCAAAATGTGAATCAAAACCTCTTTAGCAATCTTCTTCTGCAAATACATCAATTTAGCTGATTATAAAATCCTCAGCTCAAGCTCGAATTAGGCCACTAGCATCTTCACACACTAAGTCCTATTAAACAAATCAAGATTCAGATAAGTGCATAAGTTTTCTGAAACAGAGTGTTTTCTTTTATCCTCTAAAACCTCTCTGATCAAAATTTATGAGTTAATTAGCCAATCAGACAACTATACAGCTAGATTAACCTCAGATTAAGTAACTCTTCACCAAAACCACATAAGAAAAAAACATTTACCGATACGAAAACTCATGGTTGGAAATTGCTTCAAGGTTTGATATCATCACATAAGAAAAAAAAGTTACAAGAAAACGTCTCACACGATAAAGCAAAATCAAACCTAAGAATTGATGGAGTAGAGATTGGAACCTGAGCTTTTTTTTTGTTTCCTCTGTATTGGTGCAAAAGAGGAAGAACAAAGAATTTTGCTTTGGTATGAATGAAAGCAAAACACTCTTGTGAAGGTTTACCAGAGGCAGGGCGAGTCGAAACATCTGCTGATCCGTCCAATCCACCCGACGTATCTTGAGAGTTGAGAGACATGTTTGCTACAAAGATCATCCCATTTCTCTTGGGTCAAGTTTGTTCTTGGTTTCTTAGAGATGAAAACAACTGCCAGAGGTTTCCGAGTCTGAAATCCATGTGAGCAGGGTGGAGATTTCCTATGAAGTAACACTTCAAATCCAGTCAACGACCGTTAATTACCAGTAATAAAAAAGCAAAACCATAGCCTATAAGCTCCTCGTCGTCGTCACTTTACTTGGATTTGAAGTGGATGTCCATGAATGCCCATTCGAATCCGGAACATGTCAAAAGTACCATCGGCTAGACATAGCTTGAGGATCAACTTGAACCGAGGTTGGACATGGATTTTCTCTTGCAACGTGTGATATCCAGCGAGGTTTCCATAAGCTCTCATCTCAGCGATGCGATCCACCAGTACCACAAGCCTTAGCAAAAAGTTACAGCCTCGGTAGAAACTTTCTCCAGTCACATTATCATTGTCACACTAAATACATATATATATATCTTTCTAGTCTTTTTAAAAGGAAGATGGGCCAAAAATGTGTGAAGCCCTATACATAGTCTATATATCTAGTGACCACCTATCGGCGCAAAAAAGAGAAAAAGATAGAGAAATCCGTAGATCGATCGAAAGAAGATGGCGGATACTCTGAAGCGGATGTTGGAAAGCGGAAAGCTAACGGACGAACAATGCCTCTCTATATTGAGGGGAATAGATTTGGATGAAGAAATGGGTGGATGCACATCTGAGGTATTACTTTTGGCCCATGGCGATTGTAATTTGTATTTGATGATCCGATTAGGTTTAGGTATTAGATTTCCCAAACCAACTCTCCTTGTTGTATCATCATCAGATCACCCCTGTCGATAGTAGAAAAAGGAAAAAGATAGCGATTCAAGGAACAAATGAGGAAGAAGAAGTCGACAACCGGAAACCTCTGCTGCAGTTGTTGGACATGCGGAAGCTACCTAATGAAGAAAAGAAACGTATTTTTTGCCAATATGAAGAACTAGGGGTTGAAGAAGACATGGATTACATTTGGCAAATCGCAAATACTCAGGTAACCCCTAATATTTTTTTTTTTTTTGCCTCCCCCCATAGATTCTATTGTAATTTTTTTTTATTTTTTATATTGGGTTTAGGGTTTCGATTTCAATCCTGACGTTCGTATCCCACGTCTTAAAGGATACTCACCATTTTATTTTGGCGAAAACGAAGAACAACCACCTACGGAAATGGTTCTCTACGGCCGTTTGGGAGTTCATTGGTTCAACTTTGAGCAGAAAAGGAAGTTGGAGTTCATACGCATACCAAAATTGAATACCGAACATCCCTTTTCTTTTTCTTACTTTATTACTGTCGAGGTTAAAGATGATGATGCTGCTGCTGCTGATTCTCTCACTTTGCAAACTCTGGTCAGGAGACCTTCCTTTCCCGAGTTGAAACTCTTGATGGAACGCTGCAGAATCAAACCAGGTTTTCTTTCTTTATATTTTATTTAGCCTACCAATTGAACAAAGAAAGAAAAGAGATTTGGTTTTCTAGCAGCTACTCACGAGTCACAACTTTTTGTTTGTTTCTCTCTTTCTTTTGTAGCGGAAATATCAGACCACTCGTTTAACTGCTTCTATCAGTCTTTCCGAGGATGTATGCCTACCTTTTTGTCGGAACTACCAGAAGAAGCTGATGATGATGATGGTGTTAGATTCTACGAGGTTCAGGCCAAGGACATTGATAATAATGATTGGCTTCGTCTCTATACCGAGTTTGCACTTTTCCAAGTTTGCGAGGCTGGATCTCATTCTTTCCTGCCAGAGCAGATAAAGATGAAGAAGATACTTGTGGAAACCCCAGAACCTCATACTGATCCGTCTCTCAAGCTCGACTCTATGAATGCTATCTTCCACATAAGCTTCAGGGCCAACAGTTGCGACTACACATCGGTAGTAAGGAGATCTACCGATGGGATTCCAGGACATATGTTCCTCGAAGTCGAAAATTTCTCTCGAGAAGTTCCTTCATGAGAGGATCAAAGTTGATCGTAAAGCCGGTGCACTCGGTGACTCTGTTACAATCACTCGTGAGAAGAACAAGATCACTGTCACTTCTGATGGGAAATGTCGTTTAGCTATCCTATGCTTTCTAATCCACTTAACTATATCTATGATCTTGTATTTGTGTTCTATTGTATCAAACACTTAACATTTTGTTTGTGTGTTTCTGTTGACGATTTCTATGTAACGTGATGGCTCAAACGATTGGTCAAAGCCATGCAACCTTCAACTCCCAAACAAAAGTTGGTCGCATCCTCACATCCTGAGGTTATTATCCCTGAGCCTACTCGATACTCCTCTGTTGATCCTCTAAACCCATCACGTTACACCAACCATGGAGATCCGGTTCCCCGTGAGTATCCCTCTCTAGAGGATGATGATGACACACCATTCACCTTCCAGCGACAGAGGTCTCGCAGCCCTCGCATTATTCCTCACCTTTGATCGGGTTAGGTCTCTCATCCTTTGTATATATCATTATTTCATTTTGTACTTTCCTTTCATTTTCCCTCGGGATTACTTTCACACCGGGCCAGTGTAAGTAAGTCTGGGGAGGGTGATTACTGATCAGTGTTGCATTTTTTTTTTTTGGGTGTTTTCTTTGAGTCATTTTGATGTCATTCTTTTACTCGTTGAGTCTGTTTTATCGAGTCAAAAATCGTGTCAAGAAACAAGGTTGATAATTGAAGGGTGGTGTCTTATTTGAGTTGTAAGATGTTGTAGTTGAGTTGATTCCTGATTTTAATTAGTGTTCTTGCCATTGATTGACAATAGAGCCAACCTCAATGACAAAACAAGCTTGCAAAATCGATTTTCATTATCTCTGGTGACTGAAACTCATCTGAAAGTTTCTTTTTCGATACAGTCATCGCAGCTGCTCTCACACTAGTCATGGGACAGCGTTACTTGCTGACTGGAAAGATTATGCCGGCTGGTTTGGTTGCTGGGATCAGGTAAAAGTTTCCTCTTTTCTCCTTTCCTTCTATGAACCACTGGCTAGGCTATCTATCTTTGTTTCGGTCCAAGATTTGGTATTTTGAGCTTTTTTACACCATTCACTTAACCTAAGAACCATATCTGTATTGCAGTGCTCTCATGACCTGTTTTTACGTATACAAGATCTCTACTGGTGGCAATAAATTCCCATCAAAAGCTGAATGATGGTTATGCAACTCTGGTTTTTCGTGGATGCAGATGATACTCTCTGTTGTTGAATTTGTCGATTAGAAATCTCTTTGGTGTAGACAATGCTGCTGTCATAATGTCTTACTAGCTTGTATTAGTCAAAGAACTGCATATGGTCTTGTGTGTTTCTGAGATTAGTTTCTTGTCATCGTATTTTTGTAACCACAAACTGTTTTGAGCCATACAATATATGAGATATCTGACGTTTTTATACACACTTGGGATCTGAGAATGAGAACATCGTAAAACAAAATATAAGTTAATCCTCAAAACTTCTTTGTACCTTGTGTCATCACAACAAAAAAATTTGAACTGTGTTTGATCTCTCCTTAAAGTTTATATATTGATTCATGACTGTAGTGACTAAGGCATGCAAGACTCTTTTGCAAGAATATGGAAACCAGAGCCAAGCTGTGCGATGATTCTTTTGCAGAAGTTGGAGAAAAGGTTGTGCCCTGATGAAAAAGGAAACTTAAGCTAAAGGTCCATCAATGGAGGTGACACATAGTTTTAGAAAATGTGCTTTTCTCATGCTAGAAATGTTATGGAGAACCAATGTGCTCTTTGGAAAAACTTGTCATGCTAGTAATCTTTACTTTAACCAGGTGACAGCTAAGATAAGTTCTTTTTGACCCCATTTCCAATAGAGCAACGTTCTTCTCACAAATATAGAAAAACTGCAATTAATGCTACTGCAGAGTCTGATTACGTTTTAAGCTAAATCTTCCATTCTAAGGACGTAGTAGTTTGTGTAGATTATTGCTAAACAGCTCATGAGTTCAATTATTCACTTATTCTTCACTCCATCTTCAGCAAAAAAAGAAGTAAAAAGAAACACTTGAAAGCTCTCCACTACCATGGCGTGCCCTAGAGTGATTTTTCTGATTCTGATCAAGTTCTTCATTTTACAGACTGCTTTGTCAAGTTCTTGGCAAACATTGAGTGGTTAGAGACAGAGTTCTCTCACTTTTTCAACACATGATTTTTTTAAAAAATGTTCTTACACTTTCTTGATGTGTTTTTGGCAGGGAAACCTCCGGCTGTGATTGCTCGAGGCGGATTCTCTGGTATGTTTCCAGATTCCAGTAGTGATGCATATCAGTCGGTGAATATAACAACTTCACCAGACGTAATGCTCTGGTGTGATCTTCAACTAACAAAGGATGGTGTTGGAATCTGCTTTCCAAATTTGAATCTTGATAACGGTTCTGATGTAATGACCATTTACCCAAATTACAAAGAAAGGTTTTCTGTTGATTTTACATGGAAGGAACTATCTGATGTGAAATGTAAGTCCTTTTAACTATATCTCGTTTCTTTAAACCCTCTTCTAAGCTTCTTAAATTAAAATGTTCAATTCAACGTTTCTGATTGTAACTCAAGTTTCTCCCCTCAACAGTGGCCCGGGGTGTTCTCTCAAGACCAAATATATTTGATGATCTTTCCTCGATAATGGCTATTGAAGAAGTAGCAAAGTTGACAGCCTCAGGCCTCTGGTTAAACATTCAGGTATAACGTATATACTCTTTTATCGCTCAAAGTCTTTTCCATAAGATCAATAAGTAATCTTCTTCCTTTACTTGTCGTCTCTACACTTATAGGACAGTGCTTTCTACGCGCAACACAATTTGAGTATGAGAATCTCTGTTGTCTCTCTATCAAGACGCCTGAAAGTTAACTTCATATCTTCTCCAGAGATCAGTTACCTGAAGAGCATGAAAAACAGTGTCAAGCCGACTGTGACAAAACTCATCTTTAGGTTTCTGAAACAAGACCACATAGAACCCTTCACCAACCAATCTTACGGCTCTCTTGCCAAGAATCTAAGTTATATAAGAACGTTTTCTTCTGGAATTCTTGTTCCAAAATCTTACATATGGCCCGTAGATTCAGCTCTTTACCTACAACCCCACACGTCGCTTGTAACAGATGCTCATAAAGAAGGTTTACAAGTTTTCGCCTCGGAGTTTGCCAATGATTTTGTAATTGCTTATAACTACAGCTATGATCCATCGGCTGAGTATTTATCTTTCATTGACAACGGAAACTTCTCCGTTGATGGTTTCATATCAGACTTCCCGGTGACTCCATATCGAGCCATCAGTAAGTAAAAATGAACTCTGTTTCTCTGTTTCTTCATCGATCTTTGCATTGCATATAACTTCAGTTATGATTCTTGTTTCCTTTCCAAGATTGCTTCTCTCATGTGGACACCAAAAGAGCTAAGGAGCAAGGTAATGCACAAGAGAAAACCATATACATATGATTTATAAATCGTTTCGTTGCATTTTAACCATTATGTCTTGCAGCTAAGATAACTATTATCTCGAAGAATGGAGCGAGTGGAGATTTCCCGGGCTGTACTGACTTGGCGTATGAGAGAGCTGAAAGCGACGGGGCAGACATTCTTGATTGCAATGTCCAGATGTCTAAAGACAAGATTCCCTTTTGTATGAGCTCCATTGATCTTATAAACAGCACTAATGTTATCGAAACAAGCTTCAAAAATCTGTCATCAGTAGTTTCAGAGATTCAACCAAGAAGTGGGATCTACAGTTTCAGCCTGACCATGTCTCAGATACAAACCTTGAAGCGTAAGAGCCAAAAATACAAAGTAAAATCAAGATTCAATATAAAGACTTTGAATGGAGATTTTATCTGAATTGGCTTTGTTTCCTCCTTTATTGCAGCTACTATTTCGAATCCTGAAAGGGACTGGGGTTTATTCAGAAACCCAAGAAACAACAAGGCTGGGAAGTTTCTTACATTATCCGAGTTCTTGTTTCTTCCAAACCGTTACAGCTCTCTCTTAGGCATCTTGATAGAAGTGGAGGTGGGAGTTCTGCTGCAAATCTTGTGTGTAAATAAGTACAACACATGACTCTTTTCTTGATATAGGATTTTCCGTTTCTTAGAATGCAGCTTATCTAGTGGAACATCAAGGAATTAGCGTGGTCGATGCGGTACTAGATGAATTGAAGAGAGCTAATAATAATCAGCAAAACAAGACAAGTGCAAGAACAATACTGATCCAGTCTACTGATAAATCTGTCTTGATGAAGTTCAAGGAGAAGAACAAAATGAATCATGATGAGCTAGTCTATAGAGTCGATAAAGACATCCGTGATGTAGAAGATTCTGCAGTCAGGGACATCAAGAATTTTGCAGGCTCGATTGTCATCAGGAAGAACTCAGTCTTTCCTTACAAAGGGTTTTTCATCTTTAAGAAGGGGCCAAATGTTGTTTCAAAGCTAAAATCAAGCGGGCTTCGTGTTTACGTAGAAACATTTAGCAATGAGTTTGTAACTCAAGAATATGATTTTTACGCGGATCCAACGTTGGAGATAGACTGTTTTGTCCGGGATATTCAAGTTGATGGCATCGTCACTGACTTCCCAGCAACCACTGCAAGATACAGAAGTAAAAATTTAGTCTGTCTTCTCTCTATTGCTTCTTTAACTTTCCTTGCGCCAATCTGAGATAATATTTGATTGCAGAGAACCAATGTTACGGCAAATTTGATCTGACTAAAACCGGTGAGCTCAGAACTTTAGGGAATCCATTGCTTCTTCCACCAGCTGAAGCTCCATATCCATTACTAGTTGACTCAGATGTGACGGAACCACCATTGCCTGAAGTAAGAAGTCAGACTCCTGCTTCTTCACCATCAAAGGCAGAGGAAAAAGCAATAGAAGTTCCCTTTGCATTTATAGCCATGGCCATTCTTGTGAGCTTCTTTATTTCAGTTTAGTGTGAAGTGCTTGTAACCTACTTCAACTGCAGTATCTATCTGCAAGTAAATCTATGAATAACAATGTTTAGTACTATATCATTCTTCTTTTTAAGATTTCTATAAGATATCTAGAATTTTAAATTTAGACGAGATATTAATAGGAATATGGGAATGGATAAACATATCTTTAAATCCAAGAAAACCAAAATTAGCTTATTTGATCTTTAACTCTCTTCCAATGGATTCTTCACCCAAATTTAACCATCCATTTATCAAGAAAAAAGGAAAGATACAATAAACAATCAAACATAAGGGAAGGATTCTAAGTAGCAAAATTTATTTCTCATTTTTGTTTGTTCCTTCTTTCTTTTGAGGCCAAAAGAGACCAGATTCATTTTTGGTTTCTTCAAAGGCCAAACCTTTTTTTCTTATTTTCTCAGCAAACCCTTTTGCCATCTTACAAAATAAATAAAAAGAAATCTGTTCGTCTGATAATTATCTCGATCCCTTTTGGATTCGAGGTTCAAGAACATTCATGAACTTCGAGTAATATCAATCATCTTCTTGTAGTAATAATCCAGGAAGATACATTATCAACACATATAATACAGAATGAAAATAAATTGCTTGTTCTGTTGTATGTCCGAGAGACGATTTAACAGACGATCATCATCGAGACAAAGCATCAAAGACTGCATTGATGCAAAGAACAATATAACTACGTTTGACAACATCTCTTTTAAAACAGGTCTCATTTTCTACCTTTTTCCATTATATACATTTTCAAATTCCTTAAAAGTTTTCTATCTAAAAGAAGCGAGGCGTATTTGCACATACCTGCAGATAGCAGTAGGCGAAGATACATATCCGAGGAGATAGCAAAACTCGGTAAAGGGAACATCAGTGCTCATATCTTTACATTCAGAGAGCTTTGCGTCGCTACCAAGAACTTCAACCCCGATAATCAGCTCGGTGAAGGCGGATTTGGAAGGGTTTACAAAGGGCACATAGAAACCCCGGAACAAGTACTATAACATTCTCTCATACAACATCTATCCATCATATTTTGTTCAGTTGTTTGATTCTGATTCTTGCGTGTTTAGGTTGTTGCGGTTAAGCAGCTAGACAGGAATGGTTACCAAGGGAACAGAGAGTTTCTTGTGGAAGTCATGATGTTGAGTCTCTTACATCATCAAAACCTTGTCAATTTGGTTGGATATTGCGCAGACGGCGATCAACGGATTCTTGTCTATGAATATATGCAAAATGGCTCTTTAGAGGATCATCTTTTAGGTAAAGTAAATCTAAACACCATCAAACATAATTTCACATCCACACATTCTAAAGATTACCATTTTTTTACTTCAGAATTGGCGCGGAACAAGAAGAAGCCATTGGATTGGGACACAAGAATGAAAGTTGCAGCAGGAGCAGCGAGAGGGCTTGAGTATCTACACGAAACAGCTGATCCTCCAGTTATCTACAGAGATTTCAAGGCCTCAAATATATTACTTGACGAAGAATTCAACCCAAAGCTTTCGGATTTCGGTTTAGCTAAGGTTGGTCCGACCGGTGGAGAGACTCATGTGTCAACGAGAGTGATGGGAACATACGGCTATTGTGCGCCTGAGTATGCTCTCACAGGACAGCTCACTGTGAAGTCCGATGTATACAGCTTTGGAGTCGTGTTCTTGGAGATGATCACAGGAAGAAGAGTTATTGACACCACAAAACCAACTCAAGAACAGAACTTAGTCACTTGGGTATGCAAAAGTTCTTCAATTTCTTCTATCTGAACAAAACCATTGATTGGTTTTCTTAATTTGGTTTGCTAAAATGCGCAGGCGAGTCCATTGTTCAAAGATAGGAGAAAGTTCACTTTAATGGCGGATCCATTGCTTGAAGGAAAGTACCCGATAAAAGGATTATATCAAGCGCTTGCAGTAGCAGCAATGTGTCTTCAAGAAGAAGCAGCAACGAGACCAATGATGAGTGATGTAGTCACTGCGCTTGAGTACTTAGCCGTGACCAAAACCGAAGAAGATGGACAAACTGTAGAAGAAGAAGAAGAAGAAGACGAAAGATCCAAACTTTGAGCAATTATTATTATTTTTGTTTCGTTTGTAATTTTGAAATGATCGGTTTTAGGAAATTTGAGGACTTTTCGAATTCACCAAAGAAAAAGAAAAATTAAATGAGAGTTTTCGAGTTCCCATCGAACATTTTAAAAGGATTTGCTGAGAATTTTGTATCTGGGTTTCAAAGTTTCAGACTTTAAAGCAAAATTTCAGAATTAAAAATCCCAACTTTAGCGGAAAAATGTCTTCTTTTTTGTTTGTTTCCTTTAAGTGAATGATAAAGAATTAATTAAAGAAGATAAAAGGGGAAAAGGGTTTAAGGGTTTGTCATAGAGAGCAATGGCAACCAGCTCAGCTTTGTGAAAAACGACAAAATTGGACAACGATAAACCCTACTTTTTATCTCTGGAAGACTCAATTCCTTCAAACTGGGGAGATTAGCTTCACTTACAACGGCCATGGGGGTTTCTCTTCGTCACTTGTCTCCTTCCTCTTTCTGGGTTTCGCGTCGTCCTCGCGTTTCTTCTTCAATTCTTTCTTTTCTTGTGCCTCGCCGTCGAATCCTTTGCACCAGGTTCACTTAGCTTTACCCATTAGTCAATTGCTCTGTTTCGTAAGTTTGTTATTGGTTTTATATAGTGGATGATTCCTTTGCACCAGGTAAAAATGTGTTTGCTGCAATTTGGTGTCAATTGCTCTGTTAAGGAGTCTGCTTTTGATTAACCTATTTTGGTTAAGTAGAGTAGTGTATTTAAGTTAGAGGTGGTTTGGTTATTATTCTGAGCTTGAAGGTGTTTCTCTTTGTGTTGATATCATTTTTTGGTGGTTATGATTTGCAGGAAAATAGCTATCACTAAGGGAAATGCCGGATATTCCACTGCTACTGATTGTGGTGGTTCTCATGGGTTTCAGCATTCAGGTGGTCATCAACGATCATCCTCTGTTGAGTTTAGTGGAGAGTGGAAGCTTAATTTGGGATCTAAGACGGCGAGGATGGTTCCGCCAACTGTGAAACAAGCTGGAGCTGTAAGTGCTTGGAGGGAGGAAGTCAATAATAAGTTAAGAGGAAGAAATGGCGAACATGCTAACAACCAGGATGATGCTTTGGGTAATTATTTCAAAGGCTTTGTCCCCAAATTAGATGATGTCCAATCGTATGGAAACGGCCACAACTTTGATTACAATCTGAAGCCTGGAACTGATATTACCACACTTGGTAGAGAATTGAATGGCTTTATGCAAACGAATAGTGTTAGAGGACCGGTCATTGCATTACCAAGCAAGGATATTGAGGTTGGGGGGAAAACAGACGTGACTCTGAAAGGAGACGAGGATGCACATGGAAAACGAAAACCTCTTAACAGTGATACATCTCTTGACAGTGCAAGCTATAAGAAAACAGCAACCATTTCCAATGTGGAAAAATGTGCCAACCTGTCGAAAGTCCGAGCAAACCTCAAGAAAATATATAATAGAGTTCTTGTTGTTGATAATGTGTCTAGTGCAAAGGAAACCGTGGCTATGCTGATGAATCAATATAGGAATCTTGTCCATGCTTGCGATACAGAGGTATGTGGTCATGCGCCTGCTAATACATTGTTGTTCACATGGCCTAGAAATGCTAATGTTCTTGACGTATAGACGCTTTTTTAAATACTGATTTTACTCTGATGATCAATTCTGTAGGTGTCCAGGATTGATGTGAAGACTGAAACACCTGTGGACCATGGAGAGATGATCTGTTTCAGTATCTATTGTGGATCAGAAGCAGATTTTGGAGACGGAAAATCATGTATCTGGGTAGATGTGCTTGGCGAAAATGGAAGGGATATCTTGGCTGAGTTTAAGCCATTTTTCGAGGACTTATCCATAAAAAAAGTGAGCTAAAACGAAAAACAACTTGCTGTGTTTCTATTTATTCAGTGAAATCTGGATAATCTGGTGTTACGAATCTAATTTCGCTTTTTCTCTTGTTGTGTGTTTCCCTGAAAAGATGATTGAATACTTCTTCACCTTGGCTCTCTTTTGTTTAGTTGGAGGCACTAATGACTTCTGAATCATGTTTTAATTTTGTAAATCATTTGAAAATGTTTTCATGATCAGTCAAACAACGCTTATAAGCTTGACCTTTCCTTTTACTTATAGGTATGGCATAACTACAGCTTTGATAACCACATCATCAGAAATTATGGAATCAAGCTTTCTGGTTTTCATGGTGATACGATGCACATGGCACGATTGTGGGATTCATCTAGACGAATATCGGGTGGTTATTCGCTCGAAGCACTTACAAGTGATCCAAGAGTTCTTGGGGGAACTGAGACAAAGGAGGAAGCAGAGTTATTTGGTAAAATATCAATGAAGAAAATTTTCGGTAAGGGAAAATTGAAAAAAGATGGATCAGAAGGGAAATTGGTGATCATTCCTCCTGTGAAAGAGCTACAAATGGAGGATCGAGAAGCTTGGATTTCCTACTCGGCGTTGGATTCGATAAGCACTCTAAAGCTTTATGAGAGCATGAAGAAGCAACTGCAAGCGAAGAAGTGGTTTCTTGATGGAAATCTAATTTCAAAACAGAACATGTTTGATTTCTACCAGGAATATTGGCAACCTTTTGGTGAACTTCTTGCCAAAATGGAATCGGAAGGAATGCTTGTAGATAGGGATTATTTGGCGCAGATTGAGATTGTAGCCAAAGCAGAACAAGAAATTGCTGTTTCCAGGTTCCGTAGTTGGGCTTCAAAGCATTGTCCAGATGCGAAGCATATGAATGTTGGCAGTGACACGCAATTGCGACAACTCTTTTTTGGTGGCATTTCTAACAGGTATGCTTCTGCAAGTCTTGATTTGAACTGCCTTATTTTTCCATTTATATAGAAGTTACCTTTAGAAGAAACCATGACATTTTGGTATTTGACATGTACCACATCACTTTATTACAAAGAAAACCAAATGTATGAGACTCTTGTATCAGAATTTGGTGAAGATTGTAATCTTTTTCCTTGATAAAACCAAGAAAAACACATGCAGCTCTCAGATTCAGTTTGTGAATCGTATTTTCTTCCCATTATGATGCAAAACAGGAATTACATAATTTCGTTTCCTAGAGCTTCTTATTTCTGATACTAAGTTTTGTTCATATCTGTTACAGTTGTAATGATGAGGATCTTCCATATGAAAAACTTTTCAAAGTTCCCAATGTGGATAAGGTGATTGAACAAGGAAAAAAGAGAGCCACAAAGTTCCGGAATATCAAACTGCATAGGATTAGCGACAGACCTTTGCCCACTGAAAAGTTCACTGCCTCAGGCTGGCCCTCTGTTAGTGGAGACACCTTGAAAGCCTTAGCTGGGAAAGTCTCTGCAGAATATGACTATACAGAAGGCGTTTCAGATACTTGTCTAGAAGAAAACATTGGAGATGATGATTGTATTTCGCTACCAGATGAAGTTTTAGAAACACAACACTCCAATTCCATTGTTGAATCAGACACATCTGCTTATGGAACTGCATTTGATGCGTTTGGAGGGGGTGAAAGTGGAAAGGAGGCCTGCCATGCTATTGCTGCATTATGTGAAGTTTGCTCCATTGATTCCTTAATATCAAATTTTATTCTTCCTTTACAGGTATGTGTTTTCTTTTAAAACAATGTTCCCTGGATTTCAAGCTACTTAATTATTTCCATTAGCATATCCTTTCAGGTTAAGTTTTTATGGAATTTGTTTTCCTAAATGACAGGGAAGTAATGTGTCAGGAAAAGATGGTCGTGTCCACTGCTCCCTGAATATTAACACTGAAACTGGGCGCTTATCGGCTAGAAGGCCAAATTTGCAGGTACATGGCTTGAACTTATTTAAGAGTTAGCTTGAATGGAGATGCAATCAAGTAACTAAGCTTCTCTATTTTCTCTACTGATAACCTTGTAAAATTTCATAATGTTGTGGTATGAAGAGCTAGTACATCTTTGGATTGAAATGCTCAAGGTCTATTTTTACTTAAGAGGTATAGTACAGCTAGAATTTGTTTGTGAAGTTTTATTTTTCTCTGTCTAGAACCAACCTGCATTGGAGAAAGATCGGTACAAGATCCGTCAGGCCTTCATAGCATCACCTGGAAATTCACTTATTGTTGCTGATTATGGACAGGTGAAATTATAGTTATATCTACTTTTCTGATGACTAGTAAGCTAGTTCACTTGTTGACTGTGAGGTGATTTTTCTATCTTCAGCTGGAACTTAGGATTCTGGCACATCTTGCTAGTTGCAAAAGCATGAAGGAAGCTTTCATAGCTGGTGGAGACTTTCACTCAAGAACAGCCATGAATATGTATCCACATATTCGTGAAGCAGTTGAAAATGGTGAAGTGCTCCTTGAATGGCATCCACAACCTGGACAAGAGAAGCCGCCAGTGCCATTGTTGAAGGTGAATCCTGGTTTAATGTTTTTGAAACAGGGATTTTGGAAAGTCTTAAAATGCGTGGATTTCTAAGTCTTTTATTCATTTAGCTTGTATAGCTAAAAAGAATAACTCTATTAGTGCTGAACCGCAGACCGGGACTCTTTCATGGCATTTAGACACCCCCTTCCTTAAGATTGCAACAGTCGGACTTAAATGGACTAGGGAAACTAAACTTTGTTCCTGAATTCGTCTAACAGCTGGCAAAATGTTTTCTTACTTATTCAGGATGCCTTTGCTTCTGAGAGAAGAAAAGCAAAGATGCTTAACTTCTCGATTGCGTATGGGAAGACTGCTATTGGGCTGTCTAGAGATTGGAAGGTACTGTTAACTAAGCCGTTAAAATTAATATGAACAAGCTTGATATAAGATAACAAGCTTACAGAAGCCTGTTTTCCACCTTTCAGGTATCAAGAGAAGAAGCTCAAGATACAGTTAATCTCTGGTATAATGACAGACAAGAAGTACGGAAATGGCAAGAACTACGCAAGAAAGAAGCTATACAAAATGGGTATGTACTCACTTTGTTGGGAAGGGCTCGTAAATTCCCTGAATACCGTTCACGTGCCCAAAAGAACCATATCGAACGAGCAGCAATCAACACTCCTGTTCAGGTTTGTTTGCGCTATAATCAGATCTTAGCCATCTTGAACTCTATCAACTTTAAACCTCAATCACCACTATTAATACAGGGAAGTGCGGCTGATGTTGCTATGTGCGCTATGCTGGAGATATCAAAAAATCAACGTCTAAAAGAGCTTGGTTGGAAATTGCTTCTACAAGTAATACTTCTCACAGATTCTTTACATAACTACATGCTTAGATGATTGTTATCTAAATGATTCCTTTTGGGCTACATACAGATTCATGATGAAGTAATCTTGGAAGGACCAAGTGAGTCAGCGGAGAACGCTAAAGACATAGTTGTGAACTGCATGTCTGAACCCTTCAACGGCAAGAATATTCTCTCAGTGGACTTATCTGTTGATGCTAAGTGTGCTCAGAACTGGTATGCTGGCAAATAAGAGGAAAATAGGAAAAAATCTTGCTAGTGAAAGCTAACAATGAGGCAGTGCTTGAGGGTTTTTTGTTTGTCTCATTGGCTCTGTGAAAATCTGTTCATATGTGTGAAAGCTAATTGTTATCATCTTTATTTTCTGTTAAAAAACACATTGCTGTGTAATTAGTAGGCTTGAAGAGTTGTGTTTTTAACTTGGAAATTTTGTATGGCATTAACACAGAAGTGGAGCCTCTGCACCAAAGAGAGGATTCTCCAAAATATTCTAACAATCCAACGTGGAAAATAAACCAATGAGAAAACAAATCAACAAAGGTAATCTTATCAAACAAAAGTGAACGAGTGGATGATATTAGTTACAATCTTGCAAGAAGCTTCGAGGCACGCATGGCTTCCATTTCATCATGCACAGCTCCTCCTGCGAGCTTATTCTCCTCTACCACCAAACTCAACAACACTTCTTCTTCACTTAGACTCTCATCTCGGTTTCTTGGAACTCGGGTTGTGAAGCTCCGGATACGACTCGGACCCTCCAATGGGTCGAGAGCCACTTGCTGGTTCAAGTTCGGGAAGAACGGTGTCGATGCTGAAAATGCTGGTATCTATGGCAGCCAGTCACGGGATGATTTCGACAGAGACGACGTTGAACAGGTTCGTGTTCATTTCTAGCTAGGTTCTTGAGTCGCGGAAAATAGTTGAAAGAGAACGTTTTAAAACGCAAACGCAAATATGTCAATCTTTGTTTATTACAAGAGAGCCTATAGGTGTTGTGTCCGAGTTTGTGGAGAAAACAGAGGAAATGTTAATTGACGTTTCTTGGTTATTCTAGTATTTCAACTACATGGGGATGCTTGCCGTGGAAGGTACCTACGATAAGATGGAAGCTCTTCTCAACCAAAATATCCACCCTGTCGACATCCTTTTGATGTTAGCAGCCTCAGAAGGAGACAAGCCTAAGATTGAAGAGCTCCTCAGAGCCGGCGCTGACTACACGGTTAAGGACGCTGACGGCAGAACCGCTCTTGACCGAGCCAGCAGCGAGGAGATACGTGACTTGATCCATGGATCCCTCACTCAGAATGCTTGACAAATAGGTCATTTCTTTGGCAGAGTTAGCTTTTTCTTACAAAGAAAATGATGTCTGTTTTGACCAAAACAATGTGCACAAATAAGCAAAGATTGATTAAAAAGAGAATAGAGACGATAATGATTCATAAATCATAATAGAAAACCAGAACTGCAATGTTTATGGTGTCTTTCTCAAAAAGCTCATAATATCGTTGTGGCTCAAATGGGATTTTCCTGAAGAAGTAAAAGAAGTTCTCATTACAAACGTTTGAATAAACCGTGATAAAGAAGCAAGCAAGAAGGAATGTAATTGAGCACTTACATTGATATAAGTTTTTTTGGTACTACCAAGATCCATTATGTAAGGCCTGGAAAGTGACATTAGGGATTATCCTCTCAACAATTGAGCACTATACAACACGAAGAAAAAGGAATCATAAAGTAGCAAAAAAATATTCATCAAATTATTCAAACAAAGGGAAAGAAAGAAAGAGAGAGGTTTCTTATTTTTATAGACTAGTTATATTTCTTTTCTTTTAACTCTCTCTATCTCTATCTTACAAAATTTGAACCAAACTTGGAACATAATTGAAAATAAATGGAAACCACAATTTGGTTGTAGATTCTTCAGAAATTGTATCTTTCCACCATGGCTTATCTACTACATAAGGGATTAATTTTGAGTGATATTGTTTGTCCTCTCCAAAAGTGTATACCAAGTCCCTGCAGGTCTTATTCAAAGCTAAAGTACAACACAATGCCACTATCCTCTCCTCGTCTATTAAAAGACTCGCAAAAACCTCAGAACATCCACGGCCAATGGGTAAATCCATTGTAAAGGATTTGCTCCACGACAAAGCAGCTGCTTCAGTATCAACTTTATTGGTTACACATAACTCCATCTTTGATGTCTGAATCCGTTGTAACACTTAGAGTTGTTCTTCTCCAACAACTGATAGAGCCGTACAATATGCCGGAAGACAAAGAAGTTTAAATTTCTCACTTGTAAAATCAAAACTAAGTAAGGAAAAATATTCTTTATCAACACCAATCCAGTAAGCGTTACCCTTTAAAGACACACCATTTGCTGTTGGGAAGCAGTCATGAGCGACGCCATCAAGAACCTTCCATGAATCAGAGCTAAAGTCATAGATTTCAGCCCCTAAAGGTCGGTCCTTACAACCCCAACACTCCAAGATTTTGTAGCTACGGCAAGATTTGTTGTTTTCGAATCCTAGAGCAAACCTAGAGTATCTCTCATAACCAGTTTTGCGTTGGATCCACCTGGTTTCCCCCAAACACGGATTCCAGACCACGAGTCTATTGTCCCTGGTGGCGCATAACAACAAACCATCACAGTGAAAAACTTCTGCTATCTCGACTTGTCCTAAATTAGAATGGGAATCTTTTATGCCAAGTGCACCTTGAAACTCTACATTTGGAGGAGAAACGTTGAGATTGACATTCATTGAGCAAACCCTATGCTCCTTCAACATGAGAATCATAGACTCCTTTGGAGCTTTATGAAAGTGTTTCTGGCTGAATCTTTGTTTTTTGAATAAAGCATTCCATCGTTTGCAAGTAGATCGTAATCGTTTCAGAGATGTGGCCGGAACCCTAGAGAGTATTTCTTCTACCAAATCCCGGGGAAGATCAGACATCATCATATATATGATCGGAGAATCAACTCTGGAAGGCTTACCAAATTAGGGCTTTGTTTTCTACTTTTTTGTTTGTGAACCAATCTTGTCTTATATAGAGAACGATTCCCCCTCCGAAGTACTCTCTTTCCTTTTCCTATGTGGATAATATTTACTGATTTTACGTAAATATTGCTTCTTCTATCCAATTTACTTAAAATTTTAAAAGGAAGAGAAGCAGTATGTGATCGAGGATTGAATGTAATATGATAAATTCAGAATTAACAAAATAAAAACCGTCAACTATCATATTAAATTATAAGAAAATTAACAAAAAGGACACAATTCAAGTTTTTTTTTACTAACAAAAATGCAACTTTTGTTAAATCTTTCGGCACATACCCACTTTTTAATTGAGTCCAAACCAAACCAGCGCGTTGACCATGTGATAATGTGATTTGTGAAGTCAACTACATGGGGATGCTTGCGGTGGAAGGTACCTACGATAAGATGGAGGCTCTTCTCAACCAAAATATTCACCCTGTCGACATTCTTTTAATGCTAGCAGCCTCAGAAGGAGACAAGCCTAAAATTGAAGAGCTTCTTAGAGCCGGCGCTGACTACACACTTAAGGACGCTGTCGGCAAAACCGCGCTTGACCGAGCTAACAGCTAGCAGATACGTGACTTGATCCTTGGATCCGTCACTCAAAAGGCTTGACAAATAGGTCATTTCGCAAGCAGAGTTAGCTTTTCCTTACAAAGAAAATGATGTCTGTTTTTGTACCTCTAGTTGAAATCTCAGTTGTCTCCATGTTTTTACATAAAGTTTGGTCCAAAGCCTCAGGGAGTTGCAACTTTAAAGTAGAGATTGATCTTATACCAAAAGTTAACTTTTTATCTCTTACCAATCTTTCATCATCAGGTGTTATAAAACAAGTAAGCAAAAAAGCTTTCTAAATGCTATTAACATAATGTCTGAGATTGTCACCAGCACAGTAGAAAGCAGGCACAAAGCATCTCTAAAATCCCCGAGAAACGCAACTATCTAAATCTTGAGATATACTCGTTGCTGCTTGACTCTGATTTCATTCACTCAGCAGAATTCTCGTGCAACAGTACGTACTCTCGGCTGCAACCAAACGAACCAAGTATGTCAAGACCTTGCCAAAAGAACGAAAAAGCAGATGCCAAGCAACATTGTGTTAACCAAAACAATGTGCACGAACAAGCAAAGATTGATTAAAAAGAGGATAGGCACGATAGTGATTCATAATAGAAAACCAGAACTGCAATGTTACTTCATTAGCATACCTGCTGTTGCCAAACTTTATGGTGTCTTTCTCAAAAAGCTCATAATATCGTTGCGGCTCAATGGGACTTTCCTGAAAAAGGTAAAAGAAGTTCTCATTACAAAAGTTTGAATTAACCATGATAAAGAAGCAACCAGGAAGGAATGTAATTGAGCACTTACATTGATATAAGTTTTGTTGGTACTACCAAGATCCATTATGTAAGGCCTGCAAGGTGACATTAAGGGAAATTAAAATTTAGCTTAAAGCTAGAAGAGGTGCAAAGTTTAAGGCTTTAAGCAAAATGAAAGAGCAAACAGGTTTTTACTTCACTTGCTTCCCCATCATACCATCCGGTTTCTCCTTTTCCATTTCCCTGAGAAAAGCACATTCACAGTGACATAAACTATTAAACTAAAACCCTTATTTTCATTAGATCTATTGTCATAAATTTTACTATTCAAAAGGAGAAATACATGTCAGAACCCTACCGGTACTGAATGACTGCATGCTGCTTGCTGCAAGATGGGTGATCCGTAGGAATGTCTGCAATCCTTCTTTCACGTCCAAAGAGATAGCAACTTTGGCGATGGAGGCAGAGTGGCTCTGTTAATCCAACACATTTCACATGCACAAAAAAAACACACATCATGAATACTGATTCAGGGCATTAAGAGTTATAAGCAAACAGAAATGAGAAACAAAATGTAAAATCTGAATATACAATGTTCAAGGATTCAAACTAAGAATGACACGGGAAGCCACAGTCACAAACATATCAGATCAAAAAAGCTATTGTTCCTCTTAGAGTCATGAACATTGCATATTAATACTCACTATAATTAAATTGACAAGTTCTAAGCAGTATTAAGCAATAGTTTGGCTACTATCTGTAATCACGCTATTATCTGGATACTCAACCATCAATGACCACAGTTTTCAAGTTTACATGGCTAGAGTGCATCAAAATTCTTGAGCATCTATTTCATTGCCACAGTGCCACTACATGCTTTACTGCATATTTTGTGGACAAAAATTGACGTTCACCACAGAAAATAATTTAAGTGAAATACATAGAAGACAAATGAACCACTACTTAGACAGATGGATAGAGGATTGAAAGACTTACCATTCAGTGGTTCGCCATCCTTAAAAACATACAGTCTCCATCTTTCGCTGGGTTTTCTAGCCTCCGGGGGCTCATTGAACAGGAGTGTGATACCTGCAAAGGATTTAATCAGTCACGGAAGCAAAGTATGCCTATGGTGAAATTTAATGTGATAAACCACCATCTCCATTCCTAGGAGCAAAACGGATTGGCAGTCAAAAGATAGCTGCTGATAATAGATGCTTATATCTTTTGATTTTATATTGAAGCTTCTAGACTCATTAGCTACTAACTATTGACCAATGAAAACTTTTACCCAGTGACAGACAAATGCATACAAAATCAAGAAAATATGACCTGGCAACAAAGATGTTTCGCAGTTCACACATGCAATGAAGACACTATGGCAAAAGTTTATAGCACAAGGTAATGGTAATAGGTGATATTCTTAAATGAAATGGCCGGATCAGAAATATCACCTCTGTATCTGTTAGTTTCTTCAGCAAGTTTCCCTGATAGCTCAAATGATGGTTCTTCCTGCAAGATATATCAAAATTAGATTTGAAGCATAAGCGTAAATGCATGGATGAACCAAGCGAGCTCGAAATGACATTGGAAATTGAAAATCAATAGGGCTTGATAACATGATATGACCTTTTTCTTTGCTGCCAGAGCCTCTTCAACTGCTCTCATTCTTGCGACTGAATCTTCCTCGACATTTCTGTTAAAGAAAACCCATAACATGGTTAAACGAAAGACTGAAAAATTGTAAAGGCTAATCTAACAAGAAGAAAACTCACGGCTCCTCGCCGCCCCCTCTTGCATTAGACCCCTGAAACACAAAAGATAATCAAAATGACTGAAGAAGTAACAAAAATCTATGGCTCGCAGAAAATGATAAATTTGCAGAAACCAACCATAATCTATATAATGAGCTTTGACTAAAAGAAGAGAAACATGAGAAGTGATGTTACTGGACATGCTGAAGAGAACTAAAGACTCTAACTTAAGTCATTTAGCAACAGAGTAAGTAAAAAATGGCTGGCTGCAGTTTCTAGTTATAGACTCAGAAGATAGAAAAGCTAGATTACAGTTCCAACTATTTATTATGTGAACCAAGCAGCGGAGGCTAAACAAATTCAACCGCATTATCTTATGAAGCAGAATATGGATATGCACAAGTAAAAACCAAAAAGAAGATTCTGAGACTTAGAACATATCTATCTCTAAGCTAAAGATAAGAGCAGAAATACCTCATCATGCCTTGAGGCAATAGCTCTTTCAGGTGAACGCCTACTACTCCTGCGACTCCTATCTGACGGTGAAGTAGACCTCTCATGTCTTCCTCTAGAGTATCTCTCATCATCTCTTCCTGCCCTTCCACTTTCTTCAGTATCCTCTCTCCCTGATCGTCTTCTCTTATCCCCAACTTCCCTATCTCTTTTTCTCTCCCTGTCCCTATCTCTTCCTATATCTCCATCCCTTTCCCTACTGTTTCTCTTCTCCCTTCCTCTACCATCATCTTCTCTCTCTCTACTTCTCCCAACGTCCTTCTCGCCTTGAGCTCTTCTCAATCTCTTCGTACGTGGTGAAGGAGACCTAGAGCTAGGAGCCATTATCGGAGACAGGTCGTTTTCTCTCTTCTTTGCCTTTGAAAATAGCACAAATTGAGACCAGAGTCAGAAAAAAAGAAGCTCTCGAGAACACTAAACCCTAATTTCCCAAATGCATAGAAACTAGAGGAGGAGCAAAAGCCCTAAATCAAAAAACGTAAACTACAGATTTCGAATACTAAATTCAGAACTTGAGGGCATAGTCTAGGGTTGCAAGAATCGTGAAGCGAAATTGGCTGCATTAAGAGGAAGATGTTGAAGCTAAAAATTTACCTGGTGGCCGGAGCTGTGACTACTTCGGCGGAGAGAAGAGAAGAGAGTGAATAATAATAATCGCAGAGATATAAGAATCAGAGCCAAAACGAGAAGAATCAATTAATTGGTGTATTCTGCAAATAAAAGGAAATTGAGGGGCTTAATATCAAATAAATCGTAGACGGTGTGATTAACTTAACGGAGTCTTAAGAGTTCCGTTAGGTCTACTTTAGTAGACACGTGTCATCTCATGATTGGTAGAAAGTATATGTTATTTTCAAACTGCAAATTACGAGTGTCGGATTTATTGTTAGGGTTGGTATCGTAGCCTTCTTCCTCCTTGGACTTCGAGTATTTGTTTCTCTTCCAAGCTCGCAACATCGTTTTTATCATTGATCATCAAACGAATCGGCCAATTAGGTTTTGGATTCCATAGAACAAGTTCTTCATCAGTGACGTGCGGAGAAGTTTTGATCGAAGAAAATAATTGAGATTAGGGAACGGTTACAAATTCCAATAGGGATTGGTTCTGTTTGGCAAAGCTTGAAGAAATCTGTTGTCGTATTGATCTCTCTTCTTATTGTCTAGGGTTTTTGTTGTCAACAATGCAGAAGCTTGACCTAGTTAGGGAAAATCTATACCTAGGCGATATATGCGCAGCTGCTGAAATTCTCAAGAATGGTAGCTCTGAGATTTCACACCTTCTTACAGTTTTTCACTGCCCTTCCATATCTGTCTTCGAGGAATGGCGCAACGTGAAACTTGACTCAAAACAAATCAAGGAAGTGTATGTTGGTGATGATGATCAAGATGACTCATTACAAGGCAAAGAGTTTGCGACAGAGAGTGCATTGCCATCAGGCAATCTTTTATATTCTCTTGAGCATACTGGGAAACATCTCAAGTTTACAAGAATGGTTGTGTTTGCTTATGATCAAGAATGGGAGAATCTGCTTGATTTTTTCGATATTTGTTTGGATTTTATCGATGCTGGTCGAAAAGAGAAAGGTGTTTTAGTTCATTGCTTTGCTGGACAATCTCGGAGTGCTTCTATGGTCATTGCGTATCTGATGAGAACCGAAAAGCTTTCTCGAGAAGAAGCTTTAGCATCATTGAGACAATCCGCTCAGGCTAGTCCCAATCCTGGCTTCTTAAAACAGTTAGATGTGTTTGAGAGGATGAACTTCAAAGTCGACCGTTCCAGCGCTATTTACAAGCACTTCCGTCTAAAAGCTTTAGGTTACTTATATAGCAAGGATAAGAAATTTGACAGATTAAAGTTGAGAGATGATCCAGAAATGTCGAATGATGAGAGTAGTGGTGGTAGTACGTATCATTGTAAGAAATGCAGGAGGATTTTGTTGTTTCAGGAGCACGTTATTGATCATACTCCAGGTGAGGCTGATTCAGAATTGGATGACATGTTCAAAAACATGATAGGAGAGGTTCACAACAAGAATCCTGGTGATCAGAACCAATGTACTTCCATATTCATAGAACCTATCAATTGGATGAACACAGTGGAAGATGTTGTGTCGGAAGGGAAGTTGTTGTGCCCTACGTGTAAAGCTAAGGTTGGAAGCTTTGACTGGTCGGGAAGTTATTGTAGTTGTGGAAGCAAGATTGTTCCGGCGTTTCAACTTCAGATGAGCCGTGTTGATGTTATCACTGTGAAAGATGACGTGAAGAAGAAGAAGAAGAAGAATAAGCATGATAAGAAAATAATCTAAGTGTCTGCAATAATTTCGAACCTTACGGATCCAAGAACTCAGCTTTGCATCATCAGATCAAGTAGCTCTCTTCTTGCTTAGTAAACATGCGTTTTTTGGACGATTTAAAATACATGGTTTCAATAATTGAGTTTCCATTGGCAAAGTGCTTTTCATTTATGTCCATTCATTAGGCAATCGAAGTCTTTTACATTTTATTAGTTAATCACTAATGACTGAGACCAAAAAAAAAGAAAGATTTGATGCATCTGATTCTTAAGCAGTTTCAGATTTATTTGCTGCTAAACCGCGACGAGAACCAAAAAGGTGGTCGTAGGAGGAAACATTGAGAGAATATATATATGAAGAAGAACAAGACAAAGGTATTGAAGAAAACAAGAGTTTGTATGAGTGAGAGGAGTATATAGTTTAGAGAGTTGATGATCACGAGTGGATAGTTCAGAGAGTGATGAACACAACTAAATCAATGAGAATAGCAATCGAAAATATCAATAAACAAAACATTAATAAATAAGGTTTTTTGTTATGTGGTACGAATAAACAAAAATCAATAAACAATATCTAAATTGCCAAAAATATTATAGACAAAATTTATTAATATTATCTTATAGCTGATTTGACCGAGAAAACCAGTTTAGCGGATTTATTCAATTGAGACAATTCAAAACTGGTTTTCAGTTTACGTATGCATAAAGAAACGAGTGCACCGGCTTTACCACCAACTTTGATCCTCTCTTGAAAAAACTTCTCAATGATCTCAGGTTTCTTTGCGGCTATCGACTTCGAGGAACATATGTCCTGAAACCCCATCTGTAGTCCCAGTGCCGTGCTTATGGTGTTGCCAAAAGGGCATTTGCCTAAGGCCACCAAATTTTTTTTGTGATTTTTAGGCCACATTTTTATTTATTTATTGAATCATTAGGCCACATTAATTTGTTTTAAGATTTTTTTTGCCATAAGATTTTTTTTTATACTTCTTTTTGCCTTAAGCCACCATATACCTTAGCACGGCACTGTGTAGTCCTCCTTACTACCAATGTGTAGTCGCAACTGTTGGCCCTGAAGCTTATGTGGAAGATAGCATTCAAAGATTCGAGCTTCAGAGACGGCTCAGTATGAGTTTCTAGGGTTTCCACAAGTATCTTCTTCATCTCCATCGAAAGAATGAGATCCAGCCTTGCAAACTTGGAAAAGTGCAAACTCGGTATACAGAAGAAGCCAATCATTGTTATCAATGTCCTTGGCCTGAACCTCGTAAAATCTCAGACCATCATCATCATTATCAGCTTCTTCTGGTGGTTCCGACAAAAAGGTAGGCATACATCCTCGGTAAAACTTAGGTCTCAAACCAAGACAGAAGCACTTAAACGAGTGGTCTAATATTTCCGCTACAAAAGAAAGAGAGAAACAAACAAAAAGTTGTGAGTGGCTAGAGAACCAAATCTCTTTTCTTTCTTTGTTCAATTGGTTGGCTAAATAAAATATAAAGAAAGAAAACCTGGTTTGATTCTGCAGCGTTCCATCAAGAGTTTCAACTCGGGAAAGGAAGGTCTCCTGACCAGAGTTTGCAAAGTGAGAGAATCAGCAGCAGCAGCATCAACATCTTTAACCTCGACAGTAATAAAGTAAGAAACAGAAAAGGGATGTTCGGTATTCAATTTTGGTATGCGTATGAACTCCAACTTCCTTTTCTGCTCAAAGTTGAACCAATGAATTCCCAAACGGCCGTAGAGAACCATTTCCGTAGGTGGTTGTTCTTCGTTTCCGCCAAAATAAAATGGTGAGTATCCTTTAAGACGTGGGATACGAACGTCAGGATTGAAATCGAAACCCTAAACCCAATAAAAAAAATAACAAAATTACAATAGAATCTATGGGGGGAGGCAAAAAAAAATAAAAATATTAGGGGTTACCTGAGTATTTGCGATTTGCCTAATGTAATCCATGTCTTCTTCTTCAACCCCTAGTTCTTCATATTGGCAAAAAATACGTTTCTTTTCTTCATTAGGTAGCTTCCGCATGTCCAACAACTGCAGCAGAGGTTTCCGGTTGTCGACTTCTTCTTCTTCCTCATTTGTTACTTTGGCTTCTTTATCGAAATCTAATCCCCTCAACATAGAGAGGCATTGTTCGTCCGTTAGCTTTCCGCTTTCCAACATCCACCGCAGAATATCCGCCATCTTCTTTCGATCGATCTAGGGCTTTCTGTTTTTTTTTTTTTTTTTTTCCGCCGATAGGTGGTCACTAGATATATAGACCATGCATAGGGCTTCACACATTTTTGGCCCATCTTCCTTTTAAAAAGACTACAAATATATTTTTTAGTGTGACCATGTGTGACTGGTACCGAGACGAGAATCAAAAAGATAGTTCAGAGAGTTAATGAAACACAACTAAATCAATGAGAATCGCAATGGAAAATATCAATAAACAAAAATATTAAATAAGGTTTTATTGTTATGTGGTACGAATAGAAGCCAACAAGATTGATGAGGAAAATATCAATAAACAAAAAAAATCGAAACCTTAAAAAAGATATGGATTAATTCTGCTTTGTATATGCTTTTTGGACTTAGACGCATGATCAAATTGGAGCTGGAAGGTTTGTTCGATACAAATGGCAGCAGCCCACAAGTCATTTTTAATTTTGTTGTCAAAAATTGAGAATAATTATTTTTCACATCATAGACAAACAAATTAAACACATATGTTGTCTAATCTATCATATATCCGACTTGTATTTAATTTAAATATTGGTCATGCATCATGCACTTCATATTATCTTATGATTTGCAAAATCCTGGCTAGACTGTCACATATATCAGAATCGGTCACCGTCACCTTCTTCGTTATTGTCATATAGTTTCACTACGACAAAGTCCAAATTAGGTCAAAATTTTAAGCTAACGTACGTAGCCCCTTACGTCATATATTGCTGATGAAAAAGAGGCAAATATTATAACATCTATCAAAGATTCGGTACTAACTTTACAAATTCACACAATTCGATCGTATCTCACAAACTAAAAGTGCAATATGTTGTACATGTTTTGTAGCTAAACTAGTAAAATAATTATCCTGCCGGACTATAAAGGTTCGAGAACGTGGACCGACTATATTTATATATCAATTTTTTTTTTTAGCTATTTGGTTTTTAGCCTAATGTGTAATGTTGCCTTCATCACGTTTTCTGTTTTTTGTTGAAGTTTTTTCAAATAGATGAATTGACTATCATCTGCTTGTCACGTTATAAACCATATATATTATCGTTAAACACTTAGTAGCAGTTCCCCACGAATTACATGTCTCCATCATTGACTAAGTTATATTTTTGTTTGCAAGAACACTTTTTCCTTCCTCAATAAATTGTTGTACTTTATACATATAAATGTTACACCAAACGCAAGATACATTATATTGTATAAAGAAAACGGAGGATATAAGCTAAAATGAAAATCTATATATATATATATATATCTTGTTTCAGCTTCTATCGAATTTATTTTCACTAATGACAAATGAAGTGTGATCCTTCTCTACTGTTTCTGTGAATTTGTGATTATCATCAGGCAAATGTTTCTATTTTAAATTAACACTTCTATTGGAAAACTACCAAAATACATTTGGGTTCACCCATCAAAAGTACTTTATAATATTGTTATGTTATATATTGTGTGCTAAGTAACTAATAAGATTACAATTTAGCAAATCTCAAGTTGATGTGTACATTTATATTCTCCACTACAACAACAAGGTGATCCACTTCCCTTGTATATCTTTCTTTGTTCTTGCACGTACATAAAGAAATCAAACTGTTCAGCTGCCATTTGAACCAACAAATAATATTATAACAAGTAAATAGTTAAACAATAATAAGAACAAAGGGCCAAAATCGTGCCAAACCTACAACATTCTTGACCTCTGCCACCCCCACTATATAGAGGTCACATTTGAGAGAAATAGGCAATAAAAGTCTAAAAACCAATTTTTTAGCTTCTCACATCTTTCTTCTATAATATCAAACTACGTACTCTTCATCAGCCTCTTAATTATCTAAGAAAGTCTCAATGGAAAAATCAGCACTAAGCAACTGTGTGAGGCGAACAATATTATCTGATCAACGGAGAACAATACAAGAGGGTCTAGAAGAGAGTAGTTGGACAATGTACTTTGGAACCGACGATGGATTAGGCCATTATGATGATTCTTCGATGATGTCAGACGCTGCTTCTCCTATGGGTTCTGTCGAAGAAGACACAGCTTCATCTCCTTCTAATAGAACCAAGGTTAGTCCAAGAAGAAGACAATCTTATTATGTTCATAATATATACATTGATACACACATGACACATACATATATAGGCCTAAATGGCAATGCATATATATAGCGATGCATATATGATGTTTCGTGTGGAATTATATACTTATCTTTTAGCTATGCTTGTTTCTTCAGGGTTACAGTGAAATGGAAGACAATACGATCGAAGAAAGAAACATGAACAAGACTAAAATTGAGGTACGAAACTTCATGTTTTCTAATATATCTTTTCATAAAAGTAAAATTGTTTTGGCGGCTAACAAAAATATTCATACGGGTTTTATAGGAGAAAAGATTGAATAAAAACGGGATAATGATTGAAGAATACTGCGCAGAATTGAAGAAGAGAGGACTTTGCTTAGTCCCTTTGTCGATGTTGTCTAACTATATTGGTTGAAACTTTGATTAATATTTTCAACCATATACATATTCTTTATTGTGATTATCTTCCTTTTTTTTCTGTAAAATTTATAGAATGGACTAGCAAATGTAGTGAAAGTCAAATCAAGGGTGTATCATGTATTGTATGTATTGCACAAGGCAAGAGTGAGAGAAAAATATTGATAAAAATACAAACATGTGTAGTAAAAAGTTAACATGTTTCCATGTGTGTAACAATGTTTTGGTACAATCAAGTACATATGTATTTTGGAACGCCTTTGTAATCCAATGATTGAATGATCCCGATTTAGAAAATTTCTTTAGAATTGCCAACAACCTTTAGCCAAGTGGGTGTGTCGTCACTCCTGGTGGTCTCTTGTCCTTGGAAATTTTTTTCTTTTTCTTTTTAGATATTGAAGAACCAAAATAATAAATTTCCCACTGTTGAATAAATAGAGATCTCCGCAACAAAAAAAAACAAAAAAAACTGTAATTTACATGAAAAAAAAGAAGTAAAAATATCATTTTATTAAATTTATGGAAATTTTAAAGAAATATCTCAAAATACCATTTTATTAAAAGCATATAGATTTTTTCTTAAGAATGTTACCTAGATTTAAGAAAGTTATTAAAATTTAGATTCTTTCTTATTATTTGTGGTATTTTAAAAAAAAAATTAACAGTAAGACAAAACGAAAAATAATAAAGTATCAGAAAAGCATTTTGATCAATTAATATTATTTTATTTTAATGTTATGAGGATAACCGAAAAACAAAAAATTGAATCTAATTAAAAGGTAAGAGATTTGAAACGCAAAGCTTTCCTAACAAGTGAATCACGAAATCACGACCGCATTAGAGAAGAAAGAGAGAGAGCTCTTCTTCTTCTTCTTCTTCCGCTCACTAGATCTGCTCTCTCTCGCAGTCTCCTGGGTTTTGGCAACTGCTTTTGATTCTTCTCGTCGGCAGCCATGGTTTCATCCACCAAACTCAAATCCGTTGATTTCTACAGGTGCGATCCCCTCATCTCTCTGCCACATTTCCTCAATTCTAATTGCCTAATTCTTCGATGTCGGCTCTGATGCATGTTTATACATTTTGGATTGCGTTTGATTGATATTTTTCGGAATTTCGTTAATATGCATTTTTAGCTGTCGAATTCTGCCTTCGTTTTCGTATCCTTGATGATCTGATTTTAGAGGTGTCTCTTTTTTTGATGGTATTGTTCAGGAAAATTCCGAGAGATTTGACGGAGGCGTCTCTATCAGGCGCTGGGTTATCAATTGTAGCTGCTCTCTTTATGATGTTTTTGTTTGGAATGGTAAAATTCTCTTTGCCCTGTTTGTTTTTCCAACATGATTACTTTCACCTCTCTCTGTTTGATCAAGTATAGTCTTTTAATCTGATATATCATCTTTATCTTTCAGGAGCTGAGTAGTTATTTGGAAGTTAACACTACCACAGCTGTAATAGTTGACAAGAGCAGTGATGGGGACTTCTTACGCATTGATTTCAACATCAGGTTTTGTTGCTATTGTTCTTTTTCTCTGTTGATATTTAAACCTTCTCTAGACGTCCAGTGATCATGGATACAGTCACCACAATGATAAAGATATGGTTTTCTTGCCGAATAGTTGCTATGATATTTTCAAATTTCCGTCTTCTGTTATTTTCTTTTCTTTGTCACATGCTCTGATTCTGTGATTCATAAGGGAAAATGGAATGGTTTTCTTTATAAGCTGATTGTTGTTTTTGCTTCTTTACCTTTTTGTAGTTTTCCTGCCCTTTCATGTGAATTTGCATCTGTTGATGTGAGCGATGTGTTGGGAACTGTAAGTCTCTACTCACAACTCTCAGTTCTTTCTATTTTGATGATCTCTTTCCCACTATTAGAATGCATTTCGCCATAAATGTTTTATGATTATCATTCGAAAATAAATAATGCAAAAGGGAAGGAAAATCTTAAATCTTGACACTTTCTTCAGTATCAGAGAATGTATCTTTGGTTATGTGATATATGATAGATAGACTATTCGTGTAAGCATTTTGACTTATTCAAAGCTAGGAAAAACTTAATAATGCTGTCCTACTTCAGAGAAACAAAAATTAAATTGTCTGCAAAGTTTTTATCATGTAGTAATTGAAACTTCAACCTTATCACCTAATCCCTGAGTCCCTGTTTCAGTTGTGCAGAACTTCCTATGTATTATACTAAAAGCAAGACTGAGTGCCTTTAACCGAGCTGTGATATATATACCCTGCATACTATTTATAACTAGCTGGGGCCTAAATCTACTTATAATGTTTAATTTTTCAGAATAGGTTGAATATAACAAAAACAATTCGCAAGTTTCCAATTGACCCGCATTTAAGGTCCACCGGTGCAGAATTCCACTCTGGCCTTGCATTACATAACATCAACCATGGAGAAGAAACTAAGGAAGAGTTTCCTGATGGTGCTATACCATTAACCAGTGCTAGTTTTGAAGCATTATCACATCAGTGAGTAGGCAGCTTCTCTTTTTATTGTGCATGCATAAGAGTCCTGTCTGAGGATTTAAATATCGATTAACATATTGAACTGTTTTTATGCAGCTTTCCAATATTGGTTGTCAACTTCAATGCACCATGGTGCTACTGGAGTAATCGTCTGGTAATTCTCTTAGTAATTACTAATGCTTATAAACTTTCCAATTTTCTGAAATTTTCATTTTCTTCTGGTATGCAAGCACTAATGATCCAGTTGTGGATGTACTCATCATAACCTTTTTTTCCTGCTTGACCGAGTGAGAAAGAATCTTCCTCAATTCGTTATTGACTGTTATTTGTGAATACATTCAATCACGATATGTGGAATCCTAGACATTTTTTGTTTTAAAGGGGTATGGGGTTTGCTATTTTGTGTTACGAATTCTAGATGACAATAAACTTTTTATTGAATAATACGTTGACCAAAATATTTTGTAGCTTTATGGGTAGTATGTACCTCAGTTCCTGTCTGACATTGAAAAAGTTGTTCATGTTTGGTTATGATGAGTTTCTTTTGTATTTTCTACTATTTGCTTCAGAAACCTGCATGGGAAAAAGCAGCTAATATAATAAAACAAAGGTTTGTGTTAGACTCTTCGGCATTTTTATCAAGTTATGAAATTCTTAAGACGCTGGCTGATAATGTTCTTTCTGAAACATCTTCATGTTAATATTCTGCTGCAGATATGATCCTGAAGCTGATGGTCGTGTTCTTCTAGGAAACGTTGATTGCACGGAAGAACCTGCGCTATGTAAGAGGTACCACGAAGTTGATGTTTTCCTCCATTTTCTTGTTATTCTTTCTTGATTTATGAGTCGTTTCCAAGAAGAGCAGAATTTGTGTTTACACCTTTTTAATGCCTGATGTTTAAGGTTGCAATTGCACGGGGAGCAGTGACTGTCATTCTATTTGATTTCTCGCTTGACTTAACATAAATTGTGGAATGTATTTTCAGGAATCACATACAAGGCTATCCATCTATTCGTATTTTCCGCAAAGGCAGTGACCTTAGGTGAGAAAGCATCTGATATGATGTAGCTTAGTTAGGATTCGTCATGTCTTCTACCTAACCTTATGTATCCATGCCGTGAAAAAATCGAGTTTATGTCTCCTAATTGTGTTCTCAGTACAGTCAAATGTTGACACATGTGAAATCATCACCGTTAAATTCTTTTATTTTCGTCTTATCCTCTTTAACTTCCTTTAGGTTAATATACCAGATATCTGTTGGTGTAAATATTTTTATGAAAGTGTTCCTGTTTCATTGTTTCCAGAGAGGACCATGGACACCACGAACATGAATCTTACTATGGAGATCGGGACACGGATAGTATAGTTAAGGTAGACAAATCTTTTTTTTCGTTCCAGTATCAGTAATAAATGAGCCAACATTCACATCTATATGTATGCGTGTATTAGTCACTTAGTTATAGAAAAACGTCTAGTTGTCTTGTCTGTGGATTAAATATTATATACATGCACAGCATATCTTTGTGCTACGTTTTGAGTCAACAGCAAGCATGTTCTTCTAAAAGTTCATTTAAGATTTTCTTTCTTCCAGATGGTGGAGGGACTGGTCGCACCTATCCACCCGGAGACTCACAAGGTAGCTTTGGATGGTAAATCCAATGATACCGTAAAAAATCTTAAAAAGGCACCAGTTACAGGAGGTTGTAGAGTTGAAGGTTATGTACGTGTAAAGAAGGTAAACCTTAGACTGAAAAAGTGAAGATTGAATGAATGTCCTGAAACTGATTTGTGGCATGTTTGATATTTTCCCAGCTTTTATGTACTGGAAGTTTGTCTTTTGTATATTTCAGGTTCCAGGAAACCTCGTTATCTCAGCTCATTCAGGAGCTCATTCATTCGATTCTTCTCAAATGAACATGTCGCATGTTGTGTCCCATCTTTCGTTTGGAAGGATGATTTCTCCTAGGTTGCTGACCGATATGAAACGGTTGTTGCCATATCTTGGCCTAAGCCATGACAGGCTGGATGGAAAGGCATTCATAAATCAACATGAGTTTGGTGCCAATGTCACTGTAAGTCCCAGAAACCTTCATAGGAATTTAGAGTCTTGAACCTTCGTCAAATTTTCTTTTACTTGCTCTTATCTAACTGTTTTCTACACGCTTTCTACAGATCGAACACTACCTTCAAATAGTCAAAACAGAGGTCATTACAAGAAGATCCGGTCAAGAACATTCACTGATAGAGGAATATGAATACACCGCTCACAGCAGCGTGGCTCAGACTTACTATTTACCCGTTGCGAAGTTTCATTTTGAGCTCTCTCCCATGCAGGTTCAGTCCTCATTTACACAAACAAGAGATTATCTCTCGCAAATATCGCAATATACTTCACTCTCTATAATTTCTCCTTGGTTGCTCTGTTTTTGCAGATCTTAATAACTGAAAACCCAAAGTCCTTCTCACACTTCATCACAAATCTGTGTGCCATTATTGGTGGTGTTTTCACGGTAAGTAATTTCTCAGTTACCTTGCGTCTTCATACTCGCATGGATTGCATGGTCATTTCTGATTTCGCCTGTGGATTTTTTCAGGTTGCCGGAATACTAGATTCGATTTTCCACAATACAGTAAGACTGATAAAAAAGGTCGAACTTGGGAAAAACATTTGATCGTCCACCGGAGGTTAGAATTTTCCATTAATCTATAAAACCATAGAAGAACCTCAGACTGTTTACATCGAATAGCTGATCTACATAGAAAACCTCAAAAAAGAGAGAATTTTTGTTTGACACAATCTTAGTTTCTTTACGGTTCTTGTTCTATTAAAAATCCGCCTGGTTTTTTTATCCTTCCATTACTATATACATATGCCATCAGTAAAATACACACAAGTAGAACTTTTATTCGTTTACATAAAAAACAAATGGGGTAAAAAAAATCAAACAACAAACACCAATTGACACAAACTTGGATGAAGAGAGAAAGGGAAGAGACTCAATACAGATTGAAATCGGAAGACAAAAGAGAAACTTCTTAGTGTAGGAATAGAGTGGAAGCTAGAGCAGCCCCAAGAAGAGCAGCGACAAAGGATGAAGAAGAAGCTGCGTTGTTTGGAGTTTCTTGAGACGTAGTAGGCGTAGGTGCTGGGGTCATCTCAAAGGTTCCCGAAACAGGCGGAGAAGGAGAGGATTCTCCTGAGGGAGCTGGGGCAGGGGACGGCGGTGATGATGTGGTGTTTTTGTTGCCACTTCTATCAGCCATGACGATGACCACAAGCTTCTCGTTTTTCTTGCAGTTGTCTTTGTTTCCACTGATGAAATAGTATGGCCCAGAGTGGTTCAGCGTGACAGAAGTTTTGCCATCGGCGAATTTAGCAATTGGTGAGTCCGTGTTGCAGCTGTCGTAAGCGTCTCTTGTGACTTGGAGCACTGAATCTTGGTTTGATTGGTAGACGAACACTGCAATTGTATAAAAAAATTTCATATGCGAAAGAAACTATGATTGCAGTGAACGAATCAAATAGTATCAGTACAGTGTGAAAACTTACACAGAGAGTCGCCGATTTGGAATCTGCTCTGTTCTGCCCATTGACTGTACACTTGAGCACCAGAAGGGACAGTCCAACCTGTTGCACCACCGACCGTAAACTCTCTAGCATAGGCTCTGTCAGCGATCATAAGAAAACACACAAGACCAAACCCACAAAGCATCATGTTCTTTAGGTTTCGTGCCATTTCGTAAGCTAAAAGAAGAGAAGAAAAGCCAATGTAAAAATAACAGATATTTTAGAAAGATGTAGGTGAATCAAGTGTGGTACAGGGTTTGATATGAGATGATGAAAGGCAAATGGGTTTATATAAAGGTGATGCTTTTGATTTAGAGGAAATGTTGCAGAGAAGCTTTTTATTGTCTTTTTCAAATTCTAAGCAAAGCATAAATGCCAGAAGTGTTTCAGTTTTGGAATCTCATGTGACTTGCTTCTTCTGTCAATGGCTTTTGTTCTTTGCTTCAAAATCTTTGATTTTATATTTTATTATTACTTTTTCCGAAAAGATCTTCAAGAACGAAAAGAGATTTCACAAAAACATCAAATCAAAAGACTAAGATCTTCTTCATGTCAAAAAAGGCCAACACTAATCTGAGATTTTGGGATTACTAGAGAACAACATACACTTTAATACTTTTATAGACCAAACAAAAGTATTAATACACATTGTCAATAAATTTCCATATTAGATCAATCATATAACAAAGATATCCACATCTGCTCCTTTTGATCCTTCCTCTGTGTTCACCAACATCATCAAAACACCAATCTTTAGAATTTGAAGATCAAAAAACTGATCAAGAATGCTAAGTTTAGTTATCTCCTCAGTAATTAATCCATCATTAGTGCAAAAGCCGCGATTGTTGCGAAAACAAAGGACATCAAGACACTGATACCGTGTCTATGTCCTGAGCTCTTCTTGGGGAAATGTTTTGGAAGCGCGCATTCTTCTCCGTTGAAGAAAAGCTTTGTTGGGAAACCGTCGCCTTCGGGAATATTCAGTCCTTTGATGTTTTTCTTGGTGAAGGAGATGACAGATTGTTGCTTTCCGGGCACGGGAGGGTCTCTTAATGGATTTGTTCCGTTAACTTGACCCACAAGATAGTTCATACCAGGCAAGCCTTGGAAGATAACGGTTCTATTGCTTGGTGGAACACGTGTTCCATTAAAAGAGTAAACGTTTTCATATCCTGGACCTGCCTTTCCCATATCAATTGCGACAAACCAATCCTCAAACGCGAAATCTCTCCAATTAAAAACGGTTAACCTTGCGGTCCAACCATTTTTGTAATCCGTGCTAACGTGCCAGTTAATACTGACTCCGCAATTATCCGGACAAGGAAGTTTCTTTGGTACTGGCATGTGATTTTGTTTAGCCCAAGCTCTAGCTTTTAAGGTTCGGTTATCGAACGGAACAAGGAGAGCGTCAGGAGGGAGGAGGAGCGGGTTACTGTTAGCATTGCAAGTGTCTGTATCGATGTCATTGCATCCGCAAGCACAAGTGTTGCAAGGAACTGCAGAGTTGTTGTAAAATGCAGAGAAAGAGACACAACATCTTGAGGCTTGTGCTTTGGGTTTGGTTATGTTGCAGACCACTTGCCAGCTGGAGATGGCGTAGGTTACAGCCAGTAGACCGCTAGGATCAGGGAATTGAGATGGGTCAACACGAACCGGTGGCCCGCATTTGTACTGCGGATTGAGAACACCGTCGATTTTCCAATGCTGAGGTGGGTACAGAGCTGTTCTGTTTAGGTCAGGAGGCAACTTGAAAACCTAACAAATTGAGAGAAAACAAAAACTTCAAAACCCTAAGATTCTGCCATTCGTAACATATTTTAATAAAAGAGATGATTTACCTGCAATTGAAACATAGATCTAGATTTCGAAGGATCCATAATAGGTGGCAAGAGAGTTCCGTTTTTGCAACAGAAAGGTAACTTTCCAGTCACGTTATCTTCCTTCTTCTCAGGAGGCAAATCGGAAATGGCTGGTTTCCTCTGACAATTCATGACCTGAGAGAAGTCTAAGTCTTTGTAATACTGTCCAGCTTTGCTATAAAGGCATTCCGATGGATCTTTCTTGTGAGTGTAAGCTCCTCGCATAGTGTTTATAAACTCTCCTCGCATCCATTCAAAAGTCAGGTTCCAACGGTCTAACCGTCCAAGCGGATTATCGTTGTCGATGGTCACTTGGGCTAAGTAGTTGCTGTCGAACGATTGGAGAACATCGTAGACTATATTCAGATCACCGTACCTTCTCGGTGCAAACTTTGTCTTTAGTCCAGTCTTGTTCTTGAACTTAGGGTTTCTCTTGCAACAAACGTGCATACTACCTCCTGCGCAAAATAACAAAACTCACCGTTTTGAATATCACATTCACTTCAATTTTTTGTTTGACAATTAAATTACGGAGTGTAAATACATAATATTTAATGATCTTATCAAAATGGATTCATAAATTGCAAAAAGCAAACCCAAAATTTTGTTTACGTTTTATATTGCGTTCGTAATTTCCTTAAAAAAAAAACTGATTAAAAAACGTAAATTATGAACGTTTGTAACAATTTGAGTCTTGATCTAACCTTTTCTTTTAGCGGCGGGACATTCCCAACCATCGTTGGTGAGCTTAATAGTTCTTGGCATTGGCGTGACCGCTTTTGAAACACCGAAAAGAGTCCCTGTGATCTCGATATTCGCGGATATCTGAGTGAAATCACCGGCTGTTTCAATAGAGGTTTTCAAATCCGTGTTTGGCGATCCAACGAACGTGGTTCCATTGCTCGCGTCTAGAGGATAATCTCCGTCCATAGGAGCCGCACCAGTAGCAGAAACGATCAGCTCTTTGTGACGGAACCCTATGAACATTTGCCAGCCCTTAAGCTCTTCCCTACCCGCGTTTACAATCATGGCAGTCGATTTAAACGCCCATGATTGCGCGGTCACATTCTTGACGTGCGGGTACTCTCTTTCGCGGCTACCAAAGTTGTAGCTCATGAAAATACCATTGCAATGCGCCATCTCAGGCGGTGGCTCAGCTCCTCCTCCTCCGTCCTCACCCGGAGTTCCATAATCTTGGCCGTTGCAAACAAAAAGAATTGATGATAACAAAATAAATAGACTTAATGAATAGCGTACGTCCCAAGGTATCTTCATCCCCGTTTTAACGTCAATAGCCCTCATCGTTATCAAATATTTTTCTTCTTCCCCACCGCCTTGTGATTACTGGAACCGCAAGGCAGCGAGAGAGAAAAAAAAACTAGGAATCAACCAAGCCTTTTTAACAAAGACGAAGATTGATCAACGAATAAGGTTTAGTGTGAAAAAATGTGTAAAAAAGATCAAAATCCAAAAGTTTAATGCAAAGAAACGAAGATGGTTGGAAAAGAAGAGGTCTTAATATGGGCCTCTGGTTTTATTTGGTGGTCACGCGGAGAGACATTTAAGAATGTGTGTTAAGGCAATTGCTAATTTTGGACACAAGAGTTTCATATTTGTTTCTTAACTAAAAAACCACCGCTTTGATTATTTTCGAAATGAAACAAACTCTGGTCTTAAATTTACTCGGTGGATTCCAGAATAATTTGGATACTAGTTCTTTGTTTTCAGTTCAGAGTTTTTGAGTTTTCATGAATAAAGCGAATATAGATGTAGTATTATCAATCTAGTAGATTTTCAGTTTTTTTTTTTCTAACATATTTGATTGTTTCAGTTTTTTTTCTTTTCTTTTCATTTCATGTTTGATAACAATTTCGAAAATATAATAATCCAAGTTGTTCGATTTACCTGGAAATTTCTAGATTGAATTTGCCAAGTTTACATATATATATATATATATATATATATATATATATATATATATATATATATATATATATACATATATTAATATATATCATAAACGCAACTCATTTATGTTTTTATCTAAATATTTATTTTTCTTAATCATTTTTTCCGGAAATTGTGAACGCAATGGAAAACGTAAACAAAATTTGGCATGTGCATATGCAATTTATGAATCAATTTTGATTAAATCTAGTTTCAAAGAAACCGTAGCATCTCACAACAGATTCCAAAGAAACCTAGTTTAGGGTTTATTGCTAACTGTGCTAAATATTTTAGTATGACTATGCCAGACAGTTAGTCTTTTAAATATCGTTTTGTTTGGGTCATAATAACTATAAAATCTTCTTCATCTTTCAGGCAAAAATTACTAAAACCTTGAAAACAAAAAATGGATAAAGAAGAAGAACTTGGTCGAAAATGTTGTACTTGCTGCTTAAAGTTCATCTTCACAGCTGGTCTCGGTGCTCTTATCTTATGGCTTAGTCTCCGTGCCGGCAAACCCAAATGCTCAATCCAAAACTTTTACATTCCTGCCCTCAGCAAAAACCTAAGTTCACGAGACAATACCACTCTAAATTTCATGGTTCGTTGTGACAATCCAAATAGAGACAAAGGAATCTACTACGACGATGTCCACCTTATTTTCTCCACCATCAACACGACCAAGACCAATTCATCTGCTCTTGTCATAGTTGCTAACTACACAGTGCCTAAGTTCTATCAAGGACACAAGAAGAAGGCCAAGAAGTGGGGTCAAGTAAAGCCGCTAAACAACCAGACCGTTTTACGAGCGGTTTTGCCTAATGGATCGGCGGTTTTCAGGTTGGATCTGAAGACTCAAGTGAGATTCAAGATTGTTTTTTGGAAAACTAAATGGTATAGGAGATTTGAAGTTGGTGCTGATGTTGAAGTCAACCGTGATGGAGTTAAAGCGAATGAGAAAGAGATTAAGATGAAGAAATCTGATTTTTGGAAAACTCAGGGATATTGGAGTGACTTTGGTGCTGACGATGTTGATCTCACCGGTGATGGAGCTCAAAATAAAGGAAGTAAGACGAAGAAATCTGATTCTTCTTTACCATTAAGAAGCTCTTTTCCGATTTGTGTTTTGATGAATTTGCTCGTATTCTTCGCTATTCGTTATCTTGATTAGATAGAGGTGTTGATTTTCAACTTTTGTTTTTGTTTTTGGTTTTGTTGATCTTGATTATTGACTCTTTCATGAGTTTTGTTGTGTGCTAGTTCCATTTTCTTCATAGTTTCGGCCAAGTACTCATTGCATTCCCTTGTTGTTTTTGTTTTAACTATGTACTAGTTTCCATCAATAAGATTTCGATTTGAAAATCAATTATCCATATTTTGTATATGTACAATTATATATCTGTGGTTTCAAGATCAAGGAACAAAGAACATACCACCAATATAACCGTTCAAATATGGAAAGATTTTTTTTTAAAGTCCATAAATGACTAAAGGGAACAATGATGAATGAATTCCATATAAAATTACAAAAATTTGATATTGTTATTGCAATAACGAATAAATTTATTTACTTCTCTATCACAAAATTGAAACCGTAAACCATTGATATATTTTTATAAAATTGACAAAGTCAAGAATAATAACATGCATGCTCCATAGAAGAAGGTTCGATATTTGGGTCGTTATTTAACTTTCAAGTTCAATATTAACCAATTGAATATTGTATTGTTAACTGTGCTAAATATTTTAGTACGACTTTGCCAGTCAAGTTAGTCTGTTAAATATCATTTTGTTTGGGTCATAAAAGCTATTTTTCATGAAACAGCAGATTTATAATTTAAAAAGACGCGGTAATATTTTAAACATTTCGTTTATTGTGAAAGTTGACATCGATTACATAAAGCAATAATATTTTAAGAAATTTTCGTAACGAATCTATTAAATGCGCTATGTGATACAATTTTAGATGAACATTGGTAGTAATCTTCAATACTTTTGTTCTATCACACTATAATCGTAAAATTTCTTTCCTTTCCATTGTCATAAAATACAAGGATTTAACATGTGGTATATTATATAATAATTTTAATTTTATATAATTTTAACTAAATAAATTTGATTAGACATGTTTAATATTAATCGTGTTAAAAAATAATAAAATGAAAATTTAATCTGTATTAAAGAATCAAGTTAATAATATTTAAAACTTTTTACTAATATCGATTCAAACTCGTTCCGCCATATAATTCGTCTTGTAGTATGACCCTTATTTTTAAAAACTATTTATATGTTTAAATATTCGCGAAATTTTGAACTTTTAATTCAGTTTAAATAATCAATTATAATATTTAACACTTTTAAAAATCTAAAATTTTACTCTATCCAGTAAATTAAACAATTCAACTAAAAAACAAAATTAAACAATATAGGATATATTCAAAGCAGTTTAACTATATCTCGTCTTAGATTTACTCGGTGGATTCCAATTTGGATACTAGTTCTCTGTTTCAGTTCAGAGTTTTTGAGTATTCATGAATAAAGCGAATATAGATTTAGTATTATCAAGCTAGTAGATTTTCAGTTTTTTATTTATCAAACTATTATTTCAGTTTGTTTTTTCAGTTTATTCGATAACAATTTTTTAGACATACTATAATCAAGTAGTTCGAATTACCTTGACATTTCTTGGTTGAATTTTCCAAACAAAGTTTACATATATAGTGGATTGCTCATTGCCAATATTGGTTGTGATATCAAGAATTAATGTGGGTGATAAGATGTAAATCTCTTACTAAAAGTCTATGTACGAGAAAGAAAACGTGTGAACATGTTGTTTATTCAATTAACTAAAAAAAAAAAGATGTTGTTTATTTAATTAACTAATATTATTTTAGAATATTCTAGCATTTAGGGTTTTAAGCTTTGATTATAAATAGTTTTTTTAGGTCTTTTGTATTAATGGGTTGTTTTTGATTAATAAAATTAAAAAGTTTTGTTCATCGTGAGTCCATTGATCTCCGATAACATTAGAATTTCGAGATACGATTGTTCTGCTTGAGATCCACTGATACTCATCATTAATTCTTTTCGTAATTTATCCCGTTGCAACAGTTGGTATCAAAGCCGGATCAGTTCTTTGATTATCATGTCGCTTGGGTGTTTCTATCACACGGATGAATATCCGTTTACTTTTACAGAAGAAGATTTGTACCGAGAGTATAAGGAAATTATCGGTGATCCAATTTTTGACGTTTATGAAGATGAAGATCTAATTCATGAAGATAAAGATCTAATTCATGATGTATACGATGAATATATTGAAGAACCCATCTACGTTCAAAGGATGAAGGTGATGAGACGTGTTGTTCATCAAATATTCTTCACATACATGTTCTCATCAATCAAGCTTTTATTTGTTTTATTTTTAACATTTTATACTTTAAACTGAGATTTCATGCTCAATTCTTTTATGGATTTATGATTTGAATATATGAATATGCTTGTGTTTGTCTCTAGTTTCATGTCGTATAATCAGACTTTAAAATACACAATTATTCATGACATGACATGATAAGTTATATTATTAAGTTAGATATTAAAAATTTGCTTTGAAATTTGAATTTTGATTAGTGTTACTAATTAGGGTTTAGGCATGAGAGCCCATCCAATTCGACCCGAGTCTTGTATATAGTATGGTTCAGTCAAAAGTGTTTGGGCCAGGCCATTTCAAATCGGAATTGTTTGTTTTTGTATGGCAACAAGATATGAAATGAAACCATACAATAAATAAAATTTTGTATTTAATATGGGACTATAAATTGGCCACTAGGCGTCTAGGCCACTGACCAAAAAAAAAATAAAAAAAAAATCTGACCCTATTTTTAGATAAATAGCTGTATGTTTCTCTCATTAAAATATTAAAAGAAAAATGTAATAAGATTCGGTTTTCTGTTATTGAACATCCCTCGTTATTTCTTGTTTTGGTCCTTTTAGATAATCCAAGAAATTTACGATTTTTATTTATTTATCTTCTTACGTTCATCAATTTGTTTCTGTGTTTTTTTTTTTGTTTTTGGCTAAACGCGTGTGTGCGTGTGTGTCCTACTGAGTCGTCTCTTTTGAGTCAACTTGAAATACCAACCAATCAGCAAACTAACTATATAATCTATATAACATCTTCTTCATCTTTCAGACAAAAATACCAAAATCTTGAAAACGAAAAAAATGAATCAAGATCGAGACACAGAACGTGGTGGAAACTGTTGTACTTGCTGCTTAAGCTTCATCTTCACAGCTGGTCTCACCTCTCTCTTCTTATGGCTTAGTCTCCGTGCCGACAAACCCAAATGCTCAATCCAAAACTTTTACATTCCTGCCCTCGGCAAAGACCTAAATTCACGAGACAATACCACTCTAAACTTCATGGTTCGTTGTGACAACCCAAATAGAGACCAAGGAATCTACTACGACGATGTCCACCTTAATTTCTCCACCATCAACACGACCAAGATCAATTCCTCTGCTCTTGTCTTAGTTGCTAACTACATAGTGCCTAAGTTCTATCAAGGACACAAGAAGAAGGCCAAGAAGTGGGGTCAAGTAAAGCCGCTAAACAACCAGACGGTTTTACGAGCGGTTTTGCCTAATGGATCGGCGGTTTTCAGGTTGGATCTGAAGACTCGAGTGAGATTCAAGATTATTTTTTGGAAAACTAAGAGGTATGGGGTTGAAGTTGGTGCTGATGTTGAAGTCAACGGTGATGGAGTTAAAGCTCAAAAGAAAGGAATTAAGATGAAGAAATCTGATTCTTCTTTTCCATTAAGAAGCTCTTTTCCGATTTGTGTTTTGATGAATTTACTCGTATTCTTCGCGATTCGATAACTTGATTAGTGGTCTTGATTTTCAAGTTTTTCATTTTTTGGTTTTGTTGATTTTGATTATTGACTCTTTCATGAGTTTTGTTGTGTGCTAGTTCCATTTTTCTTCATAGTTTCCAAAATTCGACCAAGAACGCATTGCTTAATTTATTCCCTTATTTTTTGTTTTAAGTTTTAACTATGTATTAGTTTCCATCAACAAAATTCTATTTGAAAATCATTTATCCATTTTTTATATGTACAAGACACAATTATATGTTGGGTTGCAAATCAAGGAACAAAGAACAAATATACCACCAAAAAGAAGTACATAATTATATAACAGTGAATATAACCGTTCAAATATGGAAAGAAAACTTTTTAAAAATCCATAAATGATCAAACTATATAACGGGAACACTGAGTTATATGATTTTTATGAAATTATTCCAAATAAAATTTCTAAAATTTGATATTATAATTGCAAATTGCAATATCGAATAAATTTATTTACTACTCTATCACAAAATTGAAACCGTAAACCATTGATATATTTTTATAAAATTGATCGACAAAAAGTCAACAAAAATGACATGCTCCATTGAACAAGGTTTGGATATTCAATGATACAAAATTTTGGGGTTGTTATCTTACATTTTCTTGTCAGTACGACAATATCTTAACGTTCAAGTTCAATAATTAACCAACCGCATATTGTAGAATATAGAGTAAGTGCTATATATTTAAGTATGACTTTGCCTTGCGAATAGTCGCCAGTTAGTCTGTTAAATATCATTTTCTTTGGGTCATGAAAATGAAAACTATATATCTTTTTCACAGATTTATATTTTTAAAAGACGCGGTAGTATGTTTTTAAACATTCTGTTTCGATTATCGTGAAAGTTGCCATCGATTACTATAGTTAAAAGTTGCCAGAAAGTTATGATATTCCAAATCATTCTTCCTAATGTGAATCTAAAGTATTCATAGTTATTCTAGTTCCATATACTAATTCAAGAAACTTTAGGGAGATTTTCTAATGCGAATTTATATGGTTTTTCTTTGGGTTAAACTTTCCCCTTTACTTTATGTTCACCGATTCGTTTCTTTCTATTATGTTGTGTTCTTTTTCTTTTTCCCGACTCGTATCTGTCTATGGCATAGTCCTTAGAACCCAAAAAAAAAAAAAAAACATGTTTTTTCCAAACTATTTTGTCTAAAAATTAATATGGAGTATGGACCATATATATATACTATTATATAGTATATAGCAGAAGAAGCACTAACCAAAGTTGTTTTGCACCTAAACCAAACTCAAAATTAGCAACACAAACATATCAAACCAGACAAACAAGAATAAAGAAGATAGACTATACTATTTCCATTTGGTTCCGGTTATTGTACCATGCCTAGTAATTTTCTAATTTTCAAGTCACAATTCAAAACTTTGATGAGGAAGTTTTCTTTGTTAGTTTTTAAATGTCTATTGAATTGGTTCTCTTATTGTTGTTGTTAAAAAGTCGTGTTTACCGAGTTAACTTGAAATATCAGCTAATTCGAATAATCAAAGCAAAAAAAAAATCCATGGATCGAGAGGATGCATGTGAATGGTTTTTTACAGTCTTATTCGGTGTCCTCTATGTATCGTTTCTTCTGGCTTTCTTTCTCTGGATTACTACTTTGGTCCACGACACACCTAGATGCTCAATCCATTACTTTTACATTCCTGCCCTAAACAAATCTCTCCATTCATCAGACAACACCACTCTCAACTTCATGGTTCGTCTCAAGAACATCAACGTTAGGCAAGGAATCTATTACGACGACCTTCACTTATCTTTCTCCACAAGTTTCAACAACTCATCTCTTCTTGTGGCTAACTACACAGTGCCAAGATTCTATCAAGGACACGAGAAGAAGGCCAAGAAATGGGGACAGGTCTTGCCTCTTAACAACCAGACGGTTTTCCAAGCGGTCTTGCCTAATGGCTCGGCGATTTTTCGGGTGGAAATGAAGATGCAGGTGAAATACAAAGTCATGTCCTGGAAAACAAAAAGGTACAAATTAAAGGCTAGTGTGAATCTTGAAGTCAACGAGGATGGAGCCTCTAAAGTCAAGGACAAAGAGGATGGGATTAAGATGAAGATATCAGATTCTTCTCCACGACGACTAACCTTTTTCCAACTTTGCTTTTCGATTATTTGTGTTTTGATGAATTGGCTCGTCTTTTTGGCTATTTGTTAAATGATGAGTGATATTCATTTTCCATAGCCTTTTTTTCTTGCATCTTTTTCCTTTTGACTCTTTCCTCTGTTTTGATGTTTATTAGAGATTTTGTATATTAGTGTAGCTTTGGTTTGATGTGTATTAACCGTTTTTACCCCTTTGTATATATAAAGTCAGCTCCAACTTCTTTTTTCTAGTTTCATATAAGTAACGCTTTTTTTGGGTTCTCTTATAAGGCTTAGGACTGGCTTGCTAATATATCATTCACTAGCTCTGTTTTTTTTTGTTTCCACAAAAAAATGCAATAGTGAGTCTCTTAGTTTTATTAGTTTTTTTTTTTTTAAATGCATTTATTTTTTCTGTAAACGTAATCATTTCAATGATACATGCATCTATGCAAACAAATTTAACTAAAGTTCATGAATCTTGAGATTTTTTTTCTTCCAAATATAGATAATTAGAGATAATATTTTAATTTTGATAGTTGAAAGTCTCTTACAAAAACTTATATTTTTCTTTTTCTACATATATTTTTCCAAACATAGGTTAATTTCTTCTGAAAGCAGATAACTTGATAATAATTAAAGTTATCTGTTTTCAGAAGAAAATTAACCTATATTTTTGAAATATATAATTTGATATTTTTTGGATAGCCCTTGTTTTCTTTCTTTTTTTTCTGATGTATTTTAGGTAGCTCAGATTGTTCAGTAAAGAAAATCGAAGTATTGTACATGGATCAGATATTAGTACTAAGAAATGTGTATATGTATTGCCCTAGACCAAATTTGCATTCTTCAAACTAAACTAACAGGTTTAATATGACATTATTTGATGCAGTGAGGAAAAAAAACACAAAAATGGTATAATAGCAGAAAAAAAGGTAGAACTCAAAATCAGCACACTACATATCAAATAACAACAACAACAGGTGAATCAGAATCAAAGCATAAGAACATTAATGGTTTTTATAACATAAAAACTTTGTTCAGAGACAAAGCAACCACAGCTTATTAGTATCAATGAAGTCTTAAAATAAGAAACTGCATAAACCAAGTTGAAATTGAAAAAAGAGAGACAAAAACTGACACAAGCAAAAAAAAGTCTTAAAACCGAAACCAATATGAAAGTTCCTTAGAGAAACACATAACCTCTCAGATTCAACATTCTCTGCATCCCATCAAAGAACATCGACACTGTTGCTGTTTCCTTCTACTGCTTCACACCGCCATTACCTGATTCAGCAAACAACAGATCAAAGCCGATTAGAAAGCTAACAAAAGAAGAAACATTGTATCCATACATATATAAATAAAGACAACTTACATGGAAGAACGCTTTCGGTGAATGGGAACATAGCAGGATTCGTAAATCCAGTACGAGGGGCCCTTCTTCTCTTCCACTTTTTAGTCTCCATATCATATATACGCCAGTGTGTATCATTCACACATATGATCTTGTTATCTAATGCAGTTACGGCTAAAATCAATTCGTCATCTTTTATTGGAACATCATCGCTCAATTCAATATCCCAACTATACTTCTGGCCGTCGTATTTCCAAACCCATAGATCCATGTTATCTAATTGTATAACAAGCAACCCGAGAGAACCTTTCAGGTTTACCAAATGACTTGCCTCTGTGATCTTCTCTTCCTCTCTTAGTCCATCTGGATATGCAGGCAAGTTTATGACCTCGAATCTCCCTTCCAAATCTACTGAGAGGATCTTACCAGGCCCATCTAAAGAAACAAGCCAATACACTTTTCCATCGACAAATATATGACCAGTTCTTCTGAATGGCCTAAGACCACAACTCATAGGAACACAAGGCACGGTGCCGATGTTTTTCCAAGAACCCGTGCTGGACGAATAAACCTCGCATTCGTAGGCTAAAACGTGACTGTATTTTGTAAAATACCGACCTTCTTGAAAATAATATCCCTCCGCAGGTCCCCTTTCTTCAGGAATTATCTTTCCAGTGCAGAATATACGGAAAATCCTATAGTCACTGACATCAGAGCCATAAGCCACTCCAATGCTTGGCTCAAACTCAAACGAGGGTGTTCCTTGGGGAAGAAGGAGAGTCTCCCTTGTACAAGGGTTGCATATCCATATCTGGAGATCACAGAACTTGTTTTCTACGTCTTCATCATAAATCATATTCACACAGCAGATGATCCCATTATAGGATGATATCATGTACATGAACTCCTCAGGGCTTCTTTGAGATGGATCAATAGTACTGAGGAGGGAAAGTTTACATCTCCTTGCATCCATCGAATACAACTTCATTGTTTTCCCCATAGCAGGACAGACTACCAATGATGAATTCTTTCCAGATTCTGCTAACTGTAGCTTTGCAAGGTGCTTACTAACTGTCTTACAATACCGGGTAGATTTGACTGAGATCTGAGACCGGATGCAAAGTGCATCTACAACACTCATCCGCTTGATACTCTGAGCACGAGTTTTGACCATTTTCTGTTTGCTTTCTGTTGCTAAGGCTCTGCATCAAAAACAAAAAACGGTTAGCGCATAAAAGGGATTCAATCACAGATATTTCTGCAACATGAATGCGTATTTATGTGACTGTAACGAGCTACAACCCAAAGGATCATACAGCTGCTAACTACTAATACATAAACACATCAGCACCCTTTAAGATAAAGACCAAAAATACTCCTAAGACACACATGCACCCATCAGAACCAAGCAAAAGGGTTTGAAAATGAAAGAAAAATGCATCAAAATTATCTTTCATCTAGAAGAGTACCTCCATCTGCATGTACCATAGAAACGAGATCAACACTGAATTGAACCAGAGAAAAAATTGTGAAGGATACAAAATCTAAAGTACCTAGAAACATTGACCAGAATAATCAAAGCGATAGTTACGAGGACAGATCGAAACAGGGGAAACATTATGCACCGAAACAAAATCCATTACCAAGAAACAAAAAAACTGTTCCACAATCGTATCTACACAGAATCGGAACTGTATTAAATGACTATGCAAAAGCCTAACCAAAAGGCAACAAATCAACAAACTGATGGGTTATGAATGCAGAACTCAGGTTGGAACTCAGATCTGCTATGACAAACAAGATTTTCAGAACTTTTGCATGATCGGAAATCAGAACTTCTCGATCGGCGGAAGATACTCACAATTCGATCTTCACGCGTGACGGCTAGGGTAGGATAGATGAACCGAAAGGGTGAGACCAACTCTTTATATATAATAGCTTCTACCACTTTTCATCTAATTACAAAGGGACATATGTAAGAATCTCATCTCGCTGCTAATAACAATTATGTATAACATTTAGTCATAAATCATGAATCAAAATCTAGCAGCATAGTAAAATTTAGTCGCATACCACAAATAACTTGATTAAAACATTTCTCATATACACCGTCAACGTACAATAGTCTCATACCATAATTAACTTACTATATAACTTGGTATAAGAAATTTGACTAGACAGCATGCCTCCAAGTCTAATTAGACACAGTGCAAAAAGATTTACTCTTGTGAACATACATATCGACAGTTTTTTTATATAAGAAATAATGTACTAATCAAAACATGCACTGACTTTACAGTAAATCCTTGGACTCTCTCTGCAAAGAAGTTAAAGTTCATCACTGTGAGCATTCATATATACTCACAAATTTGAGCATGAATATCTAGATACTTAATACAGGTTACATATTAATGAACAGAGACAAAACGAACAGAATCAACTTTTCGGAAGAAATTGAGTTCTAAAATGTGTTATTTCAGAAAATGAAGATTGTATGTAGTGTAACAATGAATAGCTCAAACAAATCCGCATCTCAAGCAAACATGAGAAAAAGCTCAAATAAATGAAAGCATAGGAAACCAATTGTTCCCAAGTTAGATGGCTAATCATATTACATCTGATGAGAATTGTCTATGTAAATTCAAAAGGGAAGGTTTTCCGGGGGAATCAAAGGGAAAGAGTCAGTTTGATCTCATATGGAGGAGCTGCAAACCCCACTAAGCACCCATGTACAATCAGACGATAGTTATTCTATCTTAGACATACAACTACATTCAGTCTTGAGCACACGAAACTTGTAAAACTCAGAACTTCTAAAGACCACCAAACAAGAATTTCAGGAAAGTAACTTCTCTCAAGAGGTATAACAGAACTCCAAAGAAAGAGAATGAGGCAGTGGCCAAAAGCAAAAGAATATTCTGAAACCAACCTGTGACAAAAGCTTGTTGATTCACCAACTCTCAATCACAATGATCCATGAAACTTGTAGTAGTGCCTCTTTCATTTCCCTTTGAAAGGAAAATTTCTTCAATTTTTATGATAAAAACAACAAATCCAACAAAAAAAACTAAACCCAATTAAAATTACCAAAATTCAAGTTCTATATGATTTTCGTATTTCACCAACAAATCCCCCAAACCTTGTAACGCTTAAACATTGATTCCCGAAATAAAAAATGGTAAAGAAGAGCATCGTTTAGTTACCTCATAAGTAATAGAAGATAACGGCAAGAGATTCCGATTATACGCAATTAAAACCCCCAAATTAGGAAACAATTCCATGACTCTGATATAATTTTTACTATCTTTTTTTTTTGTGGAAATCGAGAATAATATGAGAGCTAATTTGAAGAACACGTGTTTTGAGAAGAAGAAACAATTCGTGTTTTCTCTTTGAAAATATAATGACGAGTGTTAACTATAACGAATTATCCCACTTTTTGATCTTAAAAACTAATTAAAAGATCTCCAATCTCAGTGTATCCCGAGATTAAATATTTTATCACTATTTAAAAAAATTATAGTCAACAGTTTCTTCTCTGCTAATGAAAATATATGTAGAACGAATCTGTTGACAATATGGGCTTATGATATATTATTGCCCTTGTTAGCGACTTGGAGATGGGCCAAAGTTTTGATCCAACAAAACTCATAAAACGTCGCCGTTTTATACTTCTTCCTTCTCAGGTCTCAAGCTCAAGGATGACTCTGATCGATAGTGAAAAAAACAAAAAGACAAAATTTGGTTCGTACACAAAGGTAAAGCACACATATCTTGTTACAATCAGTAATGTCTTACAAAGTTGAAAAATAATAAAACATTAAAACATGAAGCAAACCAGAACATCTTAAACATGTAAACAAAATGAAATGGGAAATCATCTTTGGATACAAGTACACAAATACTAGATTTCTTGCAGTCTTCTTTCCATACCCATATATCCATGTAATCTTATTGTAGAACAACCATTGATCAAGATCCTTCCAGATTAATCAGATAGGTAGTCTCTGTTATCCGGTCTTCATCACTTAGATGATCTGGATACTGAGGCAACTTCATAACTTCGAACATTTTTTCCATATCCACAATGAGGATTTCACCAAGACCATCTAAAGAAACCACACAATAGATCTTTCCTCTTGCAAAGATATAACTGGATGTTTGCCGGAGGAAAAATATATTGGCTGGTTTCTTTCATGAGCCAGGTGAGATCTTCTCGGTAGATTTGGAAGGGAGATGTCGAGGTTACAAACTTGCCTGAGTATCTAGATGGTCTAAAAGATGAAGACCAGATCACAGAGGCTACCCATTTGATAAATCTGCAAGGACCTCTCGCATTGCTTGTTCTACATCCAGGCTACATGGATATATGGGTTTGAAAGGAAGGCAACAAGAATTGACAACAACAAAAAATTGTGTTCTTAAGTTTAATTAGGATTCATAGAATGAGTGTCTCTCTTGAGGCAATGATTTCATATACATATATACATACGAAAGTTATAATGGAATCCATTAACTTTTTTGAGATTTTAATAAGAACATATATTTTTTATAAAATAAATCAATTCATGCACCTATTTATATTCACCTTAAAATTACTTAGTTTCCAAACATAGGTTAAATTTAGTCAAGATTCATGTATTCAAGAGTTTCAAATATATAATAGGTGGCATGAATAAAAGGAAATATATTTGTCAAAAATAAATCATTTCATGCACCTATGTAAAATTGTAAACTACTTAAGTTCACGAATCTTTGACTAAATATTGTATGGAAAATTTCTATCAAGATTCATGAACTCAGTAGTTTAAAATTTTACATAGCTGTGAATTAGTATAGTTTTACATAGAGGCATACTCTTCGTTTATTAAAATAAACCAACCGGTTTAATATTTATTTTTTTGGTAAGTACCAACCGGTTTAATATATGATATAAGGCAATGGTCGTAATAGAAGAAGAGGGAAAAAAAGCTAAGCAGAACTCAAAATTAGCAACAAGAACAGAGAATCAAAGCAGAAGAACATTAATGGTTTTGACAACATTTAATAAAACTCTGTTCAGAGACAAAGCACCCACAGCTTATTACTACTATCAATCAAGTCTTGAAAACAGAAACAGCATAAACCAAGTTCAAAAAGAAGACGAAACCCAACACAAACCAGAAAGTTTTAACACCCAACCTCTCAGATTCAACATTCTCTGCATCGCATCAAAGAACATCGAGACTCTTGCTGTTTCCTTCTACAGCTTCACACCACCATTACCTGATTCAGCAATCAACAAATCAAAGATGATTAGAAAGCAAACAAGCAAGAAACATAGTATCATACATATATATAAACACAACTTACATGGAAGAATGCTTTCGGTGAATGGGAACACAGCAGGATACCTAAATCCAGTACGAGGGCCCCTTATCTTCTTCCACTTTCCAGTATCCACATTATAAATATGCCAGTGTGTCTCAGTCACACATATGATCTTGTTCTTTAACGAAGTTACGGTTAAAACCAATTCATCATCTTTAATACGAATACGAACTTTCAATAAAGGCACGGGCACCCAACTATATGTCTCGCCGTCGTCTTTCAAGACCCATATATCCATGTAGCCTGGATGTAGAACAAGTAATGCGAGAGATCCTTTCAAATTTATCAGATGAGTAGCCTCTGTGATCTTGTCTTCACCCTTTTGATTAGCTTTATATTCTGGCAAGTTTATAACCTTGAATCTCCCTTCCAAATTTACTGAGAGGATCTTACCTGGCTCATCTAATGAAACCAGCCAATAAACTTTTCCTCCTACACAAATATGACCAGTTTTGTATGGCCTAAGACCACAATCCATAGGAACACAAGGCACAAGGCCAATGTTTTTCCAAGAACCAGTGCTAGAACAAAACATCTCGCATTCATAGGCGTAACCTTCTCGAACATAATATCCCTCCACAGATTCCCTTTCTTCAGCAATTTTCTTTCCAGTGCAGAATATACGGAAAATTCTATAGTCACTGGTGTCGGAGCTATAAGCCACTCCAACACATGGCTCACACTCAAACGAGGGTCTCCCTTGGGGAAGAAGGAGAGTCTCCCCCGTACAAGGGTTGCATATCCATATCTGCAGATCAAAGAACTTGCTTTCTACGTCTTCGTCAAAAATCACATTAACGCAACAGATGAGTCCGTTAAAAGATGATATCATGTATAGGGACACCCCGTGGCTTCTCTCAGAGGGATCAATAGTGTTGAGAGTGGAAAGTTCAAAACTCCTTGAATCCATTGAATACAACTTCATTGATGTCTCCAGAGTAGGACAGACTATGAATGAGGGATTCTTCCTCGAGTGCGCTAACTGCAGCTTACAAAAGTATGTAGTACTTATTGAGCCATGCCAGTGCTTACTAAGTGTCTTCAGAGACCAGATAGATTTGACAGAGACCCGAGATAGGATGTCCATAAAGACATCCTCTTCATCTACGACATTCCATCTCTCTGCTCTAGATAGCTTGAGAGGTTGTGTCTCTGTTCTCCTCCGCTTGATATGCTGACCACAAGTTTCGACCATTTTCTGATTACTTTCTGTTGCTAAGGTTCTGCATCAACAAAAACGTCAATTAGCACATAAAAGGGATTCAAGGCTTCAAGCACATATATTTCTGCAACATGAATGTGTATTTATGTGACTGTAACGAGCACACAACTGCTAACTACTCATACACAAACACAGCGCCCTTCAGATAAAGACCACAAAGACAGCTGCGCCCATTAGAACCAAGCAAAAGGGTTTGAAAATGAAATGGAAATGCATCAAAATTATCTTTCATCTAGGAGAGAACTTCCATCAGCATGTTTCATTTTAAATATATAGATACACGAGATCAACACCGAATTGAACCTGAGAACAAATTGTGAAGGATACAAAATCTAAAGTACCTAGAAACATTGATCAGAATAATCAAGGCGATAGTTACGAAGACAGATCGAAAAGAGAAAACATTATGCACCTACACGAAATCAAGGATTTGTTACGGAAACAAAATCTAAAGTACCTAGTAACATTGATCGGAATAATCAAGGCGATAGTTACGAAGACAGATCGAAAAGAGAAAACATTAAGCACCTACACAGAATCAAGGATTTCTTACAGAAACAAAATCTATTGCCACGAAATCAAAAACTGTTTCGCAATCGTGTTACATATCAACACGAAATTGGAACCGTAATAAATGATCACGAAAGAAGCCTAACCAAAAGGAAACAAATGAATTGATAGACAATTTATGAATGCAGAACTCCGGTTGCAATTTCAGATCTGACAACAGGAGGAAAATAGGCGACATCATCGAGACCTCTTGCCGGCTTTTATATGTTTTTCCTACGACGATCAAAATCTACAAACATAGTAAAATATAGTCGCATACCATGAATAACTTGGCAAAAACATTTCTCATATATACCGTCAACGTACAATAATCTCATACCATAAGTAACTTGCTATATAAAAATTTCTAAGATTTGACTAGCCGGGCATGCCTGTCAATTTATTTAAGCACAGCCCAAAAAGATACTCTCGTCAAGAGTACATATCGAGTTATGATTTACTGGGAAATAGTGTACATAAATATTTATAATTGAATCCTCTCTGCAAAGAACTCAAAGTGCATTGATGTCAGCATTCATATACATACACAATTTTGAGCTCTAGAAACTTACATACATATATACGTATAGAAGTTAACTATTAATAAACAGAGAAAAGAAAAACAAATTCAAGTTTTCGGGGTGAGCTCTTGATTGTGCTATTTCCCAAAATGCAGATTCTATGTAGTGGAACAATGAATAGCAAAATGCGCATCTCAAGTGCAAACATGGCGAACAAGTTGAAAGAAATGAAAGCATAGGAAACTAATTATTTTTAAGTTAGATGGCTAATCACAGTCCATACACACCTGATGAAAATTTTCAGGCCAAATACCAAATTATTTAAGTCAGAAGGGAGGGTTTTTCGGGATATCTAAGGGAAAGAAAGTTTCTTTGATCTCATATGGAGCTGCAAACTCCACTCTGCACCCATGCAGAACAGACATACACAAGCAGTCCTTGAGCAGAAGACAGTTCTTATACTTTAACTTCAAAGAAAAAAACAAACATTTATCTCGGGAACATTGATTATATTGTCTAAACTCAGAACTCCAAAAGACCATCAAACGAGAAATATAGCTAAGGAACTTCTTTCAAGAGGTATAGCAGAACTCTAAAAAACATTCACTGTGTGAATATTTCTTGTTGCTTTACATTCTTCTATGTTCATTGCAATCTACCAAACTTTGCAAAAATGTCTAATTTCGAAAATTACCTATATATCAACTTGTTCAATCTCAACGAAATTACTATAGACAACAACATAAGCAAAGAGAGGAAAGAAGAGGCAATGTCATGAGCAAAATAACAACAAAAAAGAAGAAGATCGTGAAACCAACCTGTGACAAAAGCTTGCTGATTCACCAACTCTCAACTCTTCAATCACAATGATCCATAAAATTCATTGAAATGAGTATTTAATGTTTGTAATAAAAGCAACAAATACAACAAAACCTAAACCAGTTGATATCATCACATCATAAGATCAACACAAAATCACCAAAATTCACATGAAATTCAATTCTATATGATTTCCGTTTTTCACCCCCAAAATCCCTAAAACCTTGTAACGCCTCGAGCATATATATATTCCCAAATCAGAAAACAGTAAAGAAGAGCATATTTTAGTTACCTGATAAGTAGAAGATAACGGCAAGAGATTCCGATTAAACGCAATTAAAACTCCCAAATTAGGAAACAATTTCATGACTCTGATATCGGGATTTATGTTCAACTATAGTTTGTGGAAATCGAGAATAATATGATCAATTTTGAAGAACACGTGTTTTGAGAGAAGAAGTAATTCGTGTCGCTGTTAAACAAATCACATCAGTTTGATCCTTAAACCTCTCGATTAAGAAGAGAGCTCCTCCGTCACTGTTGTATCCCGCGACACACTAATATTTTATTTCTATTAATAATTTATAGTATAATCATCATTAGTCAAGACGCTTTATTTCTCCGGTACGACGGATCGGTTATTAGGTTTCGGTACGATTTTCACATCATATTAAACGGAAATAGAATGATACTACAGTGTTATATACGGAACATAATTATCTTGATTATAAGAACTCACTCGTTTAATTCACAAATTCAACACTTTTCTCTGTTTCTTTGCTCATGAAAAACATATCAAAGAATTAAAACACACAAGAAGATCACTTATGATTCCCATTTTATAACTTCTTTTTTTTCATAAATCTAAGCACCCATGCTTCCAAAACTGAAGGAAAAGTTCAAATTTTTATCAAAAAAAAAAAAAGAACTGAAGGTAGGTGAGAACTGAGAAGGCAAATTAAAAAGACAGAGAATAATGTTTTGCTTTTAAACGGGTCTTAAAATTTGTGAAGTTCCACGGGATACAATCATCAATAGTGAACGAAATTTACTAATCCACAAGTAAGATTTTGGAACCGAAACAAGTCCCATGGGTCACCTCAATCCAAATCTTAAAAACCCTATCGACCTTAAAAGTTTCTATGAAAAAAAAAAAAGGGATTAGTTTTTTTTTGTCTTTGTGACTGGCTCCATCGAATCAATCAAGCCGCTGAAAGAAGTAGACATAACCCATGTCTTTAGGAGGATCAGTCGAGATACCAACTTTGTCGTCATTGAAAATAACCCAACGACCTTCTTTCAATATGTGCGCCACGTAGTGACCACAGTGCACTGATGTTCCTATGTGACTTACTATTCCAAACAGCTTGTATTCTGCGTTTAAGATCAATCTTGAGTTAGAGCTATTCTCATATTTTTTTGTTGAAAATACACACTAATATTTGTTTTGCAATATGAGATAGAAAAACTCAAAAGAGGGTTTAAGAAACTAACTCCCTCCTCCATCTGGTAATCCACTTTGAGCCGGAGTCTGCGCTGAATTGCTAGAGGAAACATCCATGTCTGAAACAGATGCATTAGGGTTGTTGAATATCCAATCTGTTGCTTTCTCTATATCTCCTCCCTGATTAAAGGAAAAAAACGATTTCGGTTATTGAGTAAAGAAAAAACAGCCTCGCAGAAATGCAACTAATTTTCTCGAAAGTGTTATACCGAGGCTTTTAGTGCCTTTCGAGCAACATCTTCAGCAAAACCAAAGGAGAGTAAGGCATCAAGGCTTGATTGATCAACGTCAGATGTCTGGTGGGAGATCGGTGCATCAATGTCTATAAAACATAATGCCTCATCATATTAGACATTGGTCTCGAATCATAATTTAGTTTTGTGAGAGAAGTTGAGCCTCAACTACAGACTTGTGGAACTATTCAATTACCTGGATCATCCATGTGAGAAAGTAACCAGTTCATTGCCTCTTCAACCCCAGCATTGGAAGTATTTATGGCAGCTTTCTGGCAATGAAGCTGGCTAAATCCCATTGAGACAAGTTGTGCAACTATCTCCTCATTTGCCACAGGCTGCGCTGATTCAATCACTTCTTCTGGAACTGTATACAGAAAAATCCAATAGCCAACAGAATTATAGGGAGAATAACAAGTTTTGTTTATCTAACAATAGATAAATGAATGGAGAGAGTGGACAATGAAATAAAGAAGCTAGAGCACCAAGACACTAAAACAACTATGACATGCATAAAAAAAAAAACATAGTCAAATAACCAAAAAAACAACCAAGTAGCTAGTGAATGCAGTCTAAGAGAAGGAAAACTCCTGAGTGCATAAAGAGTCCAGCAGAATGGTAAGAGTATCTGTTTGAAAATGTATTTAAGTGCTTTGGTGATGAAGGATCATTCAACACAACCATGGTGCACAACACAACATGCAACAATACACAGACTTCCTTCTTAGAAAGTAACTGCCCTGATAAAGAAACCGTTTAAGGTATGCTGATACTTTTTAATGATTAGTAAACTGACTGCTAATTCAAAAGGCTAAGAGTCATGACACCAGAAAAAGTAGCACGAGTTTGAAACAATCAATAAATTAAGTCAATCATTATTTATGTGAATTATGAAACACCATTCTTGTAATAAATATAACAACATACCGCCATCTGGCAACAGTTCCTCCCCAGGTTGGAGTCCTTTGCTACGCATGTGGCTGATATCAATAACATCCGGAACATCAATGTATACATCTGCCTCAGCAAATCAAGAAAAAATATAATAAGTATTTATATACAGGGCCAGTAGGGGAACATTATAAGGATCAGTGTTTCAGAAAGAGACCAAGTTTCTTTGGCACCCAGCCTGCCTCCATAACAAACTTCCGCATGTGCAAGACCAAATAATCTGGGAAAGATGTCAAACCAGTTGTCCTGCATAAAATGGAAACCAAAAGTTCACCCTTGAAACCTTACTTTCATTCTAGTCCTGGTTGCACTAGAATTTACTCAGTTAAAAAAAATATCATACTTGATAGCTGTTGTCCTCCCCTTCAGAGCAGAGCTGTAGTAGTCATCAATCGGCTCTGATGATGCAAAATTTGCTAGACAAGCTTCTAAAGGAACTCGTGGGCGTACTATTTCATCACTTGACCTGCTGAAAATAAATATCTTAGATAAGCAGCGAAACTATGAAACATATTTAAACTTGAGTCAATTAACTCACATATCATTCTCTTCCAATCCTTTTCCTGCTTTCTGCTTGTTAAAGGCTTCTAATTCATCTTGATCACCAAACATTAAGCAAAACAAAGACAGCAAAATTAAGAAACACGCCAAACAATAAAGGAAGAGGAACATGAACAGGATATATACCTTTATTAGTTGCCTCATGCAACGGAATGTTCAAAGAAAGAATACAGTCTTCCCTCTTATTATATCCAACCTTTCCAGATGGACAAAGGATCTTCTCTTCTATTCCAAACTTGAAGCTCCTCGAGGGGTCTAAATCTGGTGTCGTGTTGCTAGCACGCTCAACCTTGCCTACCAAATGGAGGAAAAACTCGAGAGCATCCTACGAGACAGAATGGTGCTAGTTAGTGTGAAAACATAAAATAATTTTGTTAACTGATGCCTAAAAGGAGTATCGATCAAATACAAGTTACAAAATAAACAAAACTCTGAACATTAAAAAAGACATGGTTTTCACCTGCTGTCTCATAGAAGAGAATTCTGCGTGGCTCGCAGCAATTACGTTTTTGAACATGCGAGGAGGTATTCCTTCTTGTCTCTATTATCGATTAAAGAAAGAAACAATATGTAAAGTCATCAGAAATCAACACAAGAGGGGTATGCAAAAAAAAAAAAAATTGTGGCCATCCACATACATATATTTATTCAAAAGTTAAACACAGGACTTCAACCATTTGTTGCCTAGATGTGCTGGTCTGTGTTTATTTACCACAAGTCGTACCAAAAAGGAAAGCCTCTAAGAGTAGAAATGACTAAAGACGAGGAACTAACTATAGAAACCCGGAAAAAAATCACTAGGATAATAAGATTGATGTGCTTATAAAGCTCTTGATCAATCGACGTTTCCATTGAAAGATCAATAAGGAATTTAATAATCATATAGAATAAGAATCTTACAGCATCTCCAGTTGTAGCATCCTTCTGCAATCAGAAAAATCAAAATCAATGTACCAAGGCCCTAAAAGGTGGTTTAGATAATATATATGTATGCAAGCAAAAATATTCCTGATATAGTTATACCTGAGTTGCAGGAGTAGAGTACTTCCCAGATAGTAAACCATGTCCAAGCTTTGTTCTGCAACCAACAGTGCATGGAGTATGAAATAAATATGAAAATTATCATGCAAGTGTTCCTCATGGAAATCAGATTAGAAAAGAAAGTGCACAGAATATTAAACCAAACGGAGAGAAATCAGAAACTAAAGCACGTATCATGCAGATACAGAGTATGCACAAATATAATCTTAAAACCCTTTCATCATTACGATGTCAAGAGTTCAATCACATGATTTCAGAAAGTCCAGAGAGAGTATAAACATAGTAACATTTGTTCTAACAATAACTCACAATTGCATATTGAGGTCCAAAGTTGGATCAGCAGGAGCCATCTCAAAAGCCATCTTTAAGCTCTGATGTGAAAAGTATCTGCAACAATCTCAGAACCAAAAGTTACTACAGTTGATTCAAAGAGCAAAAGGTTTGTTTTGATTTAAGCTATACAAGTGAAAGAAATATGGGCAATGGCATCTACCTTGAAATAAATGAATGGGTAGAGAAAACAATCTGCATCGTAGCTGCCAAGTAGCAACTGGCAAAAGAAAAGAAATGGGCATAAGACATCAACAAGGAAACAAAATCCCTGACAATTTTTCCATTAGAGTACCTGTTCCCAAGATTGACAAGTCCGGTATATCCAGGTCCATAAACTGGTACCAATTCTTTTCCACTCTCTTGTATACGGTTCCAATCAAAATTTGTATTTTGATCAAGTTCTCTTTCGGCAGTTGTCATTTCAGTCTGTAAAGATTGTAGCAAACATTCCAAGAAACTTAACATTAATCAGATGAAAGCTGTTTTATCAGTACAGGATATCTTCTAGCAAAGATGATGATCAAGGCAGTACAAACTGGAAAACAAATACAGGTGAACTATAAAACCTAAGCAGTACATGCAGCAAGGAAAAATGTTTAAACCTGACGCAACAAATACAAGTAAATAGACTGAACGCGTGAATGGGAATTATTGTCTCAAAACAACCTGAAATTACATTCTCCAAGTGCACTGTGCATCTTTTTGATCGCAGTTATAAAAAAGTAAGCAATAACACTGATGTGAGTCTACTTGCTCTTGGTAAAGTAACATAAAGCCTCATACATATTCCACATTTGTACACAAGACATAAGTTTCGTGGCAACTGATACTGAAGAAAGAAATGAACACAAGAGCAATGCGACCCAGGAAGGGTATCTCTACAAACCATAGCACTTAAGAAAGAAATAAATTCCAGACATAAGCTTTCTAGTACACTACTCAGCACGTGCCAATGCAACCCAGGAAGGGTATCTACACAAACCATAGCACTATTGGAATACCTAAGCTTGAGTCTCTGATAAAAATGCAGTATACGAAATTCATTACTAACCTTCTGCATCGACGAAAAGTCAATTCCAAAATGGGCCAGATGCGCAGCCAGGAGCGGGTCCAAAACACTGTCATCTTCCGGATAGGAATAAACATCTGAGCTGCCAAAGTATTTGCAATGGTAAGTGCTGAAGGAATCAAAACCCATCCAAAGAACATGAATACATGATAATCCACATGTATCAACATAAAAAAAAAAAAAAAAAAAACAAAGTGATGCAGGAAGTCCCCCTTCTCCAGCCCAAAAAGACAACTATCAACTGACATTAGCCATACACAAAAGTGAAGTCCAGTGACTAATGTGGTTCTATGAATACGGATTCAACATCTTTTTTTTTTTTTTGATTAAGGTATGGGGTAGGAAATTTACAACAACAAAGCTCTGTAAGCTACAGCCACATGCAATGAATCATGACATTACTTAAAAAGGTATCACCCACACGACTTTGCCTTAAGGGCAGAGATTGGTATTTTTGAGCATATATGTAATGCGGCTTTAGACTCAAGAGTACCTAAAAACTTTTTAAAAAGGCCAATTCCAATCCCAGGGTATCACAAGCCTTTACATTTCTCAGAAGTTAAAATAAAGAAATCCACAACAAAGTCGACTAAAAACTATATTTAGGAAACAAGACAACTTTACCTGCTGCTTCTAAGTCAGCTGTGATAGTTCCAAGCTTTACAGCAAGAGGATAGGCTGTCTCTTTGTAGTGCTCAACCGCATGGTTGTTTCCACCAGTTCCATCCCAGTTTTTTCTTCCACAGAGAATCATTCCATCGGTAAGATTAAGCCAGAGATTCTCCGTCTTATCACACTTGGCACATTTCCAACCAGAGGGAGGAATGACAATGCCACTCTTGATTTGCTGCAGTGTCAATGCATGTTCACTAACTAACTTTTTCTCAGCTGTCCAAGCTGCAACTTGCTCTTTCCGCTCAGCACCTACGGCATTCACTACAGTATCGACAGCAATCCTCACCTACAATAACAAAATACAAAAAGCTAAACACATGCAATGTGTTTTCCATAAACCCTCTCTGATAACACACCTAAAATCAACAACATATTGCTAACAAACACCTTCTCTGGTAGTTCAACAGAAGGAAATGGCAGTGTCACAAAATCCGGAAGTATAACTATGCTATACGACTCCTCGTACTCAGGCTCGTTGTTATCAAAGCCTCCATCAACTCCTGCAATTGTGAAACAGTTCAAAATCAATCTCTCTACTCTATGTTCAAAAAATCAGTTCAGATACGGCATCGGAATCATTGTATATACCTATAGCGAGCAGAGTCGGTTTCTTGAGAGGCCGATCCTCAGGAACAGACTTGGTAGTCTGCTTAATATGCAGATAAACAGGGTTTCCAGTCTTCTCATAATTCCAAGAAACATAATCCTTCCCAAAAGCAAGAAAACTATTCATATCTACGAACAATCCTCCTTCGGATCTCTGAAAATCATCATCGCGAAATCATCAAACTCCAGGAAACAGTCGAGAGTAGTCGGAAATTGAAGAAGAAAATGAAGTGAGAGAGAGGTTTTACCGGAGTATCGAAGGAGATGCAACACTCATGCTTGTAGATACGATGAGTAGGTTCAGGGATCTGAACCCTAGACAAGTTGGATCGGAGGAGCTCCATAGGGTTTTTACGAAATCGGCGAAACTCTCGACGACGGAGAGAAAGAAAGGTGTTGGTTGAGTGATGATATCACACGTCTCCGTTACAATTTAAGAACAATGTACGGATGATGAGAAACGTCGTCGTCCTTCTAAATTCCTTTCTTATTGCCTCAGGTTTTGGGTTTCTTTCTCTCTAAGCGAGAATTGCAATTAAAGCAAAAGTTGTGTCAATTTGGGGAAATTTCGTTAACCGGTTTTTTGTTGGGTAAATTTTGAAAATATTCTAAATTAAGGATAATTATATTTATTGGGTAGAGAGTAAAGGATACACAAAAGAATATTGTACGGCCCATTAGAGTTTGTATTTACCCAATAAACCCAAGACTATTTGACTGACCCATATGCATGGATATGGCCAATGTGGGTTTTACATGCTCTTGTTCAACACGAATATTACAAAGTATGAGGATATCATTTGATGATTTTCGAAATAAAAACATAAGTGGATGTATATGTGAATGTGATTATATGAATGCTTATGAAAAATGAACAATGGTGAAGTGATTGTCTTCTTCATATGTAAAACTTTAGTTTTCGGAATTTGGATCAGTTGGTACGGATCCAATTCGCGAAAAGATTTGTTTGTTCTTCTAGCATGCTAAAAATATTTTTGTTCAATTTTATTATTTAATTAATGTGTGTTTAGGATTATCTTTTTATTTTGTGACTAAAATATGTGTCCCTCTATAAACTTTTTAATTACTAAAGGGAAAACTAATAGATAATAATAACTATTAGATATGTAAGTATATTAATGTAAACTTATGCATGAACTAGTGGGTAATTTCAATGATGATGAATAGTATTCTTAAATGAGAATCTCAATAACAATACTTACAAAAGAAGTCACCTTTTTCAATAATCTCATTTTAGAAATTTTCCATATTTTTTACTGACAAAAAAATATATCAAAATCAAACTGAAATTGATAGGTCAGTGATCTAACTTCAAGTCACTAGATCTCACTGTGTTGGTTCAAATTTCTATATAAGAAGTAAAAAGTGCTCTAAATCCACTAGAGTAGTTGACAACAAAATAGCAGAGCCGATTTTTTTCATCCAATTTTCTCCATATAGAACTATTCTCTTCTGAAAATCCCATATCCCTTTAAACAATAATTCAGTTTAATGAAAATGTAGGGAGAGGGATTTTTGGGAAGCATGAAATGCTTTTCTTTTTTTTCTTTTAAAAATGTTTAATAAAGAACCTTTCTGATAGAAAAATAAAAACTTTTGTGGGCCATATCTTACTTCCACTAACATTATTCCAAAAGTTATAAAAATATATCTGTCCCAAGATTATTTTCCTCTTGTCCAATCAAAATATGCATATCAACACATTACTCTCTCTTATTCGTGGAATCTAATTATTCCCTTTCAAAAAATAGAATAGCTAAAAAAAGGAAGAAACAAAAGCTCCTTTTCTCCATAATTAAATCATCTTTCTCCTTCTCTGAATCAATGAAGACAATACTTACATTATAGATCCCTACATTCTTCTCTAACGAATAACTTAACATCTATCTTTTATACATACTATTATAACCCCCCAAAAAAAAGTTCACTTTAGATATATGTTTGGAATTGATCTTGTAAAAAAAATTACATGTCAAATCTCAATAGCTCTTACATATCTATGCATGGTTCTTCAATTACACATTATTTTTAACTAGTTCTATGTATAAGAAATATAAATGGACAACACGTTTCACACTTGTCCATTAACTTATCTTCCTCTTCGTTTAAAAATGCGGTGATTCTTATCAGCAATCAACGTATATATTATAAGTTAAAAAGATACGTCAACCAACATCTAATATACGATTTTTCGTCTATATATCTATCTAAAAGTCCCACCAAATGTAGGAGTCCAGAAATCTACTGTAGTATCGTGTGTCACTGGAAATGTGCTTGAAACTGGCACTAAGCATAAACCTCGTCTTCTAAGATCTGGTTCTTCTGATACTTCTAGCTCTGTGGGATGATCACTCTGCATCATCATTAAAAAAACAAGAGAAAAAAAAAATCAGTTTCAAATGATGTTGTTTTTGTTGCAAAAACCGTCTCGTTACATTGTTTCTTGGAATAATAATGCTTTGTCCAATCTTGAAGATGAAGCAACCATATTAAATACATGTAATAAAGAATGCGAACGAGAGCCGTACGTTTATTCAATGGTATGATAATAACAGTATATAATGGTTTAATAATGCACATAAGATTATATAATTATAAAAGTTACCTGTTGATGTTGTAAAGAGGCTCCACTTTTCATGTATGGGTTGCTCAGAGCCTGAGTTATAATCATTTGCAGGTTTGTTGTACATCAGTTGAAGAAATACAATAACTAACTAAAACTGTAGCAGAAAATGTTTGTATATTAAGGAATGGGCTAACTTACTGAAACTTGTTGGTGTAAGAACTTAATGTATTCAATGGCTTCAGAGAGCACTGAGGCTGCATCAGTCTGACACAAAACCACATGAGATTCAGTAAAACAAAATCTAAGAATTATATTTCATCTCCAACATAAATATCTATAGAAATAGACTTTACATAGCATAAAATAAATAAAAAAGATATAATAATAATAACATGATAAGTAATAATGACAGTATACAAATATACTAATACACACTCATCATCTTTATGAAAGGTAAAGCAAAAATTTGCAGACAATGAGAGAGAGAAATAGTACCTTTCCGAAAGGTGAAACCAATTGTTGGAGCGCAGCGATTCTGTCCCCCATTTTCTCTTTCCTCACCTAATTCAGCAAAATTTAATTTATAAAAATCCTTATTATAAACAAAAAAATATGAAGTCGAAAAACTAAAGAGATCTAGTATAAGCAATTATGCAAGAATTTTGGGAAGAATGTTTGTTTTCTTGATATAAAATAATGTTTTCTAAAACTCATTATATATCATATCTTATACTTTGGTGGTAAATGATAATAAACCTAATTTTATTTTTCAAATTAGGGTTTCGGCCGTTTTGTTAATAGAAAGATTCGGATTTTTTTGGCAAAACCATACAAAGCTGGTTTTATTTCAATGTGGTTAAAGATGCTTTTATTTGTAGACCAAAAAAGAAGTTTTTACTGTTTTCTGTTAAATAAAAATAATAAAGCAAAATACCTTGAAAGCTGGTGACGGAGACGCTGCTTCGCTCTTAGCTCTTTTCGTCGCCGGCTGCTGATCGCCTCCTCCTCTCTTTACTTCGTTGCTACTCGAATCTCGAATCTCCGTCATATTCTATGACCAACCAATACATATAAACATATATATAAATAAATGAAAAAGAAAAAGAACTTGTGTAGCTATATAAATATATACCTTTGGTTGTTCGTCAAAACTCGGCGGGTGAATCTGCGGCGGTTGTAACGCAGGGAAAAAGTTAGAAGACGCGTCATGAGGAGGAGGAGGACCTACGTTTCCCGCCGCCGCAGGGTTCCAAAACGTTGCGTTGTTAGAGAATCTCAATGGACTGTGTGGTTTTGGCGGAGAAGATCTTAAAAACCAAGTCGATGGTAACGCTGACGCCATTTGATCATAGTTTCCGGTGGATGATCCAAACTGAGAGTACCCGAGAGATGACTGCTGATGATTCCTCGACTGTTGTTGATCGGAAGAGCCAAAACCACCTGCTTGTTGATGATGAAACATACCGGAAGATGAATTAGGAGTTGTTGTTGTTGCTGCGTACATGGTGTTGGACGAGTTGTCAACAGCGAAACCTTGACATGTCACTGTGCTACTGTCGGTACTTGAGCTCCCGTGAGGACTGAATTGATGATCTAAGAAAAACCCGCGATTACCACCACTCGTTAAAATCTGCGGTTTGAAATCGCTTTGTGGATCTCGCCACAAAGCTTGGTGCTGGTGAGAGGAATCAGATTCTTGCAGCTGGTAAGAAGATGTGGATGACGTTGTGTTAGCGTTTGCGTTTGAAGTCGCATCTAAATTGAGATTCTCTTGAAGCATCACACCGAAGCTTGTCTCCGCTTTACTATCTCCTCGTCTTTTGTTCCCCGCAAAGAAAAAGAAAAATAAGACAAAACACATAAATCTTATGATTGAAACCAAAAAAAGTAGAAACAAAATTAAGACTTACAAGAGAGATTGGTTCCATTGATCAACAGGTGATTGTGAAGAAAGCCCTAAACCAATCATCTGAAGATGATGATCAGTAGTAGCTAAAGAATGATCATGATGATGAAGCTTATGATCATGGAAAACAGCAGAACCACCAGATTCAATAGAGCTTGCTCTCATGGAAGAAGAAGAAGATGGTGAAGAAGAAGAAGATACTTTCCACCAGCTTCCTGAGTTGATGAAATCATGATGATCTCCCATAGCTTTTTTTTTCTCACTATATATATGTGTGTATTGATGTTGGATCTTAATTTGTTGTGTCTTCTCAGATTGTGGTTACATGAAATGATGAGGATCCACACGAGAGAGATACTTATAGTTATAAATATTTATCAATTTATTTGGATATTTTTTTCTGGTAGGGTTTTCGTTAACTATTTATGAAGAGAGTGAAGACATCCGATTAATGTTTGGTTGACATTTTTTCAGGTGGCTCTCGCTGACTCTCTTGCCCACGTCACTCCCAACTTCTGTTTTTGTTTACTAAAAATATTGTTGATTTTTCCATTGGTTACACTTCAAAAGAATAATAGTATTTCATTTCTCCTACTTTCCTTTATTTTTTTGGTAAAGTTTCCTTTTATTCATTTTGTAAGCATATAATATAATTATATCACTCATCTTTTTTTTGTCATACAACTTACAAAATTTGTTAGTTTAAACATAAATTATAATACAATAACAATAATAACACAAACCATTAAATCTTGACAACTTATTAAGACATACACGGTGATATTTTGTATTAATTAACATCCTGCAATTTAGTAAATGTAAATTTAATGACCTTTCAGTTCATTAGCTAGTGATGATAGTATGTTGATAGGAAAATAATATAAATCCAGATTTAAGTATTTTTCACATTGAGAAGTAATGAGGAAATACAAATTGACTTTGTAGATAGATATTTTAAAAAAAAAAAAACCAAAGAGGTTGAAATGGATTTGAC